TATGATGTCCAAAAATGTCTTATGTGTTTCCAACAGTTCAAAACCCAAAGATATTTAAATTGAGATAACTGAGGATAACTGGATAGCCTAACTTTTCAGAGTAAAGCCTCAGGCAGTACTTTCAACTTTACCCAACCCTAAGGGGGGTTATTCAGTAATCCTGCGTCACGCAACACAATGCAGAGCAAGACGTCTTAACAAATACTGGCAGAATACCATTAAATTTGTTATAGATATTCATGGTCCACAGAGGGTTAATCTTTTATTTTAGGCTTTTCAGGGCAAAATATTCCTTGACCTAAACCTTTAACCATTATTCTGTTACTCAGAAACCATTTGCAAAATGTGATTGAAACTTATCGTATTCATTGTCACCAGAGGATGAATCCTCTTGGCTTTGGTGACCACCCTGATATTAAGCAAGTAATTGTAAGCAGGAACTCCAACAGGGACATTCATACTGCCCAGAGCGTTATCTCTTTACATTTTTGACCCGCGTCCGACCACCTGAAAACAAACTGTAACACATAACATACATCATAATATGAGGTGATGAAACCCTTTTGATTTGACTGACTTGTACTTGCTCTGCCTGACATGTTTGTGTTCCACCTTAAGCGGTCACTGGGGACCTCTCTTCGTTGTCCTTTTAACTGCTCTCTGTAAGGTGTTTTGATACATACAGGGATGGCTTTGGCTATGGTTGTTATACCTAATGAGATAGACATTTAACATGTTTGTACCCCTTAAACTTTTAAAAACATTTAGTGTCACAGAGCGTACGGACAGATATATGCAAGTTGTCATGACATGTAAACAAAAACACTATGGCTGCCTTATTGCTCCTGATAGAGACTGCAGTAAATCAGCTGCTGTGATCTGAGTTTGAGAACGACTCTTCTTGCAGTGTAATTGCTTTGAAATATGGACAGTATTACTGTAATTGCCTAATTGCTGTTTTTATGGGGTGGCGGGCTAAACATGGAGGCCAAGTGATGAATTCAGATTGTTACTTTGGCCAATGTTTCTCTGTCTGGGAGGACAACTTCCAGCTAAACTGACACAACCATTAGATAAAAACACTGTTTAGATTTAGTTTATTGCCGGTCTGAAAAATATGTGGTTTGTGCTTTCCCTCAGCATACTGTGTACTTTACTTCACTTAAATCTGCTTCTTCATGTGAGTCTGCAGCGATTATCTGAAGAGCAGATCTCGACTCTTGGCAGTCTTTAAAGTGCTTTTTCAGTATAATGCCATGCAACTGTACAATATCTAAACTGAGTATTTGCTCGTGTTGCGTGACATTCAGAGTCCTCTTCGTTGCAAAGACATATGTGGTCAGCATGAAGCAGTTTACTGCACTTCATATGGCATAAAAGCACAGCACGACTCTGTACATAAGATGCTCATTCCTCTGCCATTACTAAAGATAAAAGCTTGTGATGATACACCAGGAAGAGGCTGTTAGTCATTTGAGTTTTGTGGTTTGGAAAAGGCATGTTGAGGTTTTGCACATGGCTGCAATGATCCAAAAGCTTCTCTGGTAAGACTTAGTGGGGTTATTGGTGCTGCATGAGGGGAGCTTCCTCCCTAAGACAGAATATGAATGAAAGATTGTTTTAAAAAAAGAGCATGATGAGGACAAATTCACAGAAATCCCACAGACAGTTTCGTTGTTGCGCAGCATTTGGCTTGAAGGGAAGTGGATTTTAAACACAATGGTGTTGATGGAGCAGAAGAAAACACATTAAGTTAAACCAGGACCCCGTACTACAGTGATGGCAGCTAACGTCCCTCTCCATTTCCCACAGAGGTCCAATCAAAGCCAGCGAGCGTCACCCGCCCTTTATCAATTAACCAGCATATGACAGTCCAACATCCGTCATGCCAACACTTTTATTTTGGCGATTTTTCGCCAGCGTGGAGAACAGAGTGGCAGAGGGCGGCGTAAGGTCAGGTTTCCACAGCAACTGTCAACCTCCAATCCCCCTCCAGCTGAACACCCTCTTTCATCGCCATGGCAGCGGAGAGGCCCTGTTTCCCAGGGGACGAGGGGAGTGCAGGAGGGAATGTGAGACAGGGAGAGGGAGGGAGAGGGCAAACAAGTTTTGTGAAAACACAGTAATCCAATATGGCTGCCATTGTGTCCGAGCTAACGGCGGCTAAAGCTGGCTTCTTGGTGAGAGGATATACAGTCGTGTGATGATTAACCTCAGCCAAGACCCGGAAGACGAAGTGATATAAGAACACAGAGCTGAAACTGTGTGTTAGTGTGACTGGGAGGGTCGATCAAAGTACTCTGTGTGCCAGGGTGAGAGGTTTGATTCCCACAGGAGCCAACAGCCACACACATGGACTCTTCATTTAAAGAGTCACTTTACATCATATTTATACAATTAAACTGATTCTGTGCATGTTTGACCGATACGCTGTCCTGAAACCTGATACTGATCCTGATCGTCTTTCAGGGACTATTTTCTATGTCAATATTTCTGTCATACAATTTTCATACCTGAACTTCCTCATATTTTTGTGATTCCTTCACAGTTTTATTCTGGAGACTTGAAACATTTAGATCATTTTGGCATAATAAAACTAGACATACATACCAGTGCTGAAACAAATGGCCCATGTTTGGAGAAATGCCAAACATTTGCTTGTTCTTGCTCTTCCGATGTGAGGGTTTGCTGCTTTTTTCTGTTTTATATAATTGTAAATTGAATATTTTTGGATTCTGGGCTGTTCTCTGGGGGAAAAGCAATATTAAGATTTCACTTTGTGTTCGGGGAAGTTGTGGTAGTCATTTATTTCTTCATTGTTGATCTGTTCTGTACACACGACATCTATTGCACATCTGTCCGTCCTGGAAGAGGGATCCCTCCCCAGTTGCCCTTCCTGAGGTTTCTAACTGTTTTTTTTCCCCTGTTAAAGGTTTTTTTGGGGGGGGAGTTTTTCCTTATCCGCTGTGAGGGTCCTAAGGACAGAAGGATGTCGTATGCTGTAAAGCCCTGTGAGGAAAATTGTGATTTGTGATATTGGGCTTTATAGATAAAATTGAAATTGAAGTTCAATTTCTTTATAAGCTTCAGTGTATGTCACAGTTGTCCCCACACAACTTTAATATTTTAGTCTTGGATTAAATGTGGGTTAAATCTTGTTATTGATTGATTTGTCGATTATTTCAGTTTTAAACAGTCTGCAAATATTAAGAAGTATAAAGAAACTATGAAAAGATCATAAAAAAGGAGCCTCCAACAAATCAAGGGGTGGAAGACATGCAATGATTGGACAACATCTAGTAAAAGGCCGGCTTCAGCATAGTATGTGGGCAAACTAAAATAGGTTTGGCATAAAACTGTAATCTGTATCATTAATAAGGCTCTACAATATCCCCAAAATTATTATTTTTGAATTAATATTTTGACAGATATTGTCGGTGAAGATTCTCATTCATCCAGGTCATGGTAATCGTAAGTGCTTTATCGTAGGCAACTGGACTTGCTTGCGTTTCTTGAAGACGTTTTGCCTCTCATACAAGAATTTAAGAACTGAAGAAGCCTCTTGGATGAGAGGCGAAATGTCTTCAAGAAACGCAAGCAAGTCCAGTTGCCTACGATTAGAGATGTACTGATACAACTTTTTCCTTCCCGATACCGATTCCAATCCCTGAACCTTAGGTATCTGCTGATACCGAGTACCGATCCGATACCAGCGCGTAAAATAAAAATGGAAGTGGATATGAATTGTTGTATGTCTCAACTCCTAAAACTCTATGTAAAATATTAAGAAATAAATACATAATAGTAGAATGAATGCCATAAAACTTTTTTAATTGAGACAGATGAAGACACAGGTTGAAGTGCAGCCACACAATCTGGTAAAAAAGATGTTTTAAAGGCTACAGTAGAATGCTTTTTAAAGAGTTTTGTTTGCCTGTAGCATGCGTATGCATAATGACGTGAGGCATTACATGGTATTGGATTAGTCATAGGCTGTACTCGCCGATACCGCATTTTAGGCAGTATCGGAGGCATTTCCACTACTGGTATCGATATCGGTACAACTCTACCTAAGATATAGCACTTACGATTTAACAGATATTGCGATATAAGGTTGTGATTTTAGTTGAAATGGCTGTTTTTGCATTTCATTTTCACTGAAAAAAAATGATGATGATGATGATGGGATTTTTTGCAAGTATGGTCCCTTACGTCTGGAATGTATGATTTGTAGGAGAGGGCTTCTTTGTAACACCACAATGCTTCGTTCATGTCACATAATGGTATGTGGTGAGACATTTTACCTTTATCATAAAAACTGCAGCTCCTGTGATTTGGATATTGCACTTTGCCCTGTTGCGATTTTGATAATATTTTGATTATTGTGCAGTCCTGGTAGTTAAGGTTGGTTCACATCAGTTACATAAAGGAGCCCTGTGGAGTTTCCTTGTAAACCAACTAAATGTATGTTTACATTCAGTTTTACTCACCAGATGTTAAAAGCATCTCCGTCATTGTTTACTAGCATAAGGCTTCTTCCTCCCTGCCTTTACTGGCACATTGAAGCATAAACCTGATTTTATTGCTCATTGAATTTTTTGAATGCCAGATATGAAGGAAGTGTTTCCAAATGGTGTTTATGTTGTAGATTACACCAAGCCCATAATGCATCATATACAAAGGAAGCTCAGAATAGGCTCTGGAGAGCATTAAGTGTATCTGTCGAGATGGTTTGGTGTGATAGCTGTGAGAAAGACAAGGCAGGAAGCTCACTAAGGAGGGCTTGAAAAATGAGCCTGCCTCTGTATTTTTAGTGATGTTCATTCACTTAGCGTGAATAATTATGACTGATATGCTCACAGTCATTCAAATTGAGTCAGTCACATGCATCATAATCCAGAGTAGAAACAGCTGTCTGTGTTCCAAAGCAGACATTGATGTGAAACTGTTCAAAGAATTCCAGTTTTAACCATCACTCTCCCTCTGCCTGTCTCTTTCAGATCACAGCCACCTCAGCTCTCCCCTGCTGCGACTCTCCTACCCACCATCCTCTCCCACCCCTCTTCTCCTCCTCTCTGTAGCCTCCCCCACTCACCCGCCTCCCTTCTCCTGCTCCATCCTCATCGGCCTCCAAGATAGATTCCCTCAGGAGTAAGGTTGACCTGCTCAAGCTGCCCCTGGCTCTCACCACCAAGTCCATCTCCGAGCGCAAGAGCCAGCTGGGAGGAGTCGGCGAGCAGCGCGGCACGGGGGGAGGAGGAGGAGGCGGGGCTCATAAAGCCCGCTCACCGCCGACCCGAGACATGGACAACGAGTCGCAGTACTCGGGCTACTCATACAAGTCCTCACATTCCCGAAGCTCCCGCAAACACAGGTGGGTCTAACAGCGGTGACACAGATGACATCATCAAACAGTTTCTCTTACTCGCATTTTACTAACAACCACTTAATGTATTCAAGTTCTGTCAATCAGTAAATTTGAAATCTTGTAGATAAACTAAAGGATTAAGTGTTTGAGACAGTTCTCCCAGTTCTTGCATTTCAAAACCAGTTGTGTTTGATGGAAAACACATCACCACACGCTGCAGCAAGGCTACCTTTCTTAGCTCATGAGAAGTTGTCTTCGGTGTTTGGTGCTCAGTAACATAACATTAGTTCTTCATGCTTCTCTCCTGCAACTTGATTAGATGCTGTTTGGGTAGAGTACATGTAAGTACTGCAACACATCCAGTAACGTTGTGTCGTTGTGTGTTTGTCTCCCAGGGATCGGAGGGATCGCCACCGCTCCAAGAGCCGAGACAGCAGCAGTCGTGGAGACAAATCGGTCACCATCCAGACTCCTGGAGAGCCACTGCTGGATGCAGAGTCGACGCGTGGAGATGAGAGGGTCAGTCACTGCTTTCTTACCCACGTTTGTCCATTTTAAAGTCCCGATCATTAATCTACCACTTATTGATGACCTCCAATAATTGCTTAAATTACAATGATTCTTCCAATGCTGTCAATTTCTTTATAAAGTCTTTAGCTCCTTTACCAACTAGAAACTATGATTTAAATAAAGTTTACCTTTGTCCCATCAAAAATTTTGTTTGCCATGATTCCTTTAAAGGGAATTGTCCTCCTGCAGAAGTGCCTCTTTTACCTCTCTCTGATGCCTCATAGAAACTGTCAGTCACTGCATTTCAACCCTTGTCTGTCTTGTCAGTCAGCTGGGAAAAAGCAGGTGTTGTCCGATGGTGTGAGTCTTAAAATACTGAAGACATATTACGTTAAGTTTAAAGGAATGTGTTCATTAAAATTGACTGAGGATGTTTGTTTCTAGATGAAAAGAAAGATATGTCTTTCTTTAAATAGTAAAGAGGCATTTGTATTTAAGCTTAACCAACCTGTCACCCTTCTTGGCTCAAGTGTCTGCCCACAGATGATGTGTATACAGAGGGGTGTGAGGAGGTTAAGGGGTTAATATCTTATATAATATGATCAATTTTAACTTCTTCTTTTATTCAGTTATGTAGTAAAAAGACCAAACATTTAGGTAAAGCCTGCAGAGAAGCTCAGATAATCTTGTATTTTTTTCATTTTTCATTTCCTACTTTTTAAATTAAAACTTTTGAGCCCTCTTCTTCAGCTTTTTCACTATATTGTATTTTTATAGGCAGTGGAATTAAACCCAAAACACAAGTGAATCTTTAAATTTTTATCTCTGTCCAACAGGATGATAACTGGGGCGAGACCACCACAGTCGTCACTGGCACCTCAGAGCACAGCATCTCAAATGAGGACCTGACCCGCCTCACCAAAGATTTGGAGGAGTCGACACCGCTGGACTGCAAGCGCTTCATTGGCCCAGCTCTGGGAGGCTGCCTGAGCTTCTTCGCCCTGGTCACGCCTTTAGCCTTCCTCATCCTCCCGCAGGTCCTGTGGCGTGACGCCCTCGAGCCCTGCGGCACGCCCTGCGAAGGCCTGTACGTCTCCTTGGCCTTCAAGCTCCTGGTCTTACTCATCTCCTCCTGGGCGCTGTTCCTCCGGCCTCCTCGTGCCACGCTCCCGCGCTTCTTTGTCTTCCGCTGCCTACTGATGGTACTGGTGTTCCTGTTTGTGGCGTCGTACTGGTTGTTTTACGGTGTGCGGGTGCTGGAGCCCAGGGAGAGGGACTACAGGGGGATTGTGGAGTACGCTGCCTCACTGGTGGACGCCCTCCTCTTCATACAGTACCTGGCTCTGGTGCTGCTGGAAGTCCGACACCTGCAGCCGGCCTTTTGCCTCAAGGTGGTCCGGAGCACGGATGGAGCGAGCAAGTTCTACAACGTGGGCCACCTCAGGTCAGTGAGACAATGGCAAACATAATGATAAAGGTTTTTTTACAACGATACTTTTGTTACTGTACAGAGATGAAAGTAGAGTTGATTTAAAAAACATTAGATATCCATTTGGGACAAAATAAGATCAGGCTACAGTTTGTTTTGACAGTGAAAGACAACCAGATACATGTATAACAAAGTATTCTGTGCTCTGAGTTCCACTTCTGAGCTTTTCTGAGCTATTAAAAAGATTTTATTGTCTTTCTTAGTTAAGCTTCAGTTAGCTGCTGAGGCCCTATTAACTCCCAGCTCTTTAGTGCAATACTCATAGTTTTTCTGTGCTGGGATGCTTGGCCTCAAATTTGCTGTCTGTCAATTTGAGTAAACACAGAAATATCAGAATATGCTAAATATATGCAGGGAAACTTAATGGTGGTCTTGAACCTAAATTGCGTCCCTCTTCAAGTCAGAGCCTGAAGATCAGATAATAAAGTAACATCTACTTTAAGGCCCTTGTCATGCCAGCTAATAATTTGACTTAGTAGTGCATATTCCCAAATTAATTTTAAATTCTTCTGGGGTCCTGGGGCAGCGGCCTCAATACAGGTAATAATGGTTTGAGGTGTGTATTTGGGTTTAAAAAACGCTTTCATCAAATGGATGATAAGGAAATTAAGTTACTTTAACTATAACCAGACTAAATTAGCCCTTGCTGGCTCTTGGGTCATGACAAATATGAGAGACACACAATTTTTAAGGATTAAACAAGGAAATGATGTGTGAGAATGTTATAGAGTGCACGAAAGAGCATAAAGAATAAACTACGGTTGCCACATCACCAGGGACGGTGCCTGTCAAGAGAGAGAGAGAAAATGAGTAGCAGAGCCCAGATTTATAACGTTGCCCAAGTGCCACCAGAAGGCTCTGATTACTAACTCTTCCCACAATCAATCAGTACACCACACAGACACTGCTGACTAATGGGTGGGGTTGTTACATTATAACCTGAGTTCACTTTTTTACAACATCTGAACAAATTCACTCACTGCTTAGATGGAAGAATATCCTTATTTGGAAACTGGTGTGCTATTAACTGTTTGTCATGTCCTGTCCTTGTTCAGTCTGCAGCTGATGTCAGACCTGTACTTTCTGTAGCACTGATGATTGACACACTGTGTTTTAGTATCCAGAGGGCAGCTGTCTGGGTGTTGGACCGTTATTACAGCGACTTCTCCGTCTACAACCCTGCCCTGCTCAACCTGCCCAAGTCCATCCTGTCCAAGAAGATGACCGGCTTCAAGGTTTACTCTCTGGACGGTAAGTACAGCTCTGATGCCTGTTGTCTAATCCATGACTCCAGCTTTTGTATTCACTGTCATTTATTAGTCAGAACTAGATGACACATCCAGTGACGTATGACGTTAAACCTTAAAGCAGCTGATGGTCATTTGTTATCATTTTCTTAGCAGCTCTTTCTTGACTGTGACACTTCAAATGTGAACATTATTTTACTCTTTCTCTCACCTGAATATGAACATCAGCTTATTACCTGAGATGCACTCCGTTCATTCCCCCTCCTCCCTCTGTTTGTGCTGTCTTGTAGAAAACCCCACCAATAACTCCACAGGCCAGTCCCGGGCCATGATAGCAGCAGCTGCCCGGAGGAGAGACAACTCCCACAATGAGTTCTACTATGAGGAGGCCGAGATGGACCGCAGGGTCCGCAAACGCAAGGCCAGGTCAGACAGAAAATACGTACAACACCTGGTGTTATCTGACAGCAGGGGAGTTATCATGATGTGTGATTTATTGGAGCAGTAAACAAGAAGCAGATAGTAACAATGCACAGAGAGAGACTTTGGCTGAACTTTGAATATATGATTTGTTTTTTTGTCTGAACCCATGTTTCAGTTTCACCTTAATGTCAGATCAGTGGGCGCACTGGAAGGTTTAGGAGTTGAGGAAAGTAGGGGAGCTTATTGCAACATGGAGTTTGTTTGCCAGTACACAAAAATGATTTATGTTTTGGCTCGGAGTGATAATTTGCAGTTCAATTTGTCGTCTTGCCTTACACATGAATCAAACTTTTATGGTTACTTACTTAAGTTCGAAAGGGCAGCAGATACATCAGCAGCTTGGCTGATAATATCAGCCAATATTAGCGTAGCACAAACATACTGGCATCGCCTTATATTAGCTATGAAAAAGGCTTGTCAGTTTGCTGAGGATCTGCTGGGTAAGTCTTGGGTCTGCCTGCATTACAGCACAGACAGATGATAATAATTGATCCTTTTAATATTTCCTATAATGTTTTCATGTTCATCAGAGCACAGCCAGCTGTTGACTCTCCTAATCATGATGCTTGTACTCAACCCTCTAGGTTGGTCGTGGCGGTGGAAGAGGCCTTCACACACATCAAGCGTCTCCACGAAGACGAGGTCGCATCGTCCCCCAAACACCCGAGGGAGGTGATGGATCCTCGGGAAGCGGCTCAAGCCATTTTCGCCCCGATGGCCCGAGCCATGCAGAAATACCTGAGAACCACCCGGCAGCAGGCCTTCCACAGCATGGAGAGCATCCTCACACACCTGCAGTTCTGCATCACACACAACATGACGCCCAAGGTAAAAGACTGTGATCACAGTCACAAGAAAACCTTAACTTACCTGACTGAAAGTTTATATTGTTCAGTTTGAGAACTTTCCATTCTGTAGTGACACGCACACATTGCACATACTGTCTTTGACATTGTTTTACATTCAATATATTTAAATTTGACTTTTTGTTTTGTAACACAGCAACAAAAATATTTTACTATTAGAAAATGTTTTCCAGTGTTTTATTTCAGATAATTAATCCCCTACTTCCCCCTCGTCAGGCTTTCCTAGAGCGTTACCTCTCCCCCGGCCCCACCATGCAATACCAGCAGCAGAACGGCAGAGGGCGCCAGTGGACTCTAGTGAGCGAGGAGCCAGTGACCTCAGCCCTGCGTCAGGGTCTAGTGTTCTCCCTGCGACGCCTGGACTTCTCCCTGGTCGTCACAGTGACGCCGCTCCCCTTCCTGCGGCTCGGGGAGGAGTTCATTGACCCAAAGAGCCACAAATTTGTCATGAGGCTGCAGTCTGAGACCTCGGTGTGACGGCATCTCCTTGAGAGTCTCCTTGTTTCCCACGCTGTCCTCTCTCCATGCTCACTCCTGCTGGATCACTGATGTGGCGGGACATGTGGAGGCCATGTGGTCCACTCCCATCCAATCATTTCTTGTCTGTGACGAAGAAAGCATTCAAAGAGAATCCTCCTCGTGTATTATGATCATCACAGATGCTCTGATATCAAACTGTGATCAGCTCAACGATTGTTCAAACCTGGAATTAAACCGATGCCTTGACTTTTTCTCTTTCTGTGTTGTAAAACTCTTTGTCTTTACAACATGCTGTTAAAAAAAAAAGAAAACTTTTTGAAAGGGGACTTTTTGTCTTTTTGCCTCTTCTGTTGCTGTAACCACTGGACTACTTTACTGTGCTGACTCAACACCAGAGGAGGGGGATTACATCACACTTGTCACTTCCTCTTCCTTGTGTCTTAAAAACAGACTAACCGGAGCTCAGCTCTGACTGCAACGCTGGTGTACCACTGCCTTTTGGTTCCCTGTCAGTTTATTGTTTTGTTTAAGATGACAAGGACTGTTTTTATATAAAAGGGTATGACTTTTTTTTTTTTTTTTTTTTTTTTTTTTTTTTTTTTTACAGAATGTAGCATTATGTGCTTTGAATTAACACGTGGCTTCTCTGCGGCCTGAAGGCCAAAATGTCTTTCTATCTGACTGTAAAAAAAAATGGAAGAACATTCCTAAGCTACTCCAGACTCTGTATATTCATGATTGTCTAAATATGCAGGTTTTGTATTATTCTACACTGGCATTTTTACTATTCATTTTACAGTTTTAGTAAGAGGACTAAACAAAGACCCCATTTATACCTCTTGTTGTCATGCAATCTGTACCTGCATGATATCTTACCTGGATAATGATGTTAAAGCAAAGCATGGAGGTGTTCTGAATTTTTATTATCAACAAATCCCACAAAAAGGCCAGAAAAGCAAAAGAGTTAGAATACTTTAAAAATTCCCCTGTCTTGAAGACCATTTGTTAAAAACCATATACTTTCATTTAACAACAACAATAGGAATAAATGATGCATATAGTGGGCACTATTTTTAGCTGCTGACTAATTTGCGCTACTGAGTATTTATGTCTCAGGAAGTCTTGTGTGATTGCATCAAAATTAAATACAATGCCCATGTTCATATAAGGAGGGGCATCTCACCCACTGCAATGGTGTGACTCACTGATGATGTGTTCTTAATAATTTTCATACAGAATTCGTTTGAAGGATAAACTCATCATTTATGACAATCTCAAAAAAACAAGACTGTCTCCAAACTTGTCTTTTAATGTAAGTTGTAAATGCATGCAGGACAAATTGTGCTCAGAACTGCTATCTACCACTGCATCGGCTAGACCATATCTGGAGGACGTGGCAGCTTTACCATGTTTTAAAGAGAAAAAAAAGACCCATTAAGTTGAAAGGTCACTGAAACACCTCAATTTCCTGTTGTCCTAAGCTGCTCGGGGAAAACTGACAGATGATCACTCAAATTGTGAAGCAAAAATAGAGCATTCTCAACCCAAGGTCCAACTTACTTGTTTTTTCGAAGCTTTCAACCACATCTCGGGGCCTTCATCAGTGGAAGGAGTCGCTTAGTTGTGACTGTGATACATGTCATAAAATATTTCAGATGGTAGAAAGGGTAAAAAGTATCACACACCAGAAAACAAAGTCGTATTATGAAAGGCAGTGGTTAATAGATACCGATGAAATGCAATGTTGATTAGAAAAACATATTAAGATCTCCACAGTCTCCGTTTTTTAGCCTTTTTCGTGCCATGAGATGTTGTTTAAAGCTATGCAAATGACAAGGAGTTGGACCTTGGCATAAGAATTTTTTAATGTTTTTTTTTTCTTGACCTTGAACACACCATGTTTGTTGATTTAATTGAGTCAAGGAAAACACGTACTAAAGCCAAGTGTAAATGCAAAAGCCTGTTATCAGATGTCATCATCCAGGTACAGATCCCATGTTAATACCAGGTGTAAATGGTCGTTTCCAGGCTTTTTAATAAAGTACACGTAAGGAATTCAGTCCTGAACAGGCAGCTGTAGTTAAACTACAAGCTGACTTCTATGTTATTTTTTATCTTTTAATGCATTTCAACAAAAATCCCAAACCAGACGTGTGATTGTAACTCTTCTCTGCAGCTCCTCTGCAGCAGTAGCATATCACCGCCTCGCCTTGTGCCACAAGCTGAAACAAGCACAGTGAAACATACCGCCTCCATCCGACAGCCTTACTCTCCAGATGCGGAGGACCAGCGGTGGGGCACATCTGTCGTCGCACTGACTCCTTCTCCTCCAGGTCCCGAAACTTACTGTAACGCTGAAGCTTGCCTGATGTTGAGACTTGAGCCGATCTGTTTCTGCCTTCAGTTTGTTGAGCCACAACACGGCTGACTGTTTGCTTTTCTTTCCAGGTTCCAAAAGCCCTTTACATTTCTAAAAAAAAAAAATCCAAATACAAGGTCCTAGTGTATGACATTTCATCCAATGCAGATTTTTTTAAAATGCATGTTAGATTTATTTTGGGCTCCAAAACTTTTTTATAATAACTTGTTTTCTATTATTTTGAAGGTGCCTAAGTTATGATGATGCAATTTTCCGAATGTTTTTACTTTTGAAAAACAAGAGGCTTGTAAAAAACAATTTGTAGATTTGTCTTGTATTTTCTTCCTTTTGGTAACTGTAGCTTGTATAGTGTGTTAGGCCTTTTTCCATTATTAAACCATTTATTCCTTCTATGTCTTCTTTTTGTTGCTTATTTTGGAGCGTGGGAGGTCAATGGAGGTAAAGCCATCTTTGAAAAAAATGGCTTAGAGGGACAGTTCACCTCAAAATCAAAAACACATATTTGTCTTCTGACCTGTAGTGCTGTTTATTAGTCTAGATTGTTTCGGTGTGAGCTGCAGAGTATTCGAGATATCAGCCGTAGAGATGTCCGACTTCTCTTGAATATAATGGAACTAGATGGCACTCGGCTTGTGGTGCTCAAAGCACTGAATCACCATGCAGAAGAAAATGTGCATCTGCTGCTAGCTCACCAAGCACAACTCAACGAGCTAACGTTACAGCTCAGCCGATTAGGACAGCATTAATGTTTGCATCTCACACTGTCACGAGCACAAGCCTGTCATTCATGAGTAGATGCACACTTCCTCCTGTGAGGTGATGTGGTTAGCAGGTGTAGTTCAGTAGAAAGAAAATAGTTCCTACATGAAACTGCTCACAACAAGGGCTGTGGATTATCCTGAGTGCACCACAAGCTGAGTGCCATCAAGGTCCATTATACTGGAGAGAAGACAGACATCTCTACGGCCGATATCTCCAACACTCGGCAACTCACACCGAAACAATCTAAACTGATATAAAGGACTGAAGGTAAGACTAAAAATATATATTTTTGATTGTGGGGTGAACTGTCCCTTTAAGTCTTTGAAGTGGAAGAACACGCAGGAGCTGATTACATGTATGTTAACTCTATTTTGACGCTTGTGGTTTTGTGACTTGGTTCCAGATAGATTCTTCTTTCTGATTAAGTGTGTCGGTTGTCATTAATCGTGTTGAAAGCACTGTGTCACTGTATTTGCGCAATTTTAACCAAATAAACGCTGAGTGTTTTTCACAAGAGGAGTAGAGGAACTGCTGTGAAGTGAGGATGGCAGTGTGGTAGGCGTGTGGTTTCACAGCTTCAAAAAGACGGACAGAGAGCCCCGGACTTCCTGTTCACTGCTGCTCAAAGAGCTCGCTTCACAGGGCTTCTTTTGAAAGATCTCGCTGACAGCCAACAAGGAAGCAACAAAAACCGACCCTCTTATCTCATCTCCAACCCTGCTGGTAAGATGGCACAAGTATTGGTATTGCTGCCTCTCTGATGATCAGTCCCATCTGCACCAGTGAGGATTAGTCAATGTCATGGGGGCATTTCCAAGATACCTGTGGCACTGAAAAGTCTTAGTTTAACAGTAGATAGATGAGGTGGCATCAGGATTTATTTCTGCTGGAGGTGATGATGAATGATGAGGATGATGTTATGAAGATGTTGAATATGTTCTCTGTGCTCAGTGACCATTGGAGAGATGACCGTATGTTACATCCTGGATGGGATTCTAATCCTTTATGGCATCATTCTCACCGTCTTATACTGCAGACTGAGGGTAAGACAAACAGGAACAACACATACACACACACATACACATACACACAACCGTGATGAGTGTAAGTGAGTGCAGAACTGTTCCTTATGGTTGTGTCAACGTTATTCAGAATTATAACGCTGACAAAAATGTGATTATTGGCAATATTTTAAGAGCGTTGTTCAAAAATTGTCTATATTTTGGGAAGAAAAAATCTTGAGTGTTCCACCAGCTTTTAAAAATACAGATTATTCTGCCGTAAAGGATCCCAACTTGCTTGATATTTTCGCTTATTCATGTTTTTACTTTAATGCTAAGGCTGGACAATATGGAGAAAATCAAATACCACAACATTTTTGATCAAATACCTCAACATCAGTATTGTGGAAGCATTGTAGGGCTGGCTATTGGTGCTTTTACTGAATTTACAGTAAGATTTGTGATAAGTAATCATCAGTAATGTGGACATAATGACAAAGTGAGTAAAGGCAAACAATAGAACAGCTGGAACAGTCAAGCAAGTTTAGAAAATTACATTGATGTACTGTAATGCAGCCTGCGAAACAGGAAAAGGCAACACCATATTACGATATCCAATATCTAAGACGATATCTAGTATCTGTGTCTATCATATTACGATACTGATATAATATTGATATATTGCCCAGCCCTATTTCATGCTGTAGCAATGTATCTGACAACTTTCTTCAGTCGTCCTCTCATTTTAGAAGCAATCCCTTCATATTGTCTTGAATATTTCAACACTTTTACCAGTTATATCTCACACTTTGGAGTCTGATTTACACCCCCTGATATATTTTCTGTAAATCACTCAATAATATTTGCTTTCTGGTTTGTTCTTGACAGATGAGTTCGTCCAACAAAGAACCTCCCAATCCCGTTGAGGTAAAATTAAAGTTCTTTATCATTGTGGAAAAAAAGGAAAGTTCTGATTCTGTGAAATGTGCTGGGGATTTTTTTCCTTTAATGCTTTGTTATTTCACCCTCAAAAGCAGTAGGTCTGCTAAAGCCAACCTCAGCCTATCATTTCCTGTAAGCTTGAGCTGACCACCAACCTACATTATTTATACTCTGTATACACTCACAGTTTCCCCCAGTGTTTCTTCATACAAAACAATGTGTCAGATCCCACTTCCTGCTAAATGTTACATGCATGCAAAATGACACTTTATTCTTGATCCTAAAAGCTTACAATGAATAAAACAATCCACACCCATGTGGATTTAAAGACACAGACTAAAAGGAGGAACTACATATTTCACACATCTGACAGTCAATTGTGTTTGTTAAGAAATGTTTCTTCCTGTAGCAACACATGATAATTCCTTTGAACTGTTTTTGTCCCACAGAAGAAGCCCGCTGAGGGAGGCATCTATGCGGTGAGACTTCTCATTCTAATGATTAAAAAGACATTTAAAAAGGCACAGAAAGGAAAACTGACAGCTCAAAGCACAGTGGATGGTAAAGGACCTTTTGTTTTTTAATTCACCTACCTGGCTGTCAGAAAAGAAACGTAGACTCAGTGCAGGAAATACTCACAACATTGTTTTGTAGAGATGTGTATTTGCTTCTCACTAGTGTCGTATGTGTGTGTGTCCTGCAGGGTCTTACCTCTCACAGCACTGATACCTATGAGACCATTAAAATTGATAAAAAACCAGTCGTCTGATCGATGGAGGATTTGGTGCAGAAAGGACGCTGAGCACAAAAACAAAGCTTTATACTGTATATTACATTGTATGTTAAGAGTTTCTACATCCCTTTTCCTGATGTAAAATATAACTTTTATTTCTAAACTTTGCATGTATTAAATGTTAAACTAAGCTAATTTAACAGTTTACTAATAGAAGCTAAGTCAGTGTGTATTCACTGCACATCATTCTGTGTTTCACAGCTGGTTTCACCCAAGTTACGAAAAAAGAGAAGTTTAAATTTATCTTTTGTTTCTGTTCATGTGTTCCCTTTTTGCTGAATTAAGGAGTGCTTTTACTTCACTTTATGTGAAAATCTAGGAGTGCAACATATAATTATTTTTTTATCAGCAATTAATCTGCTAATAATCTATATTATATATATATTAATCAAATGCCCATGATGATTCTTAAAGACCAAAGGTCCAGATTGAAGGATTTAGAGGCATCTATTAGTGATGTTGCAGAACTGAAACTCCTCCTGTGTGGGATACTTGCAGTGGCCAACACAGAAATGGAAAAACACGAGCGGGCCTTTGCAGAGGCAGTGTCTTTGTTTTGTTTTGTTTTGTTGGTCTGGGCTACTGTAGAACACCCAAGGATTCTTATTTCAGGTTATTTTAAACTAATGAAAACATGCCAGTAGATGCCCCTAAATCCTACACACTGGACCTTTAATTGTTATAGATTTCTGTGATATGCTGTATGTTTATTGCAGAATCCATAAATCCATGAACATTGTATGTTACATGTTAATTTTGTTAGCTTTTGTCTTATCATCTCAATTTTTGGAGGAAATTTAACACCATACTTTCAGTGTTCAATGTTCTGTGACAATAAATACATGTGTAACAGCAGAGGTATAACAGCACCAGAGGGCAATCACACCCTTTCACTGTACAATCCTGTTTTTTCTTCCTCCAGTCCTCACTCAGAGTCTCGCCTGCTTATTTACATGGAAACATAACTGGAAATGTATTCAAAACAGATTCGTAACAGCCCGTGCAGTCTGTACCTGTGTACTGTTTCCCCCCAGGCTCTTCACAACGACACAAGAAACTCACTCACTCATCCAGCCGTCTGTTGCAACTTAACCATTTTAACTTCCAAAACAAAAGATAACCTACTCAGATTGGGGTCACAGCTGCAATTTACAATAGGGAGCTATTTTTTAAACCTATATGTTTGCTTGGTTCTTGTTCATATTATCATTGATTCCCATTAAACATGACAATGTCAGAGAGGTGATTTCTTTCTGGTGACAGTACAATAAATATATCAGAGTATATCTTTTTTTGGCTTGAGTGTTTTTTAACTGGTGTTTTATAAATGCACTTTTCATGTAACAGTGCAGAAGTCAACACAGATTCACTGTAAGTATTACGATGATGATGACTCAGGGTGAGTAAGGTAATGACTGCAGCAGGGGTTTTTCCACATCAACATGCTGCATAATACAGTTTTGGTAAAATGTGTCTGTACATCCAAACTGTGCATCCATAATGAATGTTGCTGTCGCTGTCAGGTGTTGTAGCTGCAGGCTGTGATCATCTTAAGTCAACTGATAAACAGCTGAAACAACAGGTGCATCTTTTTGTCAGAGATTAACAGTCAGGTTGTTTTGGAAAAACTGGATCATTTGGAATTCCGCACAGAATTGTGCTGCGTTCAAGTGTTACTGGAGAATTCAAACATGTGTATGTGAATTGTTTGCACCACGTGTTGTGTTAAGAGATGGGAAACCATTTTCAACAATTCAACAAACAACATTTTTGGAGAATTTTTTTTAGATATCTTATAACCAAAAATGCTGCCCACTTCATTTAACAATGACAGCTTTTACAATGACAGATTGGTTTAAATTTTTTTTGGCTATTGAAATGTCCACCATGCGTTAAATCGCTCTCATGAAATAAAGTATCTCCTAGGCTTACTGGTAACTACAACATTATTTGGGGGGGCTTTTATGTTTTTTCAATTCTCAGTTTGTTCTATTTTAGTATATATTTCCAGTGTAGGCTGATGGAAGATGCAAAGCTGCACAAATCAGTCAGAAATCAAAGATATATGCCCAAGCCTGAGCTCATGGCATAGTGCTAGATAAACAGAAAAAGTACATTTTAATATTCATACAGCTGTGGGGAAAAAAAGATTCGTACCACTTTTAAAAGGCCTCGCCTACACGTGTAAAGCTACTTTTAGTCAGCCTTTTTGCTGAAGACTTTGGTGGAGTTTGTTGTTTTAAGTACTTTTTATTAATTTCATTTTGTTTTAATCAGCTTTTCTCTCTGTTGTGTGAAAAGTGTTGTAAGGTTGAATCAAGCTGAATGATTAACCATCAATCTTAACATTTGTTTACACACATACATCTAATTACATCAACGTATGAAGCAGCAGGATGTCTGTTGTTCAGAACTGAAAACAACTTTCTCAACACCACGTAAACGCAGCACGGAGTGGGCGCATTCATGTGGTGCAGTGGGGCGGGGCCTGGCGCAGACAGGTGTAGAGGTGCTTCTCCTAGTGCGTGACAAACCAACAGGCTTGTGTTTGGACAATACGCGTTTTATTTTTCTTTTCTGCGTGAGCTCAAATATCATTTCTAGTGTCATCTCTTCACTCTTACTGTCTCTGCTGAGTTATTCCTTCAGGTGCTGCAGAGGATTTTTGCACTCGAGATGAAGTTAAAGCCATTTTGCACTAAACAATAGTCAACAAGTGGACAACAAGTGGAGGAATCTTATTTTTTAAGCATCATGTATGTGATTTGAAGAGGAAACACCTGTTGCACCTGCGGACTCGTAACTGCTGCTAACCACTGGCCTTCCTGTCTGAACTTTATACAGATATTAACAATGAAAGCTGAATAACACGAGTTTAAACAGTTTAGGAACGAAGGTGATTCAGTCCAGCTTTTATTTTTGGACTAAAGATGGAGTTGACCGGGCAAAGGGCAAAGTGTGCGGCACTTCTTTTATTAGCTGGTGAGTTTTGTAACATTAATTTACAGGAAAGTTCACTGTTTTACAACCTTCACTGTCTGTACTTTTTGGACACCTGCTGTCATTTTGGTTGCTACTTTTTAAGCAGTGGTGGCCCAGAATTTGCTGTGCTGTGTGAAAGTATCAAATATATATATATATCAGCTCCTTGTACTTTATGAAAAGAGACAGTAATATTACTAAAATTAAGTTGCACTATGTCTGATACTTAAAATACAGGTTAACAGTAACTTTACTGTCATTTCCACTTCCTAAAGAGTCGTTATTATTTATATGATAATGTTCCTGTAAGGACAGAATATTCCTGTAAGTAGGTGCTGTCAGGCTAAAATCACTTTTAGGTACTTTACAGGAGAAATCCTGTAACATCAATACAATATTTCTACATATTTGTGCTTATATGTACCCTCTAAATCTGTCTTTGCTCATGGCTGTAGTCAGAATATTGCTGTCTATGGTTCCACTGCATGGCCAAACCCCTGATCTTGGTGGCACAGTCCATTTCTGTCTTATTTTTGATGTATGTTGGAGTATTTTTTCCTCTTTTTTGTAGATAAATGGCCAATCATTAACGGTGGTGTTTTATTTATACAGTATACACTCTTAGGCCAAAAGTATCTTGACACCCATGTCTACTGTTGTGTTAGTTGTGGGCTGTTTTTCGTGGTTTCATCTAGATAGTTCCAGTGAAAGGAAACCCAAATGCCACAGTATATGATGGTATTATTAGACAATAGTGTGCTTCCATCCTCGTGGCAACAGTTTGAGCCAGGCCCAAAAGGAAATGCTTTTCCTCGTTTGATGTAGAAGAATCTGTCTGGCCTGCAGAGAGCCCTGACCCCCTCAGTGCCATCCAACACCTTTGAGAATCTGTGACCGTCATAAAGAGCGGAAGCTGTTTAAGCAGCAGATTAATTCAGATGGTCTTGGAATGACATTTTTAACAATCACTCACGGGTATAATGTTTGGGTGTCCACATACTTTTGGCCCGGTGGTGTATGTGTTTGTCCCTGCAGGTGTGGAGAAAGAAACAGCATAACAGAATGCGGCCCCGTCACATTCTTACATTTAGTCAACGTGAATCAGAACTTATTGCCCAACCTGCACCCTCCTGTTTTTTTTGTGACTAATTGTGTCGATACACGGCTGCTTTTGCTTCCTTCTTCAGCTGTGATGGAACACCAGGGTGCTGTTCAGACTACGAGAGCAAATGCACATATTAGACTATTGTTTTTCTAAATTCTTGCAACCACGGGTGTGATAAAGTTACTGCCATCCTGAGTGAACAGGAAAAGCTTGTATAGCAGCTTTGTGACTCGGGTGAACCTGTGTTTACCTAGAATGTGTGCGTGTGGAGAGTGATTAACTCTTTCTTTCTGTTTGGTGCTTATCTCTCTTGACTCTCCCCTCTGTCTTTATTTCTCTTTGCCTTCCTCGAACGTCATTTGTGTCTACCCCTGTCTCTTCCCTCTGTCGGCATGAATGATTGAACTGTTCTTCTGCTGTTGCTCTTTTACAAAACTGTGTCGCCTTTGCTCTTTCCACTCCACAATTAGGTCACGCACACTGTAGGTCTTTGTTGGCCAAATTTAAACCTCCTGTATGTGTGTGTGTGAAGACACTGTTTCCCTTTTTCACAGTGTCACTGTTTTGTCAATGCGTCCTTGCACCAACTGTGTGGGACTTTATCTGAGTGAGTCTGCGTCCCATACCAGCTGCAGTGTAATCATTAATTGAGCTCATGAATCAGTAACCATGGGGAAAAAAGTGTGTTCACCCCAGAAATCAAAGGGCAAATGTTTGGTTGTAGATGCATTTCTCTCACACACCCTTTTCACTCATGTTTCCGTGTCTCCCACGCTTCAATGTAGACTTTTAACCAGGTGTGATAAGTACAGTCAGACTTAGTCATTAGTCGGAACTGATGACAGCTCTGGTGGGATAACACCACACTGATGTGAAACTGCAGTGTAGTGAAGCTGTTACTTTAGGTGAATATTAACTATTTGATTAATTTGTTTTAAGAACAGTAATTATTTAATTTCCATGCCAAATTGGAGTGACATTCAGTGCTGCTGTTCATGCACAAGGAAATTCCTGCACACTGTTAGCTCTATGTTTATGAAAGACATGTTTTTGTCATTGACTTTTGTCAGGCATCAAATTCAATACAAGAGGAGAACCAGATCTTAAATACCCGAGGGAAATACCACATCCACAATTGATAAAAACATGCCAAAAGTTTACCTTATAAAATATTAGATGGGCATTGCAAAACAAATACTTTTTTTTTATCAATAAGGGAAGTTCAAACAGGGGTTAGATGATTGGACAATAACTGGTCCAAATTAACAAATTATCCACAAACTTCATCATGCATAGACTTCTGAACAGAGTTTACTGTCAAGGAATTATGAACTAAATGATCTAAAATAAGAGCATGTGTAAAAACCTCTAAAACAGCACCTAAACCATCATATAACAAACAACTCTCCACAGCAGCTCTTTCTGAGCACGTCTGCTCTCAGAGAAACATTTCTGCTTTTGAGGAAAGAATTAAGACGCATAACAGCACTATTGTTTAAGATGTTTGCACCGTCACCTCACAGCATAAAGATCTGTATTCAAACCACCCGTCCACCTTCTTTGTGGAATTTGCATTATTCTCAGTGTCTGCATGCTAACAGACAAGGCACGCCCACGACCCCGTAGGTGTCAGTGTGTTTATCTGTCTAAGCAGTCTGGGGTATTGCTCGCCTCTCGCCCAATGGCCTCCTGCCTTCTTTAACAGGATGTGGTGTCAATGGATGGATGCACTGTTTTTCAACCAAATTAGTAAATTACATGTGTAGGAAAGTTGTTGTAGGATGTACATAGGTCTGCAAGTCTTCAAGGAAACTACATTATACTGTATAAATGCAGAAAAAAAAGAATTAGTACTGCAACTAGCAATTATTTTTGTTAAAACAATTATATTGCTTAAGCTTTTAGTCTATGAAATATCAGAAAATAGTGGAAATTGGTCACTACAAGTTCCCACAGTCTAAGGGGATGTCTTTGCTTTTTTTTATCCGACCAAATGTGCACAATCCAAATATAGTGACAGGAAACAGAGAAAAGTAGCACATCCTCACATTTAAAAAGCTGGAAAAAGCTAATGCTTGGGGTTGTTACATGCTGGCGATGTGACTGACAATGAGTCAGTCAGTCAGTCAGTCAGTCAGTCAGTCAGTCAGTCAGTTGGTCCACGGCTTTGGTCCAGACTGAAATATCTTCATATCTATTTAAGGGAGTACCATGACTTTTACAGTTCTTAATGCTCCCATATGGTGAATACCGATGACTTTATTCTGTTTAAGTGTCAACATTTTTTGCCTTTTTGCAAAATGTCTGAACACTTATCAAGTGGATTGGTGTGAATTTTTTTTTTACTGACATTCATGTTCCTCTCAGGATAAATTGTAATAACTGTGGTGATCCCACAGACTATATAACATAATGGACCTGGCTACTGTGATGTCACCCAATGGCTTGTGGACTCTCAATTGAAAGCTAAGGGTGTAAATCACAACTTTTAATATGATACATGGTATTATATTGATTCTTTGGACAACAATACAATATTTGCAAATATCACAAAGTCTGCCATGGTATGATTTCGATTCAAGTCAGTTAAGAGGCCTGCAATTGATATGAAATGATATATTTTTTAAAAATCCTCTTTTTTCCCACAGTTTGAATGTTTAGGAAGGCGGTGTGCTTAGACAGAAATATCAATGACTTGGGAAGGTTAATCCTTGATCGATATATCAAACCAGATGGATGTATTGTTACACCCCTATTTGAAGCCTCAAGTTTGGCATTTTGGCCGTTGCTGTCTTGTTTTTTGGAGCTAGAGGTGTATGAGAGGGTGGAGCTGACTCACAGACTGAAGTGGCACCTTGCAGACAGCCTGTCACTCAAAACAGCCCCGACCTTAATTAAGTGTAACTTTAAACCTGAATAGCATGTCACTGTGAATTATATAAAAAGTAATTTCCCATAGGAACTGCAGTTTGTGGCACCTCCGTGTTGGCTTCATTTTTCAGCTCTGGAGGTTGCTGTTCGGGCGTGTCCTTGACTTTTAATTTAGCTCCACCATCAGGTCGATCAGGTACTTATTTATGCAGTAGCTTAGTCCATAGGGACTTGGATTGGGAACTGGAGGGTCGCCTGTTCGAGTCCCCGTCCGGACCAAATATGGAGCGTGGACTGGTGGCTGGAGAGGTGCCAGTTCACATCCTGGGCACTGCCGAGGTGCCCTTGAGCAAGGCACCGAACCCCCCAACTGCTCGGGGCGCCTCACCAAAGGGCAGCCCCCTCACTCTGACATCTCTCCACTTTGTGCATGTATAGGTCCTGTTTGTGCATGTGTGTGTCTTTCAGACCTGTGTGTAATTGACAAGCAAGAGTGAAAACATTGAATTTCCCCTCAGGGGATTAATAAAAAGTAAATACATTCTAATAAGCTAATTTTAGCATTCTAACACGCTAAACTAAAATAGTGAACATGGTCAAAATAATACCTGCTAAACATCAGCATGTTTATATTGTTATTGTAAGCATGTTAGCATGCTATCATTAGCATTTAGCTCCAACGCACCCAAGTGCACTCTCAGAGATCTGCTCATATAAAATAATAAAAGGCAAACACTAGCTTGATACTATCAGGCCCAAGTCACTGCTCATTCGAAAGCCAAACATGCTACATAAACAACAGACTATCCTCTGAACTAGAACTGTAACTAACAAGAGTTTCACTTTGGACTCTAAATGATAAAGTGTCAGAAATAGCTGCAATCACCAGAGACCTTGCAGTGAATTAGTTAATTGTTTTAAGCACCTCACTCACCACATACCTCTTATCGTCCCTTAACTTTATCTGAAACACTCTCTCTTCAGCAGTGTGTGTGCAGGGTGACTTTGTGGAGCCTCCGCAGCCCCACACCTCCCTGCGCTCCTTCGCAGAGAGCCAGACCAGACTGCCCTGTCACTACCAGGTGGGGGAGGGGCAGAAGGTGGTGCAGGTCACCTGGCACAAGGAGCTCCCAGATGGCAGCAAGGACCAGATCATCACTGCCCATTTCATGGATGGCCATACAGGTAGGCTGCAGCGAAGGGTTAATAGTGGAGAGAGTTTTTCTCAGACTGGTTTGCACAGCAGTTTCTACAATTACAGTTTGGACATTAAGTCTAGTGTAAGCATTCCCTCTCATGAGCTAAATCACTCTCAGATGCATCCTTGGGTTGCAAGTGCACTCACAGGATCTGTACTTATCAGGCTTTTGTTTAAGAGTCGTACCTTACACAAAGATATTACATCAATCTGATGAATACTACAGCGTTCTACCACTGAAATAGTTCTGTTATGTGACAAATATTTTCTTTAAGCAAAAATAAGCAACTCCTTAAAATGTATCTAAGAAAAACTAAAAAGTATTGTATTGAATACACACTTTAGTGAACTTATATGTCAGTTTTCAGTTCTTATGAGCTGTAGTTTCAGTTCCTAATAGAAACCTAAAACCAGTTGTGCTCCTAACTGGATGTAATTTTAGCTATAGTCATGTGCACAACTTTAGCAGAAAGAGAGCACCTCTGTTACAATAAGAAGTAAATTTAATTAATTACTTTGGGGGCAGCAGTAGCTCAATCTGTATAGGGACTTGGCTTGCACATTAATGACTATAAACTATAGGAAAAATATAAACTTTATTTTAATTTCTTGATATTGTTATCTGCATGAAACCTTACATTTCAGAGAGTTTGTGTTTGGAACTTTTTAGTTTTGGTAGATTTGCATCGAACAGTCATTGGTGTAGCCCCCTAAACTTTAAATCATAGTAATAAAACATTTGCTCAACCTTCCTTTTTCATTCCTTTAAGGGTCATTCTGATTGATGATAACAATAATGCTGTAATACCATGATATCATGAAACCACAATATTTTCTGAGACTTTATCGCCCTGTGAAAGTATCATACTGTTGCAACCCTAGCAGTGTGCAGATGATGACAAATCAGTTTTGCGTCTGCTGCATTACACTAAGCTCAATATATAGACTTGTTTGCCTGATGGTGAATTAAGTTCAAGGTCCAATCAAATACAAATAATATAATAGTTTTGATGGTGCTATTATATTTTGGGCTGCTTTTTGTAACATTTGTGTTGTTCCAAATCACCCAAGGTCTACCAGTTTCTTAGGTTTCACTTTTCTTATGTTTAGCTGCCAAAATGATGTGGTTAGGTTTAGAAAAACATCAGGGTTGAGCATAAATATTGGTTTCACAGGGGTCTCGAACCCTAGTCTCCTGGGTGAAAGTCCTGTGTCCCTTTCAGTTTAATTTCATGGCCTGAAATGGCCCTATCAACCTAATAGGTGTGTCAGGCCACTACTAACCTATAAATATGATGCTTATCCGAACGTTTACACATAATGCTTATGATAACAGCCATTAATAGCCTGATAACAGCCAGATTGGCTGAATAAATTGGTACCTCCTCTCATCTGAGTAGTATGATGAGATTGACAGGGGCTGAGCTTGACATGCAATGACTAATAACTGATAACCATTAACTCTTTTTATGATTAAATTATTATTGGGTCACAGCTCTGTGATGAAAGACCTCACAAATCTGACAACAGCATGCTTCAGTTTGATTTGACAATGAGATCATACCAGCAGAGTGTTTAGTTTACACCTGGATTATTTGTCTGTAGGGTGGGGTTGTGATGTCATTGGATAAATGATGTTTTATATTGCTAATACCTGATAATCTATTTGCCTTTGTTGGAGTTAATGCTTCGACTAAGCGTTTCTCATTGGGAAAATTTTGTTCCCATATTTTTAAAGGGTATTTTTTGTCAGTTTGAGCTCTGTAAAGGATGATAATCTGGCCTGATCTGAAATCTTTGTTTTGTATATCAGAGTTTGGGCGTTACTCTGGTCGGGTGAGGTTCGAGAGTGGGAGCCCCACCGTGAACTCGGCTCTGCTCATCCCCAGCACAGAGGAGTCGGATGAGGGCAGCTACACCTGCCATATCTCCACCTTCCCCAACGGAAACTTTGAGAGGCGCATCACACTCACCGTTTGGAGTAAGAGTCATCGTCATCCTCTCTGTCTCTTTCTTTCTCCTCTCCCACACCTTCCTAATCCTATCAGAGCTGCTGTAATGACGTTTAAACCGTAATCATCTTCATAGAAGAAAAAGACAAGGGGAATTCAGCAGGTTTGCCAACGTGGCCACACACACTGGCAGCATATCTAAATTTAAGTGGGTGAAAAGAAAAAAATGAGTGTATTTTTGTAACAGATTTCTTTGTGTAGTACTTTTTGTAACTTGTTAATGCCAAGTGAAAAATATGAAAAAAAACTAAGATTGAAATGGAACCCAAATGTAAAAATATATCCAAAATCTGCTTTTAATAAAGTCAGGTGATTTTCTTTGGTGCACGTAAGGCACATTGGTGAATCTAATTTTCATAATTCCTTTTCTTCTTTTTTTTCTTTTTTTGCTCTTACATGACTCAGATCAGTTTTTTCATAACAGTGTTAGCAGCACAAATCATATGTGATCCTAAATCAGGTACAGGTCTTATTTTTGTAATGCAACCTCAATCTGATCAGTCCTATCGGAATTCATGCAACTTTTTTGTCACTTTAGATTGACATTTGTCACGGGTCTGTGCTGTTCGGAGTCACTTGGTGAATGCATCCATGAAAGACAGACTGGTAGCCTGAACTGAGCGTCGAGAGTCTTGTGGAGAGGCACTGACAGATGTAAAACTGAGCCTTAACTTCTTGAAATTTTGGATGATATCTGTTACAGTGAAGTCATTCATGCCACAATCACACTACTCCTCACACACATCTCCATATAGAAGTAGCAGTCATTGCTCCACAAAAATCCATGATTAAAAACTTGGCTCTCTTTTTCCTCATTCTCGCCCATGTTATCACCTGCTCACAACTTTTCTGGCTTCAGCTGCACATCAACTTGTAAAGGAAACCGTAAACACTGTCTTCCATGTTTGCTTTCATACAACAGTGTGCTGCGTGTGACTTCTTTGTTATTGTTCCTTTGTGCATGCGGGCTGCTTGTGGCCTGTTCACACTGGAGTTTGATATTGGCCACATTTAAAAAATAATATGAACAGCCAAACAAAAAAAAAACTGATCTGAGCAATAAATCTGAATAGAGCACTAAGGCTTGCACTGTGAACGTAGCCTCACAAAGGACTTCACACCCTTGAGCTTTAAACTCCTGTAGATTCATATAAAGAAAACCTCTGCAGCACAATATGGAGAAACAGAATGAGGTATTAGGTAAATTAAGCACAAATGTACATGAAAAATATGGATCAGACAAAATGTCCAACAACGCCCACCAAACACTGGAGTTTCCAGTAGTGCTTCATTCTGTGTCCGAAACTTTGCCCTCGGTCTTAAAATCACACCTGTTTTCAGTGCTTACCTAACTCTTGAAATAGATAAGGTGTATTACTAAACTATTGGTATCAAGAAAACAGTTCTTTTCACATTCAAAGTCTCAAAGCAGTGAGCTTTTCATTGCATAACTACAAGTTCTGCAAAACACTTAATTGTTTTTTTCCAGATTGATGCAATAAACTCAATTTCGAATCCAAACCAGATGACATGTTTAGTTTCTGCGGCATTGTCACCATCACTCAGTCACCTGAGAGAACATTTTGGATCTCCTCCTCTTATCACTTAGTAAGATAAATACATTCTGTAATAATTTGAGAGGCACCATAACAGCAGCTGTGGGGGTGCTGCTTTTTATTGGATCCCTTTTCAAGTTAAACCTGCAGTGCTGCAACCTGATCAGTTCTAAATGACTTTCTCATGTTGCCGCCAGTCATCATCATCAACAGTGACAGGTTAGTCATAAACTTGTCCCAGCACGCCATAGATAAGACAAATCTGCAGAAATACACACAGTAGTAACTGACAACCTCCAGCACTGAATTCCCTCGACTCCTTAACCCATAAGACTTTTATTAACTGCAAAATGCTTGAACCCTAAGCTGCATATAAATTTGTCCATGTGCAGATTTAAAAACTGAAGTCTAGTTTGTGTGGTTAGAGCTGTCTTCTGTTTTTTTTCTGTTATGTTATGGATCTAAAAAAATCTGGATTAAGCTCCTTTCTTTTGGTCAGTTCATCGATTGGGATTTTTATGCATCTGGTTTATTAAGGTGGTTTTATTTGGCCATGGATGGCTGTCATCTATTTTATTTGGGCTGTTTTTTCGGTGTGCTGGATAGTGCAGGATATCACCTGTCAGTCAAATACTGAGGGGCAGGACTATGATGTCATGTGTTTTGGAGTCTCTGTTTATGAAGTTTGAGTCTCTACGGGTGGTGCCCCTTTCTTTGTGTGTTAATCCATAATGGCTATCTCTGCTAATGCTAACTACCTGTTTCGTCTCCTTCGTTAATAATCCAAACGCCAATGGAAAGACTTACCAGGTGTTTACAACAGCAAAGGCAGCAGTGAGCTGGGTGTGAATCACATTCATGTTAAACCAGTTGGTGACAAAGAGTAACAAAACACAAATGTATTTATGTGAAAATATTACGGGTGACATTTGCCACAGGGTTTTAATCTTGTTGTGATGGACTTGATGTTTCAGTTCATATCCTGCATCTGAAAATTGAGAATTTTCTCTGAAGTCTCTCAGAATTTTCTCTGAGAGTTTTCTCTGTTGTAGATTCCTCAGTAAAATCATGGCGGTTGAAAGTATTCAGCAGCAAGATTTTGAAGACCTCGTTGCTCAGACTTGTTCCATACAAACAATGACAATCACTGCACAAACATTTAGTGACGTCCTGGTTCTAATGGATCTAATTACAGCCACTTTAGGTAATTTTAGGTAAAGACAAATTAGCCTTGAGCAGGCTTTAGGAAGTATTAATTAACTCTTAATGCAGTAATTGTAGGGTTTGTGCATTACACAAGCAGTTAAGCTCATCATTGTTAATAATCTAATACTCCTTTTCTTGTGTTATTAATACAGAGGACACAGAAAACACAGTTCCATAACAGCAAGACAACACAAAATCTGAAAACATAACACAATATATATAATACAGTACAAGTATGCACACCAGGAAAGGTTTTATGTTTTAAAAAGAGTACATAATTAAAAAATATCTTTAGTTTGTAGAGAAAAAAACAAAAAAGTTAGTAAGCAAAATGATTTACCTGTGAAGGACAGAAATTGTTGGCCTTTTATACTTTTATACTGTTTCATAGCTTAAAAAAATACTCGTGTCTGATGTGTTTTTTTCTCTAAAAATTTCAATTACCTTGTTAAAAATTCTTAAAATAACTTTTATTCTCTCACCATGAAAAATCCAGAATCTTTAAGTACCAAAAAAAACATGTTAAACAGCAGGACACAAGATGTCTTTTCTGTTTCCTCACGTCTCTTTCAATGTATGTACACTAGAGGTTGCATATTGGACAAGTAGTTGCCAAACTAGATGTGATGTCATAAAATCCTCATACATCTACGTGTAGATGTAGAGAAACTGTCCACCTTTAGCAGGGGAATGTGGAAACATTCTTCCCAGTTAAGCTCAAACATCCAAGTGAGCAAACAAATCAAAACACATTTTTGAGTGAAGGGGGACTTTCCTCTAAACTGTTCCTCTTCCTCTTCTCTTAGTTTTACCCATCTCCTCCCTGGAGCCTGTGATCCTGGTGGAAGGCCAGTCGTTCGGTGTGGCCGCCTCCTGTCGAGCCGTGGGCCGCCCGCCTCCCCATCTCTCCTGGGACACCGACCTGCCAGGCCAGTCCCAGAACCGCACCAACGAGGGTGGGTCCGTGTCCAGCTACTACTCCCTCCACCCCCTGCGCAGCATGAATGGGAAGAAGCTGGACTGTCTGGTGTGGCATCCCGGCCTGCAGCAGCCGCGCAGGCTCTCAAACCCTTTGGTGGTGCAGTGTGAGTATAGCTGGTAATCCTTCTGTGTTTTAAGGTCAAGAGAGACCAACAATGCGGCAAAAACAATACAGATGATCATGATTTTATATTTTTTTTGATAGAGCTTGTCTTAATGCAGAAATAATCTTGCTGGTTGAGTCAAACATCAGTGGGAGGAACCAAGGACTCTTTGTCTGAGTCCAATTCTATGCTACATACCAACTGTATACAGCATGTACTGTTCTAATGTCACAGAGTACTATGTTGTAGTTAGTATATACAAATCAATACACCTGCACATTCTGTACCAGCAGCAACTATGCAGTAAGCCCGCAGATGGACAGCAAATTAACGTCAATTAAACTTGACATGTATACTGACCTTTTAAGTGTACTGAATTTTATTAGTTTTTCTGTGCAAATACTCTAAATACTCAAAATCTGCGGAGAATGCAGTAACTCTGCCTCTGACTCTCATAGCAGGAATGATTGCTTAGAAAGAAAAAGTGTCACTAATAATAACATTAATGATCATTTGTTTCACTTAGGTGTGTCAGGAAGGGAAGCCATACCAGAGCTGTGGAATGTAGCCCTTAATGATTAATTATTATTAGATACAGGTGTGCATTTCTTGTACATGTAATGGCAGCTCAACATGCCTGCAGTGTAAAAGGTTTATTCCACTCAAAACATAGAAAAATATAAATGACAGTAATGTTATCAGTCATGATACATATCAGTCACTTCATGACTTGATTAGGTTTGTAGTGTGTAGGCTTAGCAACCTGAGCTAACCTAGTGCTAAGATATCTGTTTAACCTTGTATCACCCATAGTATGTGCCCACAGGATCTGTCATTACCACACTTCCCATTCCTTGTCTGTGTAAGCACAGTACAGTGTATTCAGAGCAGCTTTGTGTTTTGCATGAAGTTGAATCTAGGCTACTTCATGCAAATCAGTGGCATCCCGTGTGACTTACCACCTCTGGAAACACCCAGATAACTTTTAAACTAACTGTTGTTGATCATAAATTCAGACAGATTTAGCAGCTGCATGCCTTATTTCTCACCTGAAATGTTTTCAGAAACACATTTTAGTGAACTACTTTCTTAACATAAGATAAAGCTTCCAAACGAGCTGCCGTGTTGGTGCGGTTTGAAACTTGGGAGCAGACAGTCCACGTACCTAGTGCCACGCCCATCAAGCAGCCAATACTGGGAAGCGACTTGACCCCTCACATCCAAAAACACCCTCTCTATTACTCCAAATCCACACTACAAACTGATTATACAGAGGATATACTATATTATAGTCTTTAAGGTATATTGTTGTTTTGCAGTTAGTATATAAGAATGTACAGTTATATATTTACAGGTAATGATATAATATGTCTAACATTGGACTTAAGTCAACTGTAACATTTAAAAATGTATGACTTGTTTTATATGTAAATACATGTATTATGTGCGTGCATGGGTATGTCATATTACTTTCACTTTTATTTACAGAGTTGCATTAAATTTTCTCTGAAGAGTAGCTGTTCCCCAGCTAATGGGAATTCAAATGAATTAACAAATCATAAGAGAATTAAACTTCTCAAATAAGAACAAAGTAGTTTTCCAAATATTGAAGTACATGTTTTGTTTTCAGAGATCTTTCCAGAGTAGCACTACCACCATCCACGATTTATTTAGGTTTTTTGCAGCTGTGTGAAGCCTGCATTAGCTTTGTGCTCATCCACTGCACGCTCAAAAACACACAGACTGTTTGTCACTTCGCCAGTGTGAACAAATCTGATTAGAATCATGACACAGCATACTGTATGCTCAGCTCAACCTTCTCTACTGCTGTGGGACACTTTCCTTTAACTCGTCCTGCTTTAATCAATGGCATTTTTCCCTCTACTTGCCCTGCTAGAGATATTTGTATAGCTTAACCTCTCTGTTTGGGAAAATGAATGGGTGACAGTAGACTAAACATTAGACAATATTGGCAGGTTGCTGGGAAAGTCCATGAGTAATGCTTCGTCCTCCACTATTACCGTTGGTGCAGTTAGAGAGAGGGCTCCTAAACTTAAGTTCCTTCAGTGTGCAACAATTGCTCTTTGTCCACTGTGATGGACAGCTCAGTGATGTCCAGTGGAGTGGACTCGAGTTATGAATCTGATGACTTTAAACTTGACGAAAATCATTTTTTGCAACCTGACTTTAACATAAATGACATGCGACTCCACTCGGACTTGAACTTTTTGACTTGGAAATTACTTTATATTCTAAAAACAGCTGCACAGCCAATCAACTTTTAATTTTCCTGACAGCAGATGTTCAGTACTGGAATCACCCTGACAGCCAATCGTATTGCCTGAGCAGGAGGAGAGGATTGTCTGGCAGTGCAGACCAGCAGACAGACATCAGATAATACCTGGGATTGTCAAATTCAGATGGAAAGACTCTGCTGTCGTCAGCAACATGCAAAACACTTGACTCAGAAATAACATATAATTCCAGTTGTGTCATTGGATTGGCATACTGCACCAGAACAGAACACACCTAATTATTTCGCAGTATACTGACTGTTACAGATAAAATGGCATTACATTCTGTGCATAAGGACTCAAAACACAAAGTTTACTATTTAGACTTGACTCTGGACTTCATAGTCAGATCTTGAGACTTCTTTGTGTCTTGCAAAACAGTGATTTTGTCACAATGCTGCAGACTTATCAGTGTGAGAATGATGACTAGTGCTGAAACAACTGTTTTAATTCTGATGTAACTCTATTTTTGGATAAATAATGACAAAAACAGCCTCATCTGTGTTTATAGCATGAACAGATTTCTTTAAAAGGCCATCTCAGTTGATAAATGTACTAACATACAAGGTTTTCTCTTTGCTCTGCCATGCAGCATATAGGTACATATTTTGTGTCAGTGTGTGCTTATATCTGTGTTTCTGTGTCAGACCCCCCAGATGCCACCATCTCTGCTGGTACAGGGGACTGGTTTGTGGGTCTGGAGAAAGCTGAGCTGGTCTGCAACAGCGGAGGACACCCCAAACCTCGGAATGTCACCTGGACACGGTACCGTCACCAGCCTGTCTGCTGCTCATACATATCTACAGTTTACCTCTGTCTGACTGCCGGCAAGAATGTGACAATTACATGTTAATTCCCCCCACTGTGATGCTATTTGCACTGCTAAATTGCTCTTTACATGGCACTGGAATGTGACTCAAAACATACATAAGCCACAAATGCGCATACACATGGACTTACACACATGCAAACAACAAAGAAGTGTGCTTGAACCTACAGGAGGACGCCTTTCTTTCCCGGCTCAATTCATGGTAGAATAAAAACTGTGGTGTCGTGTTGCGCAAGTCGAAGTCAGAAAAAGAGTGAGGGAGATATTTTCACACGAGGGAGGGAGCGTGCGGTGTGAGGAAGAGCAGGAGACACATGCTAAGCACTTAATCATAGTGCCATGCTTTAAATATCACTCTAATGCCTGGTAAAACACAGGGTCTGTACTTAAATTAGAGACACTGTACCAGCCATTACAGCTACGACTGAGCACACAATGATGAAATATTGTGTGCTGAGTGAAAAAATACTTAAGCTGTGAGGCAATCTTGAAATATTGAGATTATTGTGGATTGAATCCTTTCAACCCAGCAGACCGTTCGGCGCGTTCATCAGGACAAACTGATACTGTGTGGACAAGCAGATGCTTCATAAAGAAGATAAAGAGATACTTCAACATTATTAAAAATGCATGCATTTACTTTATTGTGAAGAACTGGATGAGTAGATCTGTTAAATGTGAAGTGACAGCCAATAGCAGTTTATTTTAGCTTAGCATGAAGACTGGAAACAGGGGAACAGTTCGCCTAGCTCTGCCCAGAGGTTACAAAATATGCATACCTGCATCTCATTGCATTGATATTGTTATAATTCACTCGTAAAGATGCAATCGATTTAGTTTGCGAGCCAACAAAACAGATTACAGTCTTTTTGGCTGCTAAAGGTAGAGCACTCACTGCATCTGTATCATTTTCAACCATCTACTCTGTGTCAGATGCAATCTCCACCTGCCACTCAATTATAAAGGGCCAGGTTGAGCAGCTAGGTGGGGTTTTGAGAAAAGAAATCTGAGCTGGCTCCAGGTTGGGGGGTAAAGCAGCAGTTAAATAGCTGCTGCAGCAGCACAGTGAAACCAAGGGCAACATGACCCCTCTCAGTGGACCCGATCAGAAACTGGCTCTCCATTGTGTGGCCTGTGATGTCTTCAGCTGCACAGTGTGGGACTCGCCGGACTTGCTTAAATCCCCCAAACCTAGTATTTATTTGGTCTATTCAGATCAATGGGCGCCAGTTGTAAGCCCAGCAGGTTTGTGATTCAGGTGCACGCGAATTGGTGGTTACACTCTGCGGTGAACCTGATCCTGTGTGGTGTTTATTTTAGCTGAAAGCCTTCCTTGATGCAAGCCGGTTGCTGCATTTCATAGTGCTGTTGTAGTTCAGATATGACACCTGTGTGTTTCCTCCTCTGGCACGTCAGCAGAAATAGTTTGAACTGAAATACAGGTTTGAACTATGTTCACTTTAGTCACCAAAATGAGTCACAGATGTTTTTCAGGCAGTGAGTCACAGGTTTCTGTACGGTTCGCCTCTGTGAAACATCATTGTCAATTAATGGAGACCCTTTCCTCTGATTATCCACAGGAAAGGAGGGGCTTTGCCTGATGGGACGTCTGTGGTTGGAGGAAAACTAATTTTTGGGCGGGCCCTTCGCCTGAATGACAGTGGGGTCTACGAGTGTGTGGTCAAGAACAACGTGGGAGTAGGAAAAACAGACTACATGTTGACAGTAACAGGTATGTGCATATCAGCTTTGTCAGTGGTCAAGATCATGTAGGAATAAAATAAGAAGCTGTCCTGCTGCTGTATGTTGTATGTTGGTATTGTAGAAGGAGGAAATGAGAGGACAGATACTTGGAATCATGAGACAAGTTGAGTTTTAAACAAAATACTGAGCAAATTATCATTTTGATTTGGAGTAATTGTGCAATTTTGCCGCCCCCTTGTGATGGATAGAAGGCATGAACAGATGCTATGTAAATCAGTCAGGATCAAAACCAAAAAGAGCTGTAGCCGCTGTAGCCACTGTAGTTTGTTGCTGTGTTAATGTGTTTGCATGAGAGAGAGTCATCAGATGTCTTCCTGTCCCCATCTGTCATCCAGAGACATCTCAACGCAAGGGCGAGTCCAACATGGACAACCTGATGCTGATCATTATTGGTGCTGCAGCTGGGACTTTGGTCCTGATCCTGATCATGGTCGTCCTGCTGGTCAACCGCCACCATCGTCGGAAAAACAAAAAGCTTGAGATGGAGCTCAGTGAAAAAACGTAAGCTGACCCACATTTTCTTGAAAAAGCCATGTGGAGAGAAACTGGAAAAGACTTTTATTTATTGCCCCAACGTTGACAACAGCTGGACTGTGAATGCTTTTGTTGTAAAGTGGTATTTCACTTCACTGGCCAAATGACCATCAATCAATAACTCCTTGTGTGTTACATTCAAGGTAACACATGGTGAGTAATTGATATACAAATGGTCATTTGGCAGGTGAAGTTTTCCTTTAAACCAGCCTATTTTGTAAAACTGAAATCCTCCAAATGCTTCTTTTTTCGCAGGGAAGAAATTCAAAGTTTCTCCAGACAAGCCTCCTTCAGGAGACTAAACTCTGTCAGCACAGACCCCAGAGTGCAGGTACAGACACACACAGACACACAACTTGCAGGGTTCAGAGAAACCAGGTCAACACACCCACCCCGCCCGAGTGTAGCCGGGTGGAGCAGCTGGCAAGACAGCAGCCTTGTCTGCTGTGGAGGCCGATGATTACAGGCTGCTGAAGCTTCAAACAAATAACATGCAGTGTTCATAGACGCTTATTTTTGATATCTCATTCTGGGTGAATCATTTTATATTCATCTTTTGTGTTCATGTTCACTAACTTTTACTTTCTTTATTTCTTACAGCCTGATGATTATGCTCTGCTCAGAGTAGACAGCCGAATGAAAAACAGCGAAATCTCTCTGGTGAGTTTCTCATCTTAACATTTAACTTCTTATTCAAGCAAATGTAAAAAAATTGGCTGACTCTAACTTCTGAAATGTGAAGATATGATATTTTATATATCTAAATATCTTTGGGTTTCAGAATGATAATCAATCAAAAGAGGCAATGTGAAGAGTTTCGGAAAACTATAATAGGAATTTTTATCTATTTTATGACATTTAAGAGAATATATAATAGTTAATTAGCCTGAACAACAATCAAGATATTATTTAACCATGAAAATATTAGTTAGTATATATAGATAGTTAGTTGTAGCCCTTCTACCATGATTATTGAATCTAATTGCTGATCAAGAAGATCACTCCAATGTGGTATTAGAGGGTTTTACTCAATGAACACAACGAATTCAAGAGAAACACACATGTAACTTAATAGTCTGGATTTTAATGACAACACTAAGTCCCATTAAAAAACAGAATTTAGGTTTAAGGGCTTTTCCGTCTGACAGTAAAAATTTCAGAGGCAAATTATTACTATGATTATTTCAATTTAAATGAATTTACATTTCAAATATACACCCAAAATGCAAAAAGTGACATCAGCTTCTGTTTTTCACCAGCCATCTTAACTCCATCACAATTAGAGCTGCAATGACTAATTGAGTAACTGTCATCTACTGTATTTACTTCATTGCCAACCAATATTATAATCAATTAATCTGTTGGAGTCATTTTTTAAGAAAGAAAGTCACAATTCTCTGATTCCAGCTTCTTAAACGTGACTGTTTTCTGGTTTCTTTGCTCCTCTTTGACAGTAAACTGAATATGAGTTGTGGACAAAGGAAATACATTTAAGGATGTCATCTTGGACTTTGGAAAACACCGATATTTTTGGATATTTTTCAGCATTTTATGACATTTTATAGACCAAACAATTAATTGAGAGAATAATTGACAGATTAATTGACAATTAAAATAATAAGAGAAGAGTCCTTTAAGCCAACAGTCAGTTCTTATCATTGTTGTAAATGTTTGGGTCACCTCCCCGCCTGCAGGAACGACCCAGCTACAAAGGGAGCCAGTCCACGCTAGGCGGGAAGTGGGGGCCACCAGGAGGGGTGGAGGTGGACGAACTGGGACGTCCTGTTGTCTGGCACGACAGCAGAGAGAGCCGCAGAGGAGTGGAGATGGATGGAGAGAAGGAGGAGCGCAGGAGGAGGGTGGAGTCATACCTGAAGAGTAGCAACATGTCACTGGTATGTGTCAGCTTCTGAGAGATTAGGTTGAAATGCGTTTAGTTTCGTTTGTAATGTGTCATACGGTATCGTGTTTTATTTAGTTAATCTGCATCACTGTCAGACAGTGGAGACAGAACAAAGGACTATAAACAGAAACTGGAAAGACGCCATGATACAATTCTAGTAAATGCATTCTTACCTGTTGTTGTCCAGATTAACTACCTGAATCACTCCTTTCATTAAGACAGTTTTTACAGGAAATGTTAACTCTACAGGGTTGCATTCTACACTGCTAAAATATAGAAAACTTTTCCTTCCTGTTTTTTAAGTGGACCTAGTATTGACCAACCTGTTACAAAATGATGATGCTACTGCTATAGCAGAGAATAAAGCACTCTGCATGTCCTCTTTGTGTAATTCTTACCACGTTAAAGGTACAGGTCACCCCAAAATAAAAAAGACATATTTTTCCTTTTAACCGTAGTGCTTTTTATCAATCTAGATTATTTTGGTGTGAGTTGCCGAGTGCTGAAGACATCAATCAGCCTTAAAGATGACTGCCGTCTCTCCAATATAATGGAACTAGGTGGCACTCGGCTTGTGGTGCTCAAAGCGCTGAGGGGGGGAGGGAAAAACTCAACAGCAATGTCACTTTCCAGAAATCATGACCCCGTTACTCGAGATAGTCCACAGACTTGGTTGTGAGCAGTTTCATGTAGGAACTATTTTCTTTCTACCCAACTACATCCTCCAACTGCATCACTGCGCAGAGAGTTTGGGGTCAACTGCCCTTAAAGTGACTGCTGCTTGGAACAGTATTGTGTTTTTTTACCTGTCTGCTTCAGTTTTTTAATCTGAATACATTCATTTTCACTTCCACCCAACAAGCAGACATACCGCATCTTAAAAGCTGTTGCAAAATGTAGTGCAAATTTGGGTTATGTCTTATTGAACCAAAGCATTTTCAGTTTGAACACACCATCTTATTTTGAATTTAGGAGCAGGCGTTTTCAGCCTATTTTGCACCATGAGTGACAGTGATTTTTTTTTTTAGTCTAAACAAGGACTTTCAGATCTTGCCCCATTTTGATTTGTAAATAGTAACAGAGGTGTAAAAAACAATCTATATCCAGCACTGTTATTAGCAATTTTCTATCAGAAAGATAGTAATGTGTGTTTATGCTGTTTATACCAGGACTCAGGTTTGCCCTCTTCCCTGGTTCCCCTGAAGGCCCAGCAGGACGAAGGCGTTGGACCCAGAGACCCAGAACTAGGCCACCTTAGAGAGGGAGACTCCCCACGTGGAGAGTTGGTAGCAGAGGGACACGAGGACGACGAGGACAGCAGCTCCTACCAGATCTCGGAGGCACTCACCAATCACTTCTACTACAGTAATGGGATCCTCAGGCCCAGGCCACACTCCAATGCCATTCTGCTGCACCCCAGAGGACAGGTCCTCTAGACCACAGACTTTTATTCAAAACATGACAGGAGATAAAGCCTGCCTGCGTTGAAAATGATAATCTTTTTTTAATGGGATGTTTGTTTTGTGCACAGTGACTGCAGTGGGTAATTAGCCCCAAGAACAATCAAAACTTTTATTTTTTACCTCTAGCTTATGAGTTTTTTGCCTTTATCCCAACCCTTTGACAATTGGGAAGTCTTTAAATATTTTTTTGGCATTCTATGCCTTTAATAGACAGCCAACAGTCAAGAAACAACAGGAAGTGAGGGGAGAGATGATGAATGACATGCAGTGAACGTCCCCACCGGGCCACAGACATTGTGGTTCACAGCCGTCAGGGTGCCCTATCATTAGGAGGTTTCTGATTCTTAATATTTCACTCATTCCTTGAATGTGCAAGGAATAAAGGTTCCTGTTACACAATGTTTACTATATTATCTGCAGACCTGAAATACTGCATCCACTGCTTTGGCCTGATGAATCCTGACTGTTAACTTAGGGTGCCTTGTTTACATCAAAAACATTCAGGGAGGAACATATGGATAAAGACACAATTTTCTAAGCTCCAAATGCCTGGTGAAGTTTAAGGTTAAACTGTACATAAATCTTTGATACTTTCTGCTTGGATGCACCTGTGGAAAAGATGTTAGTGTATTTGTTAATGTATGTATTATAATATATATATAAGGAAGAGCGATAAGGAGATTGTGTGTGTTTATCATTGTGCCAGTAACAGGCACCTGCAGCTACAAAAAGGTCAAAAACGCAGAGGACCTGAGCACAGACAAAGTTAACTGGTGGATGTTCATTAACACATGCAGCAAACTTGTATCCATGACCAGAGCATAGCAATGAACAGATGGGATGAAACTTGTAGAGGATGAACTGTAAAGCAACATTTTGTATTGATGAAAAATCAAATGTGTGTATGAAGTTGTATAAATTGTTTTATATTGAGTGTTTTTCTAGGAAAGTGAAAAACTGACATGTAAATATTCAAACGTTTATTCATAAAAGTACAGCATATGAGTCATTGTTTTTTAGTATAACCTGGGACAGTTAAGTTTGTGTCACCTCATACATGAGGATCAAGGGCATCGCTGATCTCCGCTACTGCAGTAACGTAGCACTTGTGTAAGACTTGCATTAGATGACCTGGTTTATCCCTGTTCTGACTCCCTGGATACAAGTAGAAAAAGAAGAGTGGATTTTTACAGGGTGGCTAAATGTACTGGGTCTGACAGGGTTATGAGCTCAGTTATCTTGAGAATCTTTGTATTAAACAATTGGTTCTGTCATTTCGGGTAATTTGCTTATTCACTTTCTTGTCGAGAGTTACAGCCTTTACATACTCTGCAAGGACAGAGAAATTTGTTCTCTCTCACAGGGCTCAAAGAAAAGAATTACATAATTCGTTTCTTGCAGCCCTGGTTTGGGAGTTCTTGCAGCTTGTTCTTGACACATCATCTGGGCAAAACTTTTTTTCTTGTGTGGTGTCCAAGAACTATTGTGATTGGTCAGAAATTTGAAGTGGGCGTAGTTAATGCGGAAAAGCATGTGTGACGTATGCTGGAGTGGGAAGGGCCTATGAGGACATCCCAGGAGTGCTGCACTTGAGTTTCTCGTGAAGTATGAAATGTCCTGGCCAGAAAGAACTTTGTACTTGTTCTTGCCACCTCGAGAAAAAGAACAAATTTCTCTGTTCTTGCAGAGTATGTACAGGCTTTAGATGAAAAGAACGATGCCCTGTCCATGTCCGAGAGAGGCAACTATCTTCTCATTTAGCTCTCTTCAAGAAAGCAAGTAAGATCATTTCCCAAAATGTCAAACTAATCCTGTAAAGGAAAACTTCAAAATGATCATTTGTATATCAGTTAGGCTACTCACTGTGTTACCTTTAATTCATGAAGAAAACTTACTTTCTCATGCATGCCTTCACTGTGAACATAGAATCCAAAAAAGGCATCAATCTTCATGAACTGAAGTAAACAGGGACCACGTTTAACAGCAAAATTAAACCTAAACATCAGTTTACAAACTCTCACACAAATCATGCAGTATAATCCAAGTCTCATTTATCTGGTCTGCTCAGTATTTCCGTAACTCAAGCATTTTTGTGAAAACATGATTCAAAACACATCAGTACAGTCTCATACACGGCTGAGTAGTGTGGGCACATGCATGGTGTTCATAGGCGAAAGTGTTTTATATTTATTCAGTGAAAACGCTTGTGTTTGGGAAACACTGAACATACGACTGAATAAATGAGACTGATTAAACTGCAAGAGTTGTATGTGAGTTTGTAAATGGCTGTTTTGGTGTGGTTTTGCTGTTGTTAAATATGGTCCCTGTTTACTTAAGTTGATGAAAAGTGTTTTTTGGATTCCTCGTGGACGCATGCTATAAAACAAAGTTTCTGTCGTAACACAGAGAGTAACTAATATACAAATGGTCATTTTGCGAGTGTAGTATACTTTTACGATGCTGCTCCACCACTCAGAGCAGACACTTGGGGTGGACACCTAAGACTGGCTACAAGAAGACCTACATCTCTCAGCATGCTATGGAGCACCTGCAGGTCTGATTAGGAAGTCTCCTATCTGAATCAACTGACCTGTAAACTCCAAAATGGCAGCTCTAATAAAAATGATGCAAGGTTGCGTTCTTAAAATGCAAAGATGAGGAGTGAGTGCTTTGTTTTCTGTCTTTGTTAGCCTTGGATAAATATGACTTTCCTTTACAAAAGGAATCTCACAATTGACATTAATGAAATGTACCTGACCACACTTAAATTACTCCCTGTTTCAGCAGCATTACAAAGAAAACACTCAATTCTGTCATGGTCATCGTGTCATGGCAACTGTTGATAACACAGTCTAGGCTGCTCTATTTGCTCAGATTTCACTGTGAGCCTGAAAATGGACTGTAGATGGGAAAATGGAACTGCTAAGGGGTATCAGAGGGTCTACAGTCATCATACACACAGAGGTTTGCTTTGGGGTTTGTGTCCTCATGTATAACCTGTAAAAGTAAATACTCAGCTATGTCACTGGGGCTGATGTCCCCAATTTTTTTTTAATAAATCTCTTAACTGGCTGGGTTTACAAACAGCACATAAATACCAAAATTAGTTCTTACAGTCCAAGCTATGTCAAACTTAGAATTTACCCCCCCCCCTCAAAAAAGAAGTGCACAGTAAAATCAGTCAGCTACATCACTTTCCAGTAATATCAAAATACAAAGAGAATTTGTTAATTTATCTAGCCACACAGATATTTCTAGCTTTTCTCACTCTTCCAAAGCTACTGAATCAAACTGCATTTTGGGATAGAGCCTCTTTGTGAGTCCGCTGGTGAGTGCGAAGGTTGCTCCTCTGAGAAAAACTCTTGCCACATATGTCACATGTGTACGGTTTCTCTCCTGTGTGAATTCGCTGGTGAATCTCCAGATGGCTGACGCGATCAAAGCTTTTGCCGCAGAATGGGCAGATATACCATTTCTCTTTAATGCGGCGACTTGCTATCGTTTTATGCAACTCAGGGTCATTTAAAAGAAAGAATCTGCTGTCTGGGTTAAACGCTGACGTGTTTTTCATTTGAGGTTGTTTCTCTGAGAGGAATCTGATGGACACTCCTCTCTCTGGGTGATTTATTGCTTCTATAGGCTGACTTGTCTGAGCGTGGCTAGAACTCATAGGAGTCCTTGATTTACTTGATGCACCTTGTCCATTATCCCTCATAAACCTGTCAGGGTATGCTGTCTCTGGTGAATTATCAAAAAGGTCCAAAGCGTTCTGAATGAGCAGGATCTCCGAGTCCAGATTTTGTGACAGCTGCTTCGGTTCAAAAAAGCAGTCTGAGTCATCAGCAGTGTCGCTGTCTCCCACTGACACTGACGACCACTGCTGGCTCTCTTGTTCTACCACAACCTCGTCAGGTTGGACGCTCAGTTCCATCTCACAGTGACCTGCTCCGTCGTTACCACTGGCATCGGAGTCCACTATCTGCTCCACGATCTGAACGTCGTCCTCGTCCTCTAGCTTGACTATTAAGTCCTCATCATCATCATCATCTCTGCAGTCACTTTCACAGATGTCAGACTTGAGCTGCTCGGATTGTTTCTCTTCTGTCTGTGATGGTGGTGGTGGTGGTGTTCTGTGATTCGCTGAGGTGTCCGCCTTCTCTCTGACGTTCTGCTCAGGTGACAATGTTTGGACTGAATCTATAATCGGCCCTGAAACAACACAGCAAGGTCATTATTTACACGTACTCAGATCCAAATGGTGGTTTGTACGGGCTTTAATGACAATCACCATTTTTATGAATGAGGTTTCCAAGCTTACAAGTCAACATAGAACAAGTTATACTGGTACAAATGGGCCAGTGTTCCGCCTGAGACACATGCCAAACACAGTGAACCTGCACCACAAACAGGGGATGCTGGTGGATCCTTACCAACACAGACTGAAAGACACCTTAGAGGAATGTGGCAGGGCTCCAACTATTCATTTTCATTATTCATTAGTCTATTGATTATTTCCCCGAGTCAATGTGAAAAATGTGAGTGAAAAATACTCATGTTGACATATATAAAGTGCTTATTTTGTCTGTCTGACAGTCCAAAAACCCCAAACTATTCAGTTCACAAAATCCTCACGTCTGAGTGTAAAATATTTTTTAAAATGTAACATTTTTTCTTTTTGATTAATAACTCAGACAATTTTCTAAATTGTCGTCGAGCAATTTTCTGTCATATGACTAACAGACTCATTCAACTGGCTAATTTTTCAGCACTATACGAGACTAAAATTTTAATTATATGCATTCAAAAAGTAGCCTCCAAGGTTGAGTTAAAACACTAATAATATTCTTAGATATCATAAAGTATAAATATGAGTTGATGTTACTGAGAGGATTTTGGAAGTTCTTTAGAAACATTTGTAGAGGCTTAAAATTAAAATTGTTGTTGTGGATGTCTAGTGTAGTGGCATCTGTTTGATAGTTGAGTGATATTTCAAGCTTAAATACCAACAGATGATAGCAATATATAATAAATACCAATCATTCTTTGATTTTGGCCTCTCAAATATGTGGATTTGCTGCTTTCCTTTGTAATATGTAGGCTATTAGTAAAGTGAATATCTGGGTATTGGACTGTTGATTGGATAAAACAAGCAATTTGATAGTGCCACTCAATTTTTTTACCACACACATAACATATTTATTGATAAACTAATGAGCAGATGAACTGATAATGAAAACTACTGTTACTTACAGCCCTAGCCTATTAATCTACAATATTATTTAACAGAGAAAAGGAGAAAATCATCACATTTGAGTAGCTGGAACCAGAAAGGCCAATCCCTGCATCTCAGAGGAAAATACTGTGGTTTTTACTTAATTACATTGATTTTACAGCTTTAGTTACTAGTTACGTTGCATATCCATACTATTAAAACAGAATATTAACTATCTAATAAACTATTATGTATAATTATAGATTAAACTACCCATCAGTATATAAAGTAGATTCAACCAGCTGCAACATAAAAGTGATGTGCATCAATAAATACAATCTAATAGAAACACAATAAAAATTATTCTGAAGTAGCCTATTTTGCATGATGAGCACTTTTACTTTTGGTGCTTTAAGTACACTTTTGTAAGATTTTGAATGCAGGACCTTAGCTTGTAATAGAGTATTTTTTACTCTGTAGTATTACTATTTTAACTTCAGTAAAGGATCTGAGTACTTCTTCCATCACTGGTGTATAATGTTACACTGTTGCATGTAAAATGTTTTACCTGCCGTGATTAAGTTTAAAACATAATGGTTAATATAGTGTACTGTCTAATCAGTGTGGTCATCCTTACCATCGCCGGTGGGCGGCAGCAGCATGTTCTGCTGCTCTCTCTTGGAGGAAGATGATGAAGACAGATTTGTAGTCTGAGCCTGAGACATGACCGTTAACCGCTCGGTTTCCAACAACACCAACTTCCTGTTCAGGGCTTCAATCTCGCTCTCTCTCCGGCGGAGCTCGACCTGAACCAGGGCGAAGCCGTCCTCCCACAGTTTGCTGATTTCCACCACGGCAGCTTTAGCTAGCATCTCCATGATCGAGGTTAACTTGCTCTGGAAAGCCACACAGTTGGCCATGTTGGCCCGGGTCAGCAGCTCCGCTAGCTGTGGCGACGCGAGAGGACTGTAAACTAACTTTCTATGTGCAACAAATCACACGACAGTCACTGTTTCGTCCGGTGTAGTTTTACATTACGGTGTAAGTACTGTTTGGTGCGAAAAACATGGAAGTGTAATACAATAGCAACAGGAAACGCTGGTGGTCATGTGACAGAGGAGGTACGGTGCTCATAGAAGGACAAAATTCATCAGCAGGGAAAACAAACCGTACATTGAAGAACCTCCTCCTCATCTAGCTTGTGTCGGCAGTGCAATAATAAACAATTAACAACTGGTTTATAACGAACAGTTCGTCAATAATTAGGCTAAAACACCAGTAACTGACATTTGGGCTATAATTATATGTATGCCTACAGTTTAGCAGTGTTTAAGGAAATGTGTATTATATTTTTCAAGAAAGATAACATACTTCTTTAACTTAGTCTCCATAACTGAGACTTTCAGAGTCTCAGTTATTCTAAAACTATTCTTATTTAATAATGAGAGCACATCATTTTATTTCCACGCTGCCTTTTCTTTTTTAATTTATGTCTTTTAATCTTTCATATTACTTTTGGGTATTTTATTTCCCTTTAACTTGCATTATTCCGTTTGTCTGTTCAGCATGAGTTTTGAACACATGCACATACACAATCTTAAACTATTTGTGCATGTGCATAAACAACACACTGTAACATTTATTTACGTGTGATATTAATGCACTTTTTAAAACTGTGTTCTTTATCATATTTTGACAGCTTATACATCAGTTAAGAATCAGCTGTGTTTTTCATAGGAGAAACTATAATTGTTGGCAACTTTGAATCACTATAACTACATTGTAGTGTGTTATAAACAATTTATAAAGTGTTTGTGTAGGGTACTGCTTTTAAATCTAAATAGGGGATTAAAGTCAAGTGTTACAGTTTTGGATAATTTGATGTAACAAATGTTAACTTACTTATGAATACAGACCATGTAATGTAAATTGTGTTACATTGCTGTTTCCAAGGTCAAAAAGGAACTTGACACAGTGCCACAAATTCAGGTAATAATGCAGGTTGAGTTGATGGTTGTTATTGTACTTTATTGGTGCAAATTTTTAACATTAGTCACAAATCCCCCCCCCCTCCTGTTTGTAACGAGTGACTACAAGGGCGTGTCTGTGGAATCCTGCATCAACACCTATTCATGCTCCCAACTTAGAGAAGCTAATCTAACAAAATTATTTCAACACCTGCACCAAATTATCGCGTGACACATGCATGAAACATTTAAGAACACTTGTGGATGGACGTATCTAACAGTGCTGCCTAATTTTGTCCACTAGGTGGTGCTCTATTTCCATGAGAGAATAAAAGCTAAGGTCAAAGCACCTACCCTTGTTGAAAAAATCTATTAAATTAGATCTGTTTGGTAATCTATGATGCTACAGTTTGTTATTGTAACTTTTATTTGCTAATTGTGTACCAGATTTTGATTATGACCACATGAAATGCATCTTAGGTCTATACATAGGCCCATTAATGAATAAAATAAATCACATGTCTATATATGTATTTTTTAATTGGCCAATTATTTCCCCAAATACTTAATTGTATTACAAGTCACTCTCAAAAGTTGCCACATTTTAAAACAGTGGCCATCTGTTAACGTGATCTTTACACTGAAAAAAAAAGATAGGTTAATAAAAAAGAAATAAAAAGACTAATTTGCTGCACATCAAAGAGCTTTTTAAAGACACAATGAAGATGGAAACAAAAGCAGTGGTGGCTGATGTTGCATTTGTTAAGTAAAACAGCTGAGAAAGTTTGCCACAAGAGTATCTGAGCTACTTAAAGCTTTAGTCGTGTGTGAAAATGTATTTTTGAGCGACTAAATGTTGAAAACGAAGAATATTGCATTCAGTATTTAACTTTTTTTAATTTAGTTTAGCATTCCTCAGTGTAATTTGTATCAGTATTGTTTTTATGTATTTATTGTGTTTGCTGCTTTTGGCTCTTCTCTTTATTTACTCTTTATTTACCTTCTTTAATGTTGTTGTATGCCTCCTTTTCTCCTTATATAGCACTTTAAACTTCATATATGTGAGAGACGTGCAAATAAACTTGAACTTGAAAACTCAGTTATGATCATAGTTGATGATTCCTCTTTCTGTCCCTTGAATTTTCCTTATCAGTAAATTCGAACACCTCCCATATGTACGAATAAATCAACTTTTTTTTATATAATTTCATATTTCAGTTGATTTTACAGTACTTTAAACGTGTATTTTGTTTATTTTATTATTATTATTATTATTATTAGGTATCCGTCTGTGTGAACTGTTTGGGAGTTTAACACGCGCGCGCACGCACAAAGATACCTGGCCATTGGTTGATTTAGCTGTCGATCAAATGTGGGCGGGGCTAGTGGGAGTACTCGGCTGAGAGCGAAGAGACGACGGAGCTGTCAAACAGCAACAATCGCCTGAAATATCATCTCGGGCGGTACTACGAACATCGTACTTTGCTCTATTGTGAAAACAAGGACGACAGAAGCAGACTTCGAGTTCACTTTGAACACTCAGCCTTTGCGAATTTGGACTTTTAAACCGTCCGCGACGAAAAACTTCCTGTTTTATGTGTGTTGGTGGATCTCAAGCTAATGTTTGTTAGCTCTTCGCTTAGCTCGAGTTTTATTGACAAACTAGCCAGTCAGCTAGTCACAGAGGAGCTGCGTTACCAACTTTGCTGTCTTGTAGTTTTCGATAAATGCTACCCGGGAAAGGCATGGAGTCCAGCTTGAAGTGTCCCTACAAATATCTCCATGAATTAACAACAGGTAAGTTAAGACAGCTAAACTTTATCAAGGAGTAGAAGATAATACTGACTGTTGCTGCTGTGGTTTGTTTACACTGACTGTCTGGCGGTGACCCAGCTATTCTCTTCATCTGACCACCTCTACTTAATCTGATTTGTTGTATCAAGCTGTCTTAGCAGCATTGACTCATTAATTGTCTTTGGTATCCAGATAATGGACAGGTTTTTTTCCCTGCCCTATGGACTTGTTCATTACTCTAAACCCTTGAAGAATGACAGGTATGCAGCAGCTCATATATCGTTGCAGTTCAGCACAATAGATGGTAGTCAGATAAGAGGCTTCTATTCACTTTTGTTGAATGTGACCTTGCTCAGATACTCGAAAAAAGATTGCTCTTTTAGTGAACAGAGAACTCTCAACCTTCCCTGTCGTTCACAAGAGCAGATTAGTGAAACACTGACATTTATTTTGAGAGTATTTCATGAATAGTTTATTGAAATGATCAGTAGATGTTCTGATGTTTTAATCAGTGTGATTATTTCTTGTTGTTTTCTTTTTGTCATGGAGGTATACATACACAGTCATACACAAATGACTGTCTCTCACATACATTCACACACTCCCCTCTAATACCGCTTGCCCTTCAGAGACACTCTAACCCCATTGCTGCAACCTATCATTATAACATCACTTACGTTTTGATTTATTGCTGACATTTTCTATTAGTCTGTAATCCACCGGGACACAGCTGGATAGTGTTCAGTCCCCCAAACTACTGTTAAAACATTTGGCCCGAGGCTGCTTTGGAGATGTCCCATCTGTTTTGGAGTAGCTACAAGCCACATTTTACAGACCAAAAAAAGAGCCGGCTTTTAAAATTCCACCCTTTTCCATGCAGAGTCCCTTTGCTGTGGTGTCTTAAATGCATGCCCTGTGGATATGTAGGCAACAGGGTATAGTTTAGAAACAAATATAGTAATGAACACTGGTGGCTTGCCTATTTTTTCTCTAATCACTTGCATCAAGAGGATTTCCTGCAGCATAGGTCACTGAGGGTCATCATACTGCTGAATATTACAGGATTTTTTTAGTGTAATAAATTTGTTTTATGTTATGTGCCTTTGGTTGTCTTCATTGTAGACTGGACTGATGTGAGATGCTGTCTGTTTTTAATGTTTACTATTGAAGAGGGTGTAAAACTTCCTCTTGGTGGTCAGCATACTGCAATATGCTAGAAGATCATCCTGAATAAAGATAGAGTTTTACCCACCCTCAGTGTCTTGTAGAAAAACACAGAGTTCTGCATTTTTATTTGTGTGCATCATTTGCATGATTGAAATTCTAGTAAGCGTAGGAAGTTTGTGTTTAGTCAGAATCGGCTGCCTTGACCACTGATGTGGGTGTGAGGGGACAGAAGCTCTTTTCTGTTGCTGCTGCTAGCAGTTGTGCATCATGGGTGAATATATATCTTACTTACTGACCTATTCTCGTCTACTCAGATACATTGACATTGATGAAATGTGTGTCTCTGTTCCTGCTCTTATATAGCTAGTGAAAAGAGAAAGAATAGCCTAAGCCTGGCACTTGTTTTGGCTTACATTTTTCTTGGCTCTGGCACTTTTATTTCTGCCGTACCATTTCAGCAAGGCAGAAAATGAGGTGTCATTGGAGAGAAAAAGGAAAGTGGAGGATGAAAAGCCTTTTAAGGATGTGGCTGGGACAGAGAATGATGTCAGAAGTTGTCCAGTAGGTCTACAGTTACTCTCTGGTCTAGTGTCTGTGATGTAATGCTAACGGACCAAAGCAGAATCTGGCTGTGTCACCTCAATGCTGTTTTTAGCATCTGATCTTATGAGACCTCTTCTTGGCCTGTCATTGACCTTTGTGTTTCTGCTTCAGTTTGATGTAAGCTGGTTGAGTTTATTTCTTTTAAATTTGCCATGATTCCTCCCCGTTTATTGGAACATATTTTACTGAACTATTACAATTATGTTAAGTGTGTGTACGCACATTGTAAATTTGTGATTACGCCTGGCATGGTATATAGATATATATATATATGTATATATATGTTTATATAGATATAGATATAAATATACTGCAATGTGTTAATGCTGTGCATTGGGACAGAGATCTCAGAGAATACCATGGCAGACTTTGTAGTATTAAAAGCGATAGTGTGAACTCTTTTTTTTATGATATGCACAAGCTCATTGCGGGACATGGATACTTAAAGGAATAGTTCAACCACAGAGGGAAACATAATCATTGTTTACTTTCTTTCACTGCATTTCCACGTTAGTTCAACTCTTTGTCACCCTTCTTTAACACAACTGAAGTGAATGAGAAGCTGCAACTTTAGTGAAAAAGCCTGTCATAATTTTCATAAATCCCAGAGTGACATCTGCAAAGTCTTATTTTGTCCAACCAAAGATCCAAACCCTGCTGCTCAATTTATCATAGCGTGAGAAATAACTTAAATGATTAATTCATTATCAGAATAGCTGACAATTAATTTTCTGTCAGTCTGCTGATCCATTACTGGTGCACCCAGGAGTTGTCTCATAAATAAACTAAAGTTATGCTCACATCCAGTGTTATACACCAAAGTTGAGTTTTACTCCACTTTTGAATCAAGTATTGGAAAAATATTCACAACAAGACTCAACATGTTTTATTAGCCAAAGAGATCTTTCTTTCTTTCTCTTCTTGGAATAAAGTGTTCTTAAAAGTAAGATATGAAAGCCACATTGTTTATGTGTGTAAAGACCTTTAGCCACGGACTTCCTTTCCTGTTGCCCTTTGTACCCTGCTGATTTTGTTTTGGATGGCAGAAAGGTCCAGGACCTGAGCTATTCCTTGGCTACCCTCCCATAATTGGACAATCAGCCCCTATTACAGCCATTACATTTGGGCCTGTTGAGCAATGGCAGTGGCTTGTCTCATCCATCCTAAGGCAAGTCTCAGTTTACAGCCACAACTGCAATAGCCGAACCTTTAAGGAAATCATAGCATGGCAGCTTTTGTTGAAAGTGTGAATGTGAATGTGAATATAATGTGATTTGCCTCGCCATTCTTTTACAGTAGGATTCACAAGAATATGTTACCTTTTAGGCATAACAATGAATCTGTGAACAGAACCCATCTGCCATTATATCATGTCAATATAAAACCACAGACATACCTTACAATAATTTTTCTCTTTACTTTCCTAGGTCTCCAAGGGCTAACTATACATCTGTCAGACATGTGAAAACCCTGGTGGACTCCCCAGTCACAAGCAGTCAGGAACTGGACTATTAGGAAACATCTTGGATCCAGCCAGGGTGTGTCACCAGGGGTGCCCTAAACCAGGTTTTACACTGAAGTCTATGTGTGTGAAATATTTTCTCCCAGGACACAATCTGACTACATCCTGGGCTGCTGTGGAACCCCTTGGCACCATTAAAACAATCTAGTCCTCTTGTCATGTGGGTACATTACAGAAAAAGGCCCATATTACCCTCACTGGTATCATCTTTAACATCACCATGGATCGGAATAAACGCAACTCAATCGCTGGGTTTCCTACACGACCGGAGCGTAACAATGAGGACAGAGATGGTATCGGAGGGGTAGGGGTCTGCGAGATGGGAATGGGCCCGCCTTCACAGGTCAGTCATTCTTTATTTTTATGTGTAGGATGCATTTCACTTGTGCAAACCATATGTAATAGTGTACAAACTTCTGTGCATGTATTAAATAGTTAAAAAAGTATTGATAATGTATTGTTATAACTTTCTAGCTTTGGATAGATTGATAATGGAAAAACAGATAATGCAGAGTTCTGATACACACACACATTGGGCCTATTATTATTATGATTTAGACTGATCCGACCAAGTTGGACTGAGTCGGTTCAAGGCTGGGTCAGTTGCTGACAGTCTGGAGATAAAGTCAGTCACACAGTGTCTGATGTTTGAGGATTCTTATTATTCACCATATTCTAATGCTGTTTTGAGTTTTGAGGGGTTTGCATGGTTGCCTAGAGAATTCAGTGTGCACTCCTCTTTGTCTGTCTGGACTGAGAAATTCAGTGTATGTTAGTGTAATCAGTTTTTATCTCTAGTTTCTAGTCTTTTAGTCCCTTTCCCACTTAAGAGCTACAACACTGTCTCTATCTGTCATTTTTCTGCACAAACGACAAGTCTTTGCAGCTGTCCTACAGCATGCCCATCTGATAAAGTCTTCATCTTAACGTCTTGATACCATCTATTTCTGCCTTCTCCAGGTGGGCAGGGTGTGGCCATCGTCCTACAGAGCCCTCATAAGTGCCTTCTCCTGTCTTACACGTCTTGATGACTTCACCTGTGAGTGGATTGGCTCTGGATTCTTCTCTGATGTCTTCAAGGTGGGTGGAGATCTGTGATCACAATTTTTTCTCCTCTCTTACCTGGGTTTTCCTCAGTTTGTCCTTGATTTCCTTGCCTTTCCTTGCTTGACTTCATCTTTTGCCGCTTTCCATTCCTTTGATTGGCTATTAGATCTTATTTTCTATTCATGCCTCAACCCATCCATGCACCCAGGGTGGTTTATAATTTGTCAGACAATTACTCACACCGATTAACCTCAGGGTTTTTTTTTCTCTGCTACGTGACACAAGTCATGCTAGTGCACTGGCCAGGAAGATTAACAGTCATAGAAATAAAAGGGAACTTGTGGTGCATGGCCTTCCCAAGTAAATGACATTTATATGAGATTAAACTGTTAAACACCAAAGTCATTTTCAGTTTATCTTGTCAAGTCTTTTCCAGACATTTAAGGTCAAGTTAGACTGCAGTCACTTCAAAGACACAACTTAAACACATAGTTGTTAACACTGTTACTCTTATTTCCTCACCCTCCAGGCATGTGAATGGGAGTCACGCAAGCACGGTTGGCATTATAAGTATGGTTGGTTAGGTTTTGTGAAGCCTTTCCTTTTAACAAGCATCAGCAGATAAATTTAATTTCCTGTATTTCTTCTTGTTCGATGTAATAACAAGGCTGCTATGACTGTGTGAAATTTTGGCATGGCTTAGTTTGGCTTAGATAAGCAGTGCGAAAGGACTGCTCAGCTCGGAAAGGAACTGAGTTGCACTCGTGTGAAATAAACAATCATGGCCTTGTTATACTGATAGCATTTGAATTTTAAGTTGGATTGTTGTGACTCCTGGATCAGATGTTTTTTTCAATAGCTTTTGTGTGTATGTGCGTACGTATGTGTGTGTGTGAGTGTCTCCTATACACGAAGGGGAATTGTCTGATTAATTAAAATAATGGCCTAGAAGATTTGAGTGACATTAAGCCAGGCTCAGTTTCTTTCCACATTATTTGTTGTATCAGATTACATTTTAATATACAAGGGTTTCTATTTTTCTTGTCACTCCCTGTGTGTTAAAATTTCCATGAGGTCGAAACTCTATATCTTTGTTACAGATCTCTATTGGATTGGTGATCTGCTTTGAAATTCAGTTTCCATTGTGTCTCTCTGTCAGGCTACAGCTTGGGGTTGGGCTGATTGATTGTACTGTTGATGGTGTCTGACAGCTATTGGTGATATTAAAGTGTTGCACATTTGGTTAGGTATAGCCAATCTTAAAGATCTTTATTGGAGGAGATGGTGACATATTTTAATTGGTTTTTATCAGCCATATTAAGCCTATATTAAGTCACATGTTTATTGTAACCAATGTGTTATGCATATGCCAGCTGTCAAAAACACCCCATTGTGGGATGTGTAAACACTGGAGCTTATTCATAACACACAGACCTGCAAGTGAGTGAACTGAAGAGTGGCACACATAAACAGCAGCCAGCAGTTTTAATTAACGATATCCACATTTACAGCATGTATCAGTGAGTGAAACTCTTTAGATTAAACAACGGTCACTGTGCCATTGTGCTGCTGTTTTAAAACTGCATTTAAACTTTAGTATTTTGAGAGTAAATGTCCAAATATTGTCTTCACCTTTCTATCTAAAATACTTTAAACCATTACTCTATATCTTTTTAAACACTGTTGGACATACGCTGTACAAAACACCTTAATAAACTATACCAAACAAGACAAACCATTTATTGTTAGTAGAGGAAATAAGGATGGGAATAGAGAACTGGTTCCTGTTGAATACTGATTGTAAATTGTCCGATCCATCTGAATTGTATAGCTCCAAGCTTATTAATTGTTTTTCTGACAGTTTGGCAAAGCATTGATGTCAACTCATGCGTCCACACTGCTGAACACTTGCAACAAGAAGTAGTAAGAGCAGAGAGGAAGAAACGGTCTAAAGCGTGGCTATATTTCGCAACGAAAAATGACAACAGTGCTGCCGTACAGTGTGACTTATAGTGCAATTAATGAAGTTACCACAGTGGCACATGTGCGATACAGCTTTGTGCTGCCTCTGTGTGAGACATTTCATCAATTCTTGTTCATTAAAGGAACGTTGTGGTGCCGTCTGTAAATTGTCTAGCCTTTATTTTGTCATGTTAAAGCTATGTGTGCATTGTACAGCTCTGTTGTTCAAGAAATCGTAGGCTAATCAGAAGTGACAGGGAAAAAACGGTCTTTTTCTTAATCTAATGGACCACTTAAGTGCATATTTTGACTACCTAAGCCAAATTAGACTATAATAAATATTTTGTGAATGATTTAAACCTCCAGCGCACATAATCAAACTAAACAACACCTTTTTTTCGTGGACCAGGCTTCCTGTGTGCAGTTTATTATAAGTACCACCTTAGCCTTTAGTTGAGTAATGGAAATATCTGTTAATACTTTTTTTCTGTAAGAGAGAGGAATGCATAGGTAAACAGAGAGAGAAGAGGAAATGGAGCAGAATGATGAAAAGCTTAGAATCAAGAAGGATGACAGAAAGGGACAGAAACAAAAAGGCGGTGAAATTAATGGTGACAGAGGTTGAGGCTAAGAGGAGGAGGAACCAGAGGGGAAAAAGCCTCTGATGTCGGAGAGCTGGGGTGGCAAGACTGTTGAAGGGGATGAAAAATGAGGGTTGAAAGGAAGTTTTAGGAGTTTACGGAGTACAGTTCAGGAGAAGATTGGATATAGAGGTTTTCTAGAGCTTGGGTTAGGGGGAGGAGGAAAGAAGGGGGACGGGGGTTAGTGGACAGGGACAATGTGGGGGTATGTTTTCCAGAAATGTGCAGGAGATATTAAAGAAGTGCAGGACCATAGAGCAGAAAGACAGAGGATGAGAGGAGAAAGAGAAGAACTTGGGGTCGACTACGGGGGAAGATGAGGATTAGGGACGACAGTTTGTTGGAGGCCACAGCGAGGAGAAGAAAGAGGGGGATTGGGAATATATGCAGATGGGGGGATGTGAAGAGTGAGGAATGGGGGGTCGGAGGAGGATAGACGGATATGGGGGAGGAGGCCTGCAGAGGAGTGGCCATCTGTTGTTTCTGCTGTCCTGCGGTGGAGACTGTCAGCTCTTATAGCCAGGCCCCTTCCTTTGAACTTGAACAGAGCAATTTTTGTGTCAGTATCTATGAGACAGAGAGAGAAGAATACACAGAGAAACCCTATAATCTGAATCCAAATCCATGAGCTGTTTTTCTTTTCCTGCTATACATTATATAGATAATATTGAGAACTTTGGACTTCACAGAGATGTCTCCAAATACCCAATTTGCAGTATAGCAACAGTTTTGTCCATTAACTTTCAGTGTTATTATCCACCAGTGCACTGTGGCTGGGATGTTGTTAGAAGATGATATGAAGCCGCCTACTGTTGCAGTAAACATGACTTAGCAGTGGTAGAATGTAACTGAGTACATTTACTCAGTACTGTGCTTAAGTACAAATTTATGCTTGAGTATTTACATTTTATGCAACTTTATTCTTCTGCTCCACTCAGAGGCAAATATTGTACTTTTTACTCTGCTGCATTTATCTGATAGCTTAAGTTATTTTTCACATCACAGTTTTTCGTATGCTTCCTGTCAAGTGTAAACAATATTTCCCCAAATGTACTGATTTAGAATTTGATTGTTTCTGATAAACTGAACTGTAGTCGCTATAACACCAGATATAATAGTAACAGGGACTGACAGGGATCATTTTATCACACAATGATTACTCTTACTTTTGATGCATTGTACATTTTGCTGATATGATATGATGAATACTTATACTTTTATTTAAGAGATACTTTGCCGATTGTCAACCACCTTCGTTAGCTCCTCTTCATCTTACCAGCACCCAGATCTCTGTGCTCATCTCTCAGCTCATTGCACCATCTAGTAGATTTTCGCTGGCTCTGTGGCTCATGCTATGGCCGTTGCCACCACTGATGCAGAGACTATAGAAGCAGACCAAACTCTGATCAAATGGTAAAGCTATGCAGTGCTGATCAAATATAAACCAAGATTTGTTACTGCAGTGACTTTTTCTTGCCTAAAATGTTGTCAGAAATGTGTTTAAGCTTTTGATTTAACTGTAATTCGAGATTGCTTGTTACCATCCGGCCGGCATATTGTTTCCTGTGGAAAAACGCCCCAGCTCGCATTGCGTCACACACGAGCAGGAGCGTTCATTGGTCCTGTGCAGCACAGTGCATTCTGATAGTGTAGAATTTCTGCCTCTTGAACAAAAGCAAATGCCACAACTCTTTTACTCTGTTTTCTCTGGTCATATAGCACTAATTTCAACCTTTTTTATTAAGGATATTTCTACTACACAGACAGTCTAGTGTTGTGAAAAGACCATCTTTTCAGCAGTGAAACACTTCTTTAAGTAAGATATTGAATGCAGGGCTTTTACTTGTTAACAAGTATTAAACAGTGTGATATTAGTACTTTTATTTCAGTAAACGATCTGATTACTTCCTCTTGCCCTGCTCTCTGGTTACATAGATGAACGTTTTCAGGATGCTCCTAGCCTGAATTGCTCTTCTGAGAGAGCAGTTTGCAGTGCTCACCCAAGGAAAATGTGGCCTGTCCAAATTATCTTCCACCATTTTTGTTAAGGATACATATTGAATCATGTCTAATCATATATTATCATTTTTGTTTTCCACAACTAAGTGCACATTAAAAGCATTGACACGTCCTGTTTTATACATCACGTCTGGTGTGGTTTAAAATAGTCATAGCGATGATGTATAATGTCATGAGTGCTGTTGCATAGTTGGGATCATAGCTGTCATACTAATGTGACAGTAAGCAGCTCTGTTTTGCATGATATGTGTGATGCTTCAGGATTATTTTCTGTAATGCAGTTCCTGTCTTGAGCTCTTGATAATGTTTGAAAAGGCTCTTTGTTGCTAAAGGCTCTCCACATAGTCACAGTATCAATTTAGCCTCCTCAGACTACTGCTTTAAAACCTGCATCATGGTCTAATTATGTTTCTGCTGTCAGGAAGTGAGTTAGTAAGTGTCTGCAACAGCGCAGTCATCTGATGTGCTGCCTTCTGTGGTTTGCAGGTTGATATTTCCTATTAGCATGCATATGAGTATATTCAGAAGAAACCAAATTCTTGGTAATTAGTGCGCTGTGTTGCGTTGTCTCTGAAACCTGTGGTGTGAATGACCATTTTACTATTTAACTAACCTTAGATAACTGCCTGTTTAAATGATATGGGCAATGAATAGGCACTCTGTCTTTAACAGTAACCAGCAGAGGAAAAACTCAATTGTATCTGCTTCATTAGAGAGATTAAATGTTTTAAGTACTCTCTCAGAGGCTTTGCATCCTATTAAATGGACTTATTTTTGGAAGCAAATGTTAGTATGTTCTTCTAATTAAAATCTTTGAATGTCAAATACACTCTTGAACACATAACACTGCCAGTCTTATGCAAAAGGGATCTAAAGGGCATGTTAGGTTTATTTTTTATTTTTTACATATGTTCACTACATACTGCAATTAATACATGATTTTTGAATTTTTTGTTTTGTCCCAGTTTTTTCGGTTTGTCTATTAAGGCTTAATCATGAGACTCATTAGCAGAATGCCACCTTCTGTTCATAGAACTGGTCGATACTTTGAATTTACTGCAGCCAGGCAATGTTTACATCTACTACATCGACTTTTTGTAATATCAGTGATCCTTATTATAATGTAGTGACAGTTGGGAAACGAAACAATTTCACTTCCCTTGTTGTAGCCACATGTGAAACTTCAGCAGGAATGGCTTTGGCATTGTCTTCATGCTGTGACCTGTCTAGAGTGTTTGCTTGCCTTCCACCCAAGGCATGCTGGGATAGGCTCCAGCCACCCATGGATAGATGGATGGATGGTGATGCCACTATCCAACAGCTTAATGGAAACTAAAATCCCAATGCACGATAATACAAAATTGATTGTGCAGCTCTGGATTGACACATCTACTTTGTCATGGCTGTTCACCAGCGACTGACCTCATTTCAGTTCTCGTTTATGAGCTGCCTTCCTTTTGTGCTTCCTCTGTTTTTCTGCTGCACAAGCCAGATATTTGTTTTAGTATCCATCACAGAAAAGCAATATTTCAAACTGTTCAAGGCTTACCTGTAGTGACCCAAGCTGAACATTATTGTGTTGATTTAAAGTGTTATACAGTCCCAGTTTTACAGCTCCCAGAATATTAATATAGAGCAAATTTTGGGATTTAGCCTTTGTTTAGTTGTATTTGAATGCATTTGTAAAATGTTGAAATGTGGCATTATTTGACTTTTTTACAGGTACGTCATCGAGCTTCAGACCAAGTTATGGCACTAAAGATGAACAAGCGCAGCAGCAACAGAGCTAACATGTTGAGAGAGGTTCAACTAATGAACCGGCTTTCCCACGCACACATTCTCAGGTAGGTAACTGAATGTTTATTAACTAAAAATTTTCAGCTGGATTTAAAAAATATGTTAGTTTCTTCTCATTTTTGAACTGAGCTTGCTCAGAAGGAAAGGATTCTCACCATCCAATTTAAAAGCCATATGAATGCAGCTTATAAAACAAAGCAAACAAATACTGTGATTATTTTCTTCTTTGTTCTACTTGATTATTGCATTATCACGTAATATCTGCTACTTGTGAAACGTGATGGCGTAAGACAGTGATTATTGGTAGTGATTTCCTCTGGGCATTTTTAAAGGTCTAATCCAAAAGGCCTGTTATGTATCAGCTGATTGTAACAGATTCAACAACAAGATGCCAGTAATAATTTGGAATGAGCACGCTTTGATAAATTCACAGTAGGCTTATTTTAAGGCTTAACAGTGTAGGTTACTCAATAACTGCTAATAATAAATAAAGAGGAAATCCTATTTTTTCCACACATCTGACGTTACACATTACCTTAGCTATGTCTTATAACACCTGCCACTTTCGGTTATTACATATATAAATTATAGTGTCTGCTTCTACTTCGGCCTCGGTGTTCTCTCAGTTGCACATGAGTCTGTGGTTGTGACCTGTTTCCTTTGGGGTTGGTTCGAAACTGTGTCAAACACAGAGCCTATTAACAATGGATTTTCTAAACTGCCAGCTCCTGTTAGAGCTGCAGCAGCTGCCTAGAGGCGAAAAGCGAGGAGGACCCTTTCTGTCACAAGGGAACAGGACAAGGCTATGAACAATCAGGTTAATTTTGTAGAGATTTCCGGTCAACGGTTGGCCAGATTAAATGTGCAAAGCATGATACTGTGACGGCCCTTTACACCTGGCTCTGTGATCCTGAAGTGACACTTTTTTGTCTATTGTGTGTTCCCTTTATATCTCTATCTCTAACTATCAGCAGTAAACAGTTGTCAGAGGAGCTGAACAAAGTATTTTTGCAAGCTGACCAGCCACAATTAATTGGTGGCTGTGACTGTTATATGTATGAAGTGAACAAAACTTGCCTCTAACATTGTAAGCTTTAAATACAGTCAAAACTGTGTTTTCCAGAGTGCATAATAGTATGAACAAGCCTTTTGATGCAGTAACATGCACATACACAAAGTAAAGGACATATTTGGGTCTCTATTTGAATCCTTGTCTTGATTTGTTTTTGGTCTGGTGAGAATGTAAAATGACTTGTCCGTCACCTTATTATTTTTTACAAGAGCTGAGCACAGTACCCCTGTTCTTAAGTCATTACACATGCTACTAGTTATTTATAGAAAAGGTTTTAAAGAGCTACTGCTAGTTTGGAAGTTAACAGCCTTGGATCCAAATTCATGTTAGATATGTTTGAGAAATATAAACCCAGTAGGTCTCTTATATCTTTAGGAAACAGTCAGCTAGTAGTGTGTTGAGTCAGAACCAAACACAGTGAAGCTGCTTTAAGCTACATTGCTGCTCACAGACTTCCTGATGATCTTAACTGCGCCCCAACTTTAGCCACTTAAAACTCTAAATTAAAAATTCCCCTGTTCCTCTGTGGCCGTAATTTATTAATTTGTACTGCGTTTTATGTCCTTCATTGAATTCAGGGCAACTTATTGCATTTTATATTTATTGTTTATTTAAATTATCTTGTAATGCATTTTTTCCCCTTATGTAAAGCACTTTGAACTGCCTCTGCATTTACAAGGTGTTATACAAATAAACATGCCTTGCCTTGCATTTTATGACAGGAAAAGGAAAAGTCTGTGGACTAAATGAAACTTTATAGCAATGAGAATTCAAATGGCTACGAAACCCCAGAATAGTATTGTTGTTGACTTTTTGTAGTAAACACTTTCTGTCAAGTTTACATTCTGCTCTGGGCTCCTGCTTGGGAGAGTGTGTGTTTATGAACATGCACATACATGCATAAATGTGTGTGTGTGTGCGTGTGTGTGTGTGTGTGTGTACTTGTACATACACACATGCAGTATCTTTTACAATGCCATCTTTGTTGAGCCTAGTGGATTGTGTGTGTGTGTGTCTGTGTATTAACAAGCAGACACTGAGGGGCTCATTGTTAGCTAAAACCCAACAAGGACCCACAAAGTTGACCTTTTCATTGCGTTCAGAATTATGAGGCCTTCAACGCTGCGCGAGAACAAAGTTGGTTCACATGTTGCTCTGCACACACACACATTGTTTCACTTTAGTTAAAGGGGAACGCCGTCCTTTCTGGTTTAAGGATATTTTCCAACCTCTCAGGCTTATGACGATTCTTAAAGGTAGACTATGCAGGAACAGACTATGAAGGAATCGTCCTTCACCCCAGATTCAATCTCATTTTGGAACAAGCTTTGTCCACTTTCCACTTCCTATTGGATATGTGCTATTGGCTACCCCTTTATAAAGTTCTGACCTCACCTGCCTGCTGTTTCTGGCTGGGGGCTACATGCCCAGTGACGTCCGGAACACAAGATAACAAGAAAAAAAACAACAAGAAAATACAGGCAGAGGACAGGGTCCCTGCAAATAATCACATTGCCACACTCTTATAGTGGTTATAAGTGATTGAGAGGGATTATCTTCTTAAGAGTCCACACATTGTTTTTTAGGAAATATACCTTAATATGCCTTTTACAGGGTTTCCACGGTCATGGAAAAACCTGGAAAAGTCATGGAATTTTTGCTGTGTAATGACATTGTTACAGTAATCCTCTGTGAATAAACTTTTATGTAGAGTAACATAACTGCAAATTTATTTTTTGAGGCTGTCGATGTATCGTAGCTCTAATATGCGTCGATATTTGACAATGTTTTGTTTACCATCATGTACGTTTCTTCATTTTCTCCCCGTGTTCTGTCTCTCCTCCATGTATGCCAGCTAGTTGAAATTATGTCGAGTATGAATCTGATATGTTTATAAAATGCAGGGAAGAAAAACAAAATCCTGGAAAAGTATAGAAATGTTGTCGATAAAAATGTGCGGGGAACCCTGCTTTTGAAAATACAACCAAAAAGTTAAAATAATGCATAATCATCAAGCTAAACAAGTATTTTTTTTCTCTAATATACTGTGGGGACATCCACTGTGTCAAACTGTGGAGAAACACACACAAGTAAAAGAGCAATGTGATATATTCTGCCTTTGTTTATGAAGAATGTAGATGGTGATAGGCTCAGTAGAGGGAGAAATTGATGGAATGCAGGTGAAGTAACCGAGCTGTTATTATCCCCCTGTTAACAGACAGTCTCGCTGTAATTACTCGTCTGGTCTTGCCCACTGGAATCTTAATCTCTTCTCAGCTATTCTTCCTGCTTTCTCTGTTTGCTTACAGAGGAGAAGGTCATGCGAGTGTTTTGTTTTGATATTTCTACATTATTTTCATTATATGGCCCCACAGAGCAAGTGTGTGAACTAAGAGAAACTAAAAGCCATAAGTCCTGGCTTTTCTCCCAACTTTTAGAAAGTGAAAATAAGTGAGACATGTCTGTGTGTCAGCTTCAACACTCAGTTTCTAAAAAACATGTCCTCATGCTGTCTCAGAACTTAAAGGGCCAGTGTGTAATATTTGGCATGGTTTATTGTCAATCTGAATCTGAATATTCTACCCATTAATATGTTTATACAAGTGTATAATCACTATAAAATAAAATTCGTTTGGTTTTCGTAGCCTTATAATTATGCTTTTATATATATATATATAGCAAGGGCCTTGCTTTAGAGAGGTCGCCATCTTGCGCTGCCATGTATGTAAGGCAGCCCGAGCAGACAATCCAGCCAGCCAGAAAACGCGTTTCGCGTGTATAAATAAACCAACGAAGACAGTGGGAGGAAGGAAGAAGGAGGAGGAAACAGCAGAGAGTGTTAGTAGTTCGTCGATAGAGAGTAATGAAAAGTTTTTTTAGTTATAAAGTTTGCGAATGGACCACACAACAGGAGAGAATGAACTCGACCGTCATCTGCGTGGAAAAGAAGACGCAACTTCACTCCTTGTGATGCACTCTCTGCGGCGCTTTTCCTCCTGATGATATATCTCCCCAACGATGGCAGCAGTAGCACTAAATCCCATTCTGTGCATTCAGCCTCTCTTCTCGCCCGCTCAGCATCAAACACATGGAGTTCCTCATCTGTATGCTCCAGCTCAAACAGGTATGGCTCTGGGTCTGTGTCCGCTACAAGAAACTCTTCAAAATCGCGTTCAAAGTCGTCCATTGCAGCTACTATAGTCCGGAGATATTGCCAGGCTAAATAAACAGCTGAGCTCTGTTTACCGGCTACGCTGTCAGTCAGTGTGTGGGCTGGCGATTGAGCAGAGAGGGGAGGGGGTCCCCACTTGGTATGGTAAACGAGTATGTGTGTAAAGTTATGAAGTGTGTCTGTTGCGCTAGAAGAGTCAGAGTTTGGGAAGGAGTCTTTTACCCCCTGGAGTGTTACCAGAGTTTCTGGAGTGCTCAAATAAACAGGCCTTTTTCCCGAACGCTCCTCTGGTCTCCTGCTTGTGAGGGATTCATTACAATATCGTAACATGGTTTAGATTTCTAAATAAACATTCACCTCGTCGCTAGATAGACCTACTCCTGAAAAACTAGTGCGCAAGGCTTTTTGTCCCTACGAGGCCACCGTCATTTACCCAACGGGAGGGGTGAGCGAGTGAGCCCTGCAATCTAGAATTTGACCACTGATGTCACTGTTTTCAACCCATTTTACACATTGGCCCTTTAAGAGAACTTAATCTTGCATGTCTTTTGCGGTTTTGCAGGTTCAAGGGAGTGTGTGTCCACGAGGGCCAGCTCCATGCTCTGACAGAGGTAGGAAAACACACCATTTCACATTAATGTTTGGGTACTTATCAATCATATCTGAGATCAAAGTGCCTCTGCTAATGAAAGGTAGTGTACTGCTCTGCCTATGTTCTAGTGCTCCCTGTGAGCTGACACACCCATATGTTTGTATACATTCCTACTATTTTCAGGTGAACATCATGTCATCTAGGAGCACAACATATAAGCACACTAGTCTGTAATTGTAGAAAACCAAAAAAACTGAATGTTCTTAGGTGGTTTGTGTATGTGTGTGAGAGAGAGAGGGGGGGGGGGGGGGGGGGGGGGGGGGGGGGGGGGGGGGGGGGGGGTAAGCAGGTAATAAAATCCTCCAGAGATGCTTGATGTTGGGACATACACCATTAGGGTTACAGATAAGGTAAGTTTGTGTTTGTGATAATCATTTATTAGTCACAGAATGTGCTTGATAAGCAGAGGGTAATGTCTAAGTCTCCTTATTTGGAAGAGAAAGGAGATGTACAAGGTGCAAATATAACCTGAAACCTAATTCTACACTTACAAAGACTTAGTTTTGGTTTTCTAAAAGACACTGAGCCAACGTGAAGCAGATGCACTTTGACAGAATGTGAAAGAGGATATTTATGGTGGCTCTTGTGTGGATATTACTGTACATTGAGCCTCTGTCAGGATTTCTGCAACAACTAATATGAAATCTCTGCTTTTCCTTCTTGCAATATAGTAAACCATAATATTTCTTTTGGACCATTGGTCAAACAAAAAAATGATATGAAGGCATCACTTCGAACTTAGATCGTATTTCAAAAATTATTTTCTGCCTCTTTATGGACCAAGAGATTCATTGAATAAATTATCAGCAGATGACTAAAAGCTGCAGCTCTAATTTCTTGCTATGTTTACCTGCTGTTGATACACAAATTCAGCTTTATTGAGGGACGGTTACATGACTGTGTTCATTTGATGTCCTGAGTTGTGGAATGACATTTCTATGTCCTGTGGGCATTGTATTTATACACAAACTGCGCAAAACTGCATATTTTACAACAGATGCACACATGTACATACATCCAACAGTTTAACCATGGGCTTAAGATGCATCCATACTAACACGTTTGTGCATGTTAATGTGGGCAGAACGTACAAAACAGACAATTCATCCCACTCTGAAGAAAGCATACACTGTTAAAAGATGCTTCCAGGCGCACGCACATGTACGTGATTACACTGTTACATTGCACAGTGAATGTGCTTATTGTACCCTTGACAAACACAGACAAACACTAATTTTCTACAGTTGCATGAGAGAACACTTGCCTGGGTCCAGACCTCTGAATCCACCCACTCCACCAAGCTGGCTTATTCGTCTGGCATCGTGACATTAAATGGAGGTTTCTCAAATGACAATCCATCGATCCAGTGAGAGTTGTGGGGGGCCTCACAGTGAGCCAATCAGCACGACATGTGGGACTAACGCTGTTGTCAGGAGGTTGTCAAGCGCTGTCAAGCTGTGTGCTAGTACCAGTGAGGAATAGTAACAACCATGAGGATGGTAGAAGACAAGATAGACACTGCTACAGACAGCATGTCTTCACAATATTACCTGACATTGTAGTTTGCTTTTACTTCAGTCCGCTCAAGTCTTAAAACCCCAGCAAAACCAGTATGTTGGCATGGCTACGCATCAGCGCCCACCTAAAATGACATTAGCTTCAGGTTGTTACGTTGGTCTCAACCAGTGATGGGCTAGGGGAGATTGAATCCCCCCACAGATATCAGTTAGAGTGGAGCTAATGTCAGATTGAAGATGGAAACGGAGTGAAACGAGTTACTATTTTGTCTGATACCAGGCAAAGAGAACACATCTAACAGATGACACATGTACACACACACACACACATACACACTTATGCTTCATCCTAAACTGTAGTTGCAAAGTGAACCCATGCGTTGTAAGACACACATATGAATATACATACACACACCGCAGTAGGTCTTGTTTTCCTGCTGCAGGGTAAACAGATCCTGTTGTGCCGTGTCAGGACCAAACTGAACGCTCTGACCCGTGTAGCATGCTCATGCTGTTTTGTTACCTGACCCTCACTATGAAGCCGTACTCAGAGGAAATGGAGAATTAAGTTACTGTATGGCCCAAGCGACCTCGAGAAACTCCATGTCTCTCACACACAGATGCATGCAAATCCACAGACAACTGCGAAATAAACAAAAATAGGCAAAAGTAAACAGTTCCAGTAATTAAATACTTCTCATCTTTGTGAATGATGTTAATTCAATTCAATTCAATTCAAAGAACTTTATTTTTCCATTAGGAACTTCATCTGAGAAGAGCGACAGTGCATATTAAACAAAATAAATACAAATAGATAAATACAAATATTAACATTAAGAACAGCCAAAGTATTGGACAATAATGGATATCTGCCTTCTGCAAGCAGCCAAAAGCAGTTCATTAAGTTGTCAGCTGAGTGGTGTTTGGTCCGATTTTAGTTTTATTGGTCAGCTCAGATTCAGATGTCTCAGACTGTTGAGGGCTGAGATGTGTCAGTTTTCTTTTTACAGTGTCAAACCTTTACCTCACTTGTTTTGATGGTCACTATTTTTCCCACATAACTGTAAATTACTCCTGTGATTTTAATATTTATTGTTTTTTTGTTTTTTTTTTGATGTGTTTGAAAATGAAATGTTGTTAATGTAAATGATGCCGCTTTTTATAATGTGATGAGACACTATAAATGATTTGATGGATTTTGTGGCACCCTTTGCCCATCTTCAAGGCGCCCTAGGATGTGGCGGTACCCACTTTGGGACCCACTGATCTAGAGCACTGAGCCTTGTTTTGTCTCTGCTGAATCTCGATCTAATGCACCTCATAGGAAATGCTCCTGCAAAGATAATCTGGGCTAATGGTAATTCATGACCCATGGCAGGATTATACTGCCGTTTGAAGCTGCTCCCAGCAGCAAACAAGGATCCTTTTGTTTAATTCTTTCCAGGGTTTTTAACCTGAAACACAGACAGTGTAGCAGAGCAATTTCTACAACAGTATGTTTCTCATTTCCTTTGCACTCCATGTTATACACGATTGTGGTGAGACACATATATCTCATACATGAACTATGTCAAGTAGTTACTTTTGTATATCAGTAACTTTACAAATAGGATAAAGCAAATTCCAGGAAAAAATACCATGCCTGAATAAGAGGATTTTTTTGAGTGCGACTTTACTTCCATTCAGCTACTTTTAGTTGACACAGCAGGTGCGCTCTTCCGCTAAACCACATGATTTGCATTTTGGACCAGGCACACTCTGCACTTGCTGCATATTCTGTCAGTGTGAGAATAAAATGGGTGCTCTCTAGATTTTAAATGAGATGATAAAGAGATGAAGTTGGATTAGTGTGAGTTTTAATTGTCTCCAGGGGAGTTTTCCCCTGTTGTATCCCTCTCAACCAGGCAGACAACAGATGTTGAACTCTGTGGCTACTGAGGAATCTGTTGGACAAATACTGTAATCCTCTCATGTCTTGAATTGGGGTGTGTGTGTGTGTGTGTGTGTGTGTGTGTGTGTGTGTGTGTGTGTGTGTGTGTTAGGACAATGATTGTATAAGACTGCACAGAGTGTTTTGGGGTGCGTTAAAGCATTGCTTTATCTTTTATTTCATGACTCCTTAGACCTTTTTGGCCTTTTAAAATAATAGCAACTGTGCAAGTTCAGAGCCCTGACAGACAATTTTGTTCGAACTGTTGATTAGGAAATAAAATAAAAAACACAGACAACAGATTGTTCATGTCTGGTAGAATATTTTAATGAATGTTTCACCGTGTGGGATCCTAGGATAGTGAATTATTTTAAATTTAGTCCTGGGCTGACAAAAAATTGTCCAGCAAAACTGTTGCAGGTCTAAATGTTGCAGGATGTAGATCATACATTACACAGTAGTTCCTCCTCATACCTCTTATCTTCATGAGGCAACATTCTAGTTTATTATTATAGAGATATTTGCTGTATCAGTAGCAAACAGTTTGTATAGGTCACACGGTCAAAAAAACATCCCCAAAATGTCCAAAAATGAGGTGACATTAGGGCTGGCATGATAACAGATTTTCAGTACACAATTATCGTGGTCAAAAGAGTATGCAATTACGCCATAATTGCGATAGCTATAGTCAATGTAAAAAATAATCATATTAATGCTATCAGTTAAATTCATCTTTAACTTTGTCTATTGTGTGTTTTGTCTCTTTTTTTGGCAACTGCACACAAAATACAAGTGTAGGAGTGTGGAGAGATGGTCTGTAACCGTACAAAAGTTTATAAAGAGCACATTTACTTAATGGATATTGAAAAGGCAACCAGATGGTGTTTGGAAAGGGAGACTAAGCAAAAACGGGAAGAAATGCAAATTATTTAAGAGGGGCTGGATTATTTACATGATTTTATCATGTGTGTGTTATTAACATGATATCAATATTTCATTTCAAAACATCACATTTATCATCAATACCAGTATATAGCAACACCCCTAGGTGACATACCTACATCTACTTCTGAGCTAACTATATCACAATTAGTGTAACTTGGTTGACAAAGCAGGTTTTACATATGAGCTTTAATGCAATGTGAATCTATTTAGAATCAAGTCAGTGATATGAATGTTGATTTTCTATCGTTTTATACTTTAAATTCAATACCAAATAACCTTGTTAAAGACACCACTGATTAAAAGCACAATTTAGTTAGCATCTTTTGATGTTGTAATTGTCCTTTAGAGGCTGAACCATTATGGCAATTAAGATTTGAGTGGTCTAGAGAGATGGTGTGATAAAGGATGTGACCCTGCATTCAGCTGGAAAAATCACACACAGCTCATTGAGTTATTGAGTATTAAAATTGTCTTGGTCAGGTTATATCGCTATCATTCATACATAGTTTTACATTCACTGTAAAAATATAATAAGATTATCGGAAAATTAGGATTAATCTGACCAGAAGCCCAGTTTAATAAATCGTGTGAAGAAGTAGCGACCTCCTCCCCTTGCCATTGGCCCCCTGTGTCCTAATTCTGTGCCTGTCAGTCATAACGATAACCAGACCATCTCTTTATCCCATCTCAGCTCTATTTAGTTAACCACTGTTGTTCGTGATATGTTGACATGGGATTAGTGTGTCTGTGTGTTTGCATGCAAGCAGCGAGGTCAGACAAGTTATTCTGGATCAAAGCTGACAGACAGAATGAAGGACCCTGGCCACTTTTAAACCCACTGAGCTGATTTGTCCTCTTGGCTGCCCACTCTTCGGCGCGATCAGGCGGTCCACATTCATGCATGTAGGAAACTAGCAGTTCTGCCTGCCAGATTTTATTCAGCCAATTGCTCGATACACCAGCTAGCCCCCAGGCCGGCGGGTGGGCTGTCTGTAACCCAAGCAGCCCACCAATCAGTCATCCACTCTGGGAGCCAGCTGGATAGGCAGTTGGTCTGTGTAATGTGTCAGTATCTTTATGTAGTTTGAGTTTGTCACCAGTTGACCAATGGATTTGCAAGCTAACTAACCAGTCTGTTGTTTCTGTCATAGGGAACATGGAGTGTTATATTGCTATGTATGGAGTATTATATTCACTACGTGTCACATTTAATTCCTGTGAAAAATCATTTGACATCTCCCCAGCTCGCTGATAACATGCTGTCAGAAATTAAATTTAAAACAATTTGTTAAATCCATTTGTCGGCCTAGCACCTTTTTTTAATTATTAGAAATTGAAAACTGAAATTGTATATTATATATTCTAGTAAAATTAAATACTTTGTGCTCCTTTTCTTGTGTGACGAAGTTTCAATAATGTGTCTCTCTTTGTCTTTCTCCAGTACATCAATGGTGGAAACCTGGAGCAGCTTCTAGACAGCAACAAACACCTGAGTTGGCCCACAAGGGTGAAACTGGCCTGTGAGATCGCGAGCGGTCTGGCTTACTTGCACTCCAAAGGCATATTCCACCGGGACCTCACCTCCAAGGTTAGCTAGACAGGCTAATTGCTTGTTAAGAAGAGAAAACAATGCCAAAAATAGAACTGTAGGCCCTCACACAGAAACATTTCCTGTAGCATCATATATATATTTATAACCTTTGTACATAAAACATGTGTGTTAGATCTAGGAGACAAATGTTAAAGATGTTGGGTCTTAATACACTTATGTGCTCAGACTTTTACTCCCAGACCTGTTAACCTCTCTGTAAAGAACACAGTGTCTCAGTCACATGTGATAATCTGTAACAGGCACCTTCTAGTTTTCCGACTTGACCCAGAGCCTGTTGGCATGGAGCTGGCAGGGAACGAGGACAGTATGCACCCTGCTGTAAACTCATATCCATTACCTGTATAAGCTTATAGTTGTTCATTAGTGGGAGAATAAAAAGTGGACAGAGAAATATAGAGAAGCTTTAGTGAAACCTGTTTTAGTAGACAATAGTTTTGCAGTTTACCCTGAGGGTTAAATGGTGTGGTCATAGCGTCTCAGATCATAGTACCTCAAATTAATGTAAAGTCCACTTGCCTATGACTCACACATCAGTCATGAAACTCAATGGACAAAGCAACATTCTCTTCTTGTTTATTCTAATTATTGCTATGTACTTGTTCCAAGCACTCTCTTCCAGCTGTAACTTCATCCTGTTTTGGAGATTATGCTTTGTTTTTATAGAGCTACATTTCAGTCTAACCTTCCATTCTAAAGGAATTATAAGCCATAAATTAACAAAGTACAAGACAGGACCAGGACACAGAGACATAAAGGGCAATGTGACAGTTTAAGACGTATGTAAAATAACTCACTTTACACATTAAATATGTACGGTGCATTAATGTACACTGAAGCAGCATGGTACAGTGTGCTAACCCAAGTAGAATGACATGTATGAATGAATTGTGAGTATATAAAACATTAAGATCAACCTCTTGTTGCATGATGTAATGAATGTAATTTTGTCAGAAGTGCATGTACTATTTTCTGAAGTACATCACAAAGCTGCTTGGGTAATATTAAAGACTGTTGCAACAAGCACAAACAGTAAATTTATAGATGGTTCTGTTTAAGGTGAAGAGGAAGAGTCCAAACTTCATAGCAGTGCATATTGAAATAGCCTATTAATACCCATTTTGAAATGTACAGAGAATGAGAATGTAAATTATGCTGAAGGCTCAAGTTCATTAAGGAAGAGGTTTGGCTGATATCGTCATGCTGTAAAAATGCTTTTTTTAAATACCTCAGTGTCACTACTTCCTCAGTTACACATGATAAATATCTGATAATGTTTTTCTGTGTTCACAGAACTGTCTGATCAAATGTGATGACTATGGCTACACAGCAGTGGTGGGAGACTTTGGCCTGGCAGAAAAGATCCCCACCAATCTGTAAGGAGTTCTCCACTCATTACTGCTCTACATATATGTACCCAGTCCCAGATGATTATACGAAATTACAAAAGGACTTTAATCAAAGAAAGAAACCTTTAGGAAGCTCATTTTGATTATTCTGATTGCTAGTGAGAGTAATTCCCTAAACTCTCTCGACAAACGCTTGTAACGAATGCCTGCAGGTGAGCTCACCGCATCTTTGGCTGTGGCTGGTTAATCTAAAACTCACCATGCGCAGGAAAGTTGCCACAAAACTCTTGTGTAGTGCGACATACATGGCGGTGATGCGCTTAATCAGCATGGTGTGAACTCATTTGGCAAGCACTTAAATGCAACGTAATGTTATATGTAAAAGTCCCGCACTCTTGCTTTAATTAATTATTGATTACTTTTGATATTAACATTGAATATAATGAATATGGAGTGTGAAAGGGGCTTTCATCCGTCTCTTGATTGAGGGAACTTTGTGGCCTTTGTGGCACAGTAACTCTGTGGTTGAGTCTCAGCTGTTCTCATCTGCTCCTGTAGCCGGTTGTTTGTTTATCTGTTAGCAGTAACAATTTTATAGTCTGGTGATGTGGTGGTAAAGTAGCTGTGTACTTTGAGCTTATTTGGGTGTTTTCTCTGCCCCCTACTGACCAAAAACTTCATGAGGTGTCATCAGAAAAAGTTTTCGCAGCTCCAAAACAAAAATATTTACATGGTAACTCTAATATTTTGGAATATGTGACATTGAGTGGGTCAGTGTATCTGTTAAAGTAGTTTTTTTTTTTTGCCCTAACCTATTTTAGTAAATTAATTATTCACCATTAGGCCCTGTTTTTGTTAAGTGTAGCTGCACTCGCCTCATTTTACACCAGAAGTTAATCTTTATATTGACACTTTGGAAACCGGTCAAGCTATAAAGTATCACATCTGGTGCAAGTTATTTATAATAGCCATAAAAAGAGAGAAGATGTCCAAATGTCAATGCCTGCTCTTCACTAAAATGTTTTTATTCTTTTCTGTTTTTCCTATTACAGCTATTTGTAACTCACTTAAGTGTGTGCCTCCTCCTCATACCAGGCGCAGGGTTATTTATTAACACGTGTCTGGCACTGACATTAAGAGCATGCTGTACAGTTCACATTCTCAACTTTAGTGTTTTGATAACAGGAGGATACTATCAGTGCAGGGTTTTGGTTTTTAATGCGGCAGTAGCACAATGACGGAGGCAGGTTGTTTTCTCTGCCATGAAATGTCTTCAGGGGCACAGTTGATGCAACTTTGACAAATGATAATTTCTGCAATCTTGTGTTATAATTCTGTACCCACAAAGATCAGAGATACAAAATTTGGTCCAACTTCACCCAATCTAAATCTAAATAAAGTGAAAGCTACTGAATTTGAACGATCAGAGAGCAAAGTTCATTATACAGGCTATCTAACATGATTTTTTAAACTGATTGAAAGGTAAGACAGCAGTCATTCTCACTTTAAAACTGCATTTATTTGTTAACTGGAGGGTACACAGAGACCAGAGGGTAATTTGAGTGAAAAAAAAAAACAGGGCGCAAGGAGCTTATCGGCTTCGTTTATCTAGAAGGTTGTTCATATTACCATTACAGACACAGGCCGAAGAAATTGTTTTACACCCTCCAACAAATGCACTAAACAAACTGACACTGAGTCTGCTCTGCCCACATGATTTTATTACACTATTCGACTAGCACACACAAATTGGCACCAATTTTAGCACAAATTACTTCCTTGTTATAAAGGACCAGATACATCAACATGTACATAATCTGTGTGTGTGTGTGTGTGTGTGTGTGTGTGTGTGTGTGCGCGCGCACAGTGCTGAGGTAGAGAAACTGTCCGTGGTTGGTTCTCCTTTCTGGATGGCTCCAGAGGTGCTGAGAGATGAGCCCTACAACGAGAAGGTAAAGTCACTAACTTTGACCTCTAACCTTAAGTAGCAAGTAGTAATATAAACTGAGATGACATGGAAAATCAAATAAGATTACGTTAAATGACTTTGATTAAACTTAAACCCCTGGATGGATCATAAAAGCAGCAAAAAACAATATGTATATCAAAACAAAACACTAATGATGCATAGTGAAAGAATGAGTTGGGAAGAAGATGCATGGTTTTCACTGAACATTGAATTTCTGGGGAATTGTTTAAGTTTAAGTTTATTTACTTTATTAATCCCCCTGAGGGGAAATTCAATGTTTTCACTCTTGCTTGTCAATTACACACAGGTCTGAAAGACACACACATGCACAAACAGGACCTATACATGCACAAAGTGGAGAGATGTCAGAGTGAGGGGGCTGCCCTTGGTGAGGCGCCCCGAGCGGTTAGGGGGTTCGGTGCTTTGCTCAAGGGCACCTTGGCAGTGCCCAGGAAGTGAACTGGCACCTCTCCAGCTACCAGTCCATGCTCCATATTTTGGTCTGGACTGGGACTTGAACAGGCGACCCTCCGGTTCCCAACCCAAGTCCCTATGGACTGAGTTACTGCCGCCCCCAGTATCCCCCCAGTGTGGGATTTAGAGTTATATTTCAGGCAGGAAGTCCACAAATGTGTCACTTTATAATAAACCAGACAGATTGCCATTACTGAAAAAAACAAATCTTTGGTGTTTGCTCGTCTTTATGTGTGTCTGTGTGTTTTCAGGCCGACGTATTCTCCTACGGTATAATCCTGTGTGAGATCATTGCGAGGGTGCAGGCTGACCCTGACTTCCTTCCCCGCACAGAGGTGAATGCGCATCTACTTCTCACCTCTTTTCCACCCTTTAACCTCGTATCACTCCATCTTCCTGTTTGCTTTGTACACCGGTTAATCTGTTGGTGTCCCATAATTAATGCTCTGTTTATACTGTGTTGCGTTCACATGACTCATACAGACCTAAGAGTGAGTGCTCATAAGATTATAGCTCATAAGATGTAGTATATGAAGGTATTTGTGTAAATGTCATCCACCAGACAGTAGTTTGTGTTTTAAATTTTAAATGTGCTGCTCAGTACATTTTGAACCTAAATTCAAGGGATCATTATTAAATTTTTTATACATTTATTTTAAAAATGAAGATGGGTTATTGTGTAAGACACAAAGGTGTTTTTTTGATATGGGTATTGGCCACAATAGTCCAGTTTTGGCTAGGCTCAACTATTGTGTAGTTTTAAGTCAACTTTCTGATTAGATTTGTCGACATGCTCTCCTAATATGAGATAAATGTTGTGTTTTCTTATTCAATGTGCAATGAAAGGGCATCTTAAATTAAGTGTAGAGTGCCTTTAACACAGTGGAATGCAGCTCTTTACCCCAAACACTTTGTTTTTTGTCTTCAATTTAATTCTTAACATGTATTGTAAAAATATTTTAGCTTTTTTCTATCACACATCCTGTGTTATTTAAGATATCAGTGGACTGAAAGAGCCAAAACACAAACTTATCATTCAGCAGGACCTTGCCAGACGGATTAGTTTGACATGAAGCTGGTTTTGGCAGAAGCGTTGCAGTATGTCAAACATCTGATGAAGCTCTGTCTTTTTCTGTCTTTATCCCACTTTTAGAAAGGTAAATAAGAGTTTCCTGTTTAACATTCATATATCCAAAATCTCTCTGTCTCTCTGTCTTCTCTCCCTCCTGAGCAGAACTTTGGCCTGGACTATCACACGTTCCAGCACATGGTTGGAGACTGTCCGCCTGACTTCCTCCAGCTGGCTTTCAACTGCTGCAACGTGAGTCCACCACACTCCTGTCCAATCAGTTTGCCATAGTCTCTGTCAATTAAGACATTACAATTTTGTAACAAGCCATGAATCTGCTGAAGTTAGTGTCAGGTGTTTGTGTTTGGTCATGTTTAAAGGAATACTTCACCCTCCAAATGACCATTTGTGTGTGTTACCTTGTGTTTGTGAGGAAAACTTTGTTTTTCTTGTAAGCCTAGGGTGAACAACAAATCCAAAAATGGAGAAAATTCTTGATGACTTTAAGTCAAAGAGGTCTGTGATTAACAACAGCAAAACTATATTAACACATTGGTTTCTCCCAACTTGTACAGTGTAATACAAATGTCATTTATCCCATCGTAAGCTCAGTACTTCACAAACACACAGCCCTTTCTGATGGTGGACTGACCTAAAAGTAAAAATTATCTATGCTGTCTTCAAAGCCAGAGTCCATTGACACAAACAGTGATTTAACCTCGCAGAATGGGAGCTGCTGATCTCCTACTGCCTTGACTGGTAGTTTGTTTGTTATTGTGTGACTTCGGCGCGTTTCAGATTCAGCAAACCTTCATTTTGGATTCTTCGTTCTCAGGAGGCATGTGAGACAAAGAAAGTTCTCTTCATGAATGCAAGTTAGCACAGAGTGAGTGAGTGATATACACTTGGTCATTTGGAGAATGATGAACTCTGTGTTGGGAGAAAGACATTTCTCCAAATAGCTTGTCTTGGTTGTTACTTTGGATTTCCACGGTTTTATTTTTAATTTCTTAAGTAACTATTATTCCCTTGTTCAGAAGTAGGGGGGCAATCAGATTATCTGAATAATCTGATTTAGCTCACTATCCGGGGGGTCTTCTGTTCACTAAAAGCTGGATCAGTTGGTTCTCAGCTTCGCTCAATGTTCATTCATTGATTTGCTGTCAAACTATTGACATAAGGAGGAACATTAAGTAAATCAAACCTGATCAAACATTCTTTTTTCACGAGGGATTAGTTTTGCTCACATCACATAATAATCACTGGACTGAAATAGTGTTTTTTCCCCTCTCTGACATAATTACAAACCACAGAGGATGAGGGCATTAAAGATTTTGGAGCACCCCGCTGACTGATCCTATATTGGCTCCGTCCATCCCTTCTCATCCTTGTCTGTTGTCTCGCTTTTATCATCCTTTTCTCCCTTATCCTCCATCCAAGTCTTTTCCAGAGCACTCAAGTGTAATTTCATTTTCTCAATAGTCAGTTTTACAGTGTCTTTCTAGCGTCTGATTTCAACCCCCTTGAACTTCAGTGTCAGCTGCATGTCTATATCTTTCAGTCACATTTTTGTCTCCTGTCTTGTTTTTCCATCTGTTCTTTTTCTCGCCTAACAACAGTCTGCCTCATATAACTTCTCCCTCTTTCACACTGTCTGCCTCTCCTTATTTCTTCCAATTTTTGTCTTTCCCTTCCCTTCATCTTCAGCATAAGTTTTCTAATAGTTTTCCTCACTTTTAAATACTTTAAATAAAGATGCTCGATGTACTGTTTTAATTGTGAGGAAAAAAAAGACCCAGATATTATTGCCATACACGTCTGAAAATGTAAACATGCGAGTCTTGTTGCTTCCTGTCGCAAAGAGGACTTCATTTACACGTTAAGGTGTTTTGTTTTTCACAGGCTTTTCTTTTGTACCACTTTCTCTAAAGAAACTTAATGTTTCAAAATAAAGTGCCAATAAAAAAGCCAGTTAACAATCTTCTTTGTACCATAAAACATTATAGTAGTCTTCCCGGAAAACCAACTTGTAAAATACAATGCAAATGCTTTTAGAAGCATCAGCTGTGTTCTTGTTTGTTTATGTAAATTGTTTTAATGCTTTAATATTGTTGTATGTTTTCCTTTTCCTGATAATAACCTGATGAGTGTGATCCCTGCTCCTGCACCATGCTACAGTATATAAACACAAATCTTATAAGTCTCCATATCGTCCCCCCCCCCCCCCCCCCCCACAGATGGACCCTAAACTCCGTCCGTCCTTCTCAGACATTGTCAGGCACCTTGAGGAGATTCTGGCACGCCTTAAAGTTGAAGAGATGGAGCATGAGTGTGTCCCTCTTTCTGGGGACAACGACAAGAAGACCATAACAAAGAGTAAGAGCACTGCACAAAATCTCACTCTGTGATGCTGTGATCTGTCATTTCAGCTTTAGCATTACAGACAAATAAAGTCATCTCCTTTTGTTTATGAGAAGATGCCTGTGAAAGAAGGTGGTAGGAAGTGAGGGTAATCTATGTTATACCCTTCTTCTGGCCTTCCAAGCCTTTCACCTCCAGGGCTGCCTGTATTCTTATGTAGTCAGACTGCTGCCAACTGCTCAGTGAGTCAATATTTCACTTGTTATCCTGTCGGATAACTGTGCCTGATAGAAACTTCTCTCCTCTCCTAACACCAGTTCCTCTTGCTAAGCACAATGGTGATTCTGTGTTTGTTCAGTCATTTACAAGGACACTGTTGACACTGTCCTCATCCAAACATACAGCCAGGTTTGTTCAAGCCAGATTTAAACTTCACTTCCTTTTTAGTCATACGGTCAGCTTGCAGGAGAGTACTATTCCTATTTCCACTATTATATCTGGATCCCTCGTTATTTGGGATCATATACGCAAAGTCAAATATCTTCTAACATTTATCCGTGTCACACTTCAAAGAACAGTCCTTGATTGCTGATAATATAAACTTCACTATGACTTAGGAGGAAAACTGGTCTGAGATTTTAGATGCCTATTTTGAGATACTTGATCCATGCAGGCCCAGGTTTCACTTCTAATTTGGTCCAGTGTACCGCCGCCTGCATGTCTGACCATCACGGAGTCAGCAGGCAGTAATGTTTTTGTTTAGACGAGCCAAACGGCTTCTCTTCCTTCATGCTGCAGTGTGTGAAGAGGGAGAGCACCAACATATGACGTCACAGGATGCAAGAGTGAGCTATAGTTGTGACACAAACTTGGTTTCTTACATCTGGTGTTGTTAATCAAGATCAAGCTTACACAGTTTATGAAACACAGTCAGGGCCTGTTGGAATAAGAAATATCTCTTATGTAGCTTTTATTGTGTGGAAAACATGGCCTGAGTCTGACAGTTCTTACTCCTCATCTGATGTCGTTTGTTAGAGTACGTCACAAACTCTGTCCCTCCAGCTCCCCCTCTCTGTTTACCTGATAACATCAGCATTTCCTCAAAACCACAGTCACCCTCATAGTAGGAAATCTGTTGCATAACAACTTTTTAGCCAAATATTTTTGTAGCTTTGTAGCTTTTTTTGGTCCTCATGAGTCAGAAGAGTAATTCTTTCATTTGTTTCCTGGCATGTCAAGATACATGATCTCTCAGAAGTTCAACAGAACTTTGAGATTTGAGAGGAGGATAAAATAAGATGTTTTCTTGGTTAGCTCAGCTGCTTCAATATATCATCTTTGGGAGGTGATTTTTGTGAACTAGGGAAATTGCTCTTTCTTTCCTAACGATGTAATCAATGGCCGCAAACTGAGAATAACTCCTTTTAAATCCCTGTTTCTGTGGTCCTCTTTCCTCTTAATGTTTTTCCTCCTGCACCAGTCAAAGTTGAGACAATATTAAGACCCTACCAAACTTCATATGCCATTTTTGTATAATAAAGATATGGACATCCCGTGCCTTTGGAAACATCTTAAGAACAGAGATTTAAGGAACTCATGTCTCAGTACTTTATGAAGAATTAAGCCTGTATTGCCACCTAGTGGTTACAATAGATTCTCTATTTTACCATCAGAATTAACAAGATATGACAATGAAAAACCCCCCACAACATTTCACTCTAGAATAAAATACATGATACATTACTTTAAATTTTATAATTTAATGTAAAATCCATGCAAAATGTGTCACAAAAATGTATCTGTTTTTTTGTTCAAGGTGAGAAGATCCAGGGCTTCAAACGGCTTAACCCTCTTGGTTTCCCAGATGATAAAATCCCCCCTAAATCCCCCCGCCCTCGACGAAACATCTGGCTCAGCCGCAGCCAATCAGACATCTTCTCCTGCAAACCAGGGAGAAAAGTCAACGTTCAGGACCCTTACTATAACCCCCCCATCGCTCAGCGAGCTTCAAAAGCCCGCAAGATCAACCCCTTTACTGCTCGAGAGGACCTATGTGGGGGCAAGATCAAGTTTTACGACGTGCCCAGCAAGTCTGTCTTCTCGCTGGTGTTTGACCTGCACTCACCTCCGGGAAGTGCGTTCAGTAACCAGCCGTCTGCTCATGGACCTGGAGGACCCCAACAGGAGACGTCTTACTACTGGCAGCAGCTGCCAGGAAGACAGTGTCACTCCTTACCGGTGTCTCCCCAGCTGCCCCGCTCCGAGGTCTTTGAAGTTGTTGCTGCTATTAGCTCCAATAACAACGGTTCTGTTACCTGTAACTCTAGCCAGCTCTCCACAGTGCTGCCAGGTGAGTTGGTCTGATAAGGATGTCCTTTTAGCATTTGTGATTTAAAAGTTAAATGTGGCAAAAATAAAAAAAAAAAGGCTTTTTTGACACTGGCATTTGGCATTTGAAAACTGAGTTTTATGCCGTTATGGCTGTGGGTTGTGTGTGTACATGGTTTTTGGCAGTTGGTACAAGAGGGAAGCTGTTGCAGGAACTAAGCAACAGGCACGGATTTTTTTTTAACTCTATCACCAAATTAGTCAATAATCGTTCCCTTCCTCTCTTTCCTGTTTCTCCTTTTTTCTCTCAGCAACTAACTCCAGGTCTGACGCAGGCCTGATGGGGAATGACGTCCGGCAGAAGGCAGTGCTGAGCGGCTGGGCGAAGAAATATGTCGTGGTTGAGATCCCACCTTACTGCAGGCAGATAGGAAGGGATGAGGACGAAGAGGCAGAGGCAGAGGAGAGAAAGGATGTAAAAGAGGAGGATGAGCTTGGGGAGAGCTGGTCTCCGATGATCCCCAGCAGTGAGAAAGACAGTGGAGAGGCGATGGACTGCTCCAGCAGCTTGGAGGAAGAGGAACAAGAGAGAGGGACAGACACCTGCCCCATGTAACGCACATGTAAATCCACATGGACACACACACACACACAAAGGAGGTTGTGGATTTTGACAAGAGAGGGAGACTTTTACCCCTGGATGGAGGACGTAAACCGACAGACCGGATACATTTCAAAGATTTTGGAAAAATAAAATGTAAAAAGACACTTGATTTTTTTATCTGTCAAGTGAATGTATCACATGTTGACTCACAAATCAAGCACACCTGATGTAGATAATAACTGTCTTTCAAAGATATTATCACCCAGGTGTGACGGGACAAGTCTCTGTTTAGCACAAAAAAAAAAAAAGCTTTTATCAACAAATGGACACTTGGCATAGAGATTATTTTTTATGAAAAGGTTGTTTATATTTAATATTGTGAGATGTTGTAGATTTTTTTCCTTTCAAGGTTTCCTTTATTAAGCGTCTTGTCTATGACAAGGGGTATTGACGATCCCTTGTGTTGTGTATGTGTGAGTGTTTAAAAATCAGAGCTTGTGTTTTGATATTTTCCTTGTGCTCTTTGTTAGACACATGTTTCTACTAAATCAAAACAAATCCCATATTTTTCTGATTAACGTTCAGATGAGAAAACACGAGGTGATTTATAATAACTGAGTGCCTGAAAAACAACACTCACGACACAGATGTTTCATCTCAAACCATCCTAGCAACCCAGAACTAGACTGCACTTGTAAAATATTTTATACCATCAAGTCTCGTCTAATCCACAGGGAACTAGCCGAGCAACGGCAAAAGTGAATTTAGAGAGGAGGTGGTTTTAGTTAGGATTTCATCTCTCCACGTGACGACACAGTGGTCTCTTTGATTGATCAGATGCACTAAAAATCAAACACCATTCAAGAGTCAAAGCTCAGCATTTGTAAGCAGCATTGTTCAGACATCAAATCCAGAACACAAAATGTAGGCAAACATGGATGTTGTAAAAAAGGACCTTGCAAAGTTTTTGTATTTAAAAGTTGCTGCTCGAAAGCCCATGCTTAAATTTCAGATGTCAGAGTTTACTTGAACACAGCACAAGTTTTGAAAACAGCCCCCTCTTGCAACTCTGTTAACACACAATGAAGCCAAAACAAGTTGAAAAAAAATCAAATTTAAAGCAAGACTATGTAACTTTTGACAAAATTACATCTTAGAAAAAATAGCTCAATTCACAAACAATAACACGCATCCTTACTCACTTCAGTACACTCAGGGATTTAGCTGCTACAGCTTTTTTGGTCTGGTGTAACCAGTAGCACATGGTGGCTAATGTGAGCAAGCTTTAGACATTGCTGAGTAACTGACAGTCATTTTGTTGACTGTCTTCCCTCTGCTATTGTGTGCAACACCATTTGGTCATATAGCACATAGCTTTAGTAAGATATTAATATATTAACTCATATTTTCTACGCTCCAAAAGGTAGTCATTAAAGCAACTTCAGAAAATCCTCAAGATGTTCATATTCAACATGCTATCATGCTATAATTACCTCTTAAGGCCACAGTGGATGCTGTTTTTCAAAAGTTGCATAATCTCACTTTATATTCAAAACTAAAATGTATCAATACAAGATCCCAGTGTCAAACTTCTGATAAAGGCCAGCAGTAATGTTAATTATACATAATAATTCATTGTGTGAAAAAGCTGAAAAATGTCCTAAAACAGTGTTATAAACAAACAGCGATTCGTGATGTTTGTCCTTACAGATTTTTCAGTTCTTGTCAGTCGAACAGAAAGTTGCCTCTGGCTCATTGTTTCAACGTGACATTGGTGCTGAGATGACGAGAGGCTTTCCTGTTTCTGACTATGCAGTGTACTGCTACCCTGTTCTTACTGTCCCATGCATAAGAGGGAATCAAAATTTCATGTGGTGAAAATGAGTATAAAAGACCACATTTTTTGAGCAATAACTTCCCACACAGACTCCAATTAATTAATTCCACTTCAATTCCAATGTCTTTAAAAAAGAAAAAGAACCTGGTAAATTTCACTTACCTAGAGAGCCAAAAGAGACTTCAGTTAATCAAACCATTTTACTCAAAAGCAGCCGTGACTCAGCTTGAGTTGGATGAATAATATTTTGATTTGAGGGAAACAGCACAACCTGGTCTTTTATTTCTTTCCATTCAGATGTGCCAGATGTTCAGTTTCCGCTTTGTTGTGCGGAAAATATCCAAATCAGACAGAGAGCCGAGCTGAGTACTAAATAAATGTAATGTTCGTTTTTCTCTTGAAAAGATAAGCTAAGTTAAAGTAGCAACATTTTACTTAAAATTCAATGTATATATTTTTTAATTGCGGCACATTTCCAATCTGAAGCTAAATGTTTTACAGCAAGATACTCTGACACACTCCCTAAGTAGTTGCTACTAACATTTGGTTCAGTTTGTCTCAGTGAAGGTCCAGTGTGTAGGATTTAGTGGCATCTAGTGGTGAGATACCAGAATTGAAACTTCTCCTGTGTGCCAAGAATGTAGAACTACTCTCCCCAATGTGAAAACGTAAGTGGCCCTATGTAGAGCCAGTGTTTGATTTGTCCATTCTGGGCTATTGTAGAACAACATGGTGGACCTGCTCTGTATGTAAATATAAACATCTCATTCTAAGGAAACAAAAGCACAGTGGTTCTTATTTTCAGGTGATTAAACACTAATGAAAACATAGGTATTTATACTATATGCCATTCCTGCCAATATATGCCCCTAAATCCTCCACACTGGACCTTTAAATGGTCTCATCACGGCATTTTCTACTTTTATCAACACACTCCAGTAAAATTTCTGAAATCGACTTCCTTGGGATAAAAGCCTTTTCATTTATTATTCAGTCTCATTGGGACGGCCAGTGTAACATCAGATCCGTTAATCAGTGTTCATCTAAATGTTTTCACTGTACAAACTAAATGACTTATGAAATAAGATTTATTTTTGTCGAACCACGTTTGTCTCCGCTGCAGCACGTCCTTCTGATGCTCATGTTACATTCTGCTGATCTCAGTCTGATCACTTCAATGGGAACTCAGATGCACTTGTACAGCGATATTCGTGGGGATGTCCTCTGAACTACTTATCACTACTTTTCTATGCAACCAATGTAACTTTAATGACACTGTTTTACAGTATAAAGGATCTGATATTTATGAGAAAACATTTTTCATGTCTTACCTTTGTATATTTGTGTAAAAAGTTTGTGTTACCTGCCTTGATGAATACAGACAGATGTTTTTGCTGATTGAGTAACAAGGCTTCTCTGATTTTTCTTTGTGTTTGTCTCTTATTCTTATAAGCTCAGACAGCCTGGACTGAACATCTAGAGGCACATTTGTTTTGAAATAAGTGTGAAAACATTTGCTTTCAGACCAACAGTTGTTGTTAAAAGATCCACACTTTACGTCCTGATGGACTGTCACAGTGGAGCCTCAGCTCTCTGGTTTCCACAGGTTGGTTGCAGTAAGAAATGTTTGACTGTTTCAGTCAGGCAGCCTGAACCCCAGTTTGTTTCTCTCTCTCGTGTCTCAGAGCTAAGCTTCCGGTTTCCTGAAAGATACATTCTTGACGATATGTAAAAAGCAGCCTGGAGGTCATCTGACAAAACTTACTGCAATTTTGAAGGTATTTCCAACATCCTTTAAGCCTCCTCTGTCCATCTGGACGAGAAAAGAATGTGCCTGCTGGCGAATATAAAAGATATTTACCAAGATTTTTAACATTTGGTCAATTTAGTTGTCTTCTACATTTCACCTCTGGCATCACTCAGATTTCAGTGTTTGGTGTAACATGGAAAAGCAGACTACCTGACGCCCTTATTGAAAAATACTGAAAAAAGAATCAGAATTTCATTCATTATCTGCGTCATTTTAATGAGTGAATCTTTCATGTTTCTGTCTGTGTGGAGTTTCCTAATGTGCATCATTGTATGTCACAACAGTCCAACATAAAAAACAAGCAGTCTCACAATAAAATGTGACAATGTGACTGTTATACACAACATATCAGAAGTGCTGATCTGAATAAAGTAGGTGTGTGTCACTCATTTTACAGTTACAGAGCCTTTCAAAGCAGGGACAACAACCACACCAGTGCATTGCATTTTCTGACACATTCCCTACAGATTGGATATACTGACCATTTACTGTGGTTAGAAATTTTAATGTGTTATTCGTCTAGTTTCAGTGTCCAGTTAAATTCTACACAAGCATTTTTGTCAGCTATTGTTGTGAAAAGTGTTTAGTGTGATGGATTAAACCACACATGTAAGGTTCAAGAGTCCACTGAGTGTTTTTAAAACAGTGTGAAAAAGAATAGATGCTTTTGGCTGCTTGGAGCGGTAGGAAAAATACTAGGAAAAAAGCAAAGATGTGAATCTGTGTACATGATTTGTACTTGAACTTGCCACCACACTGGAATGACCCTTTAAGATTAACAATGATACTGTGTTTCCAGACTAATCTCTTTCATTATATCAAAATTTTAAATATCATAATATAAAACTGTTTTAAACCAAAGTAATTCAATAAAACAACAATGAAAACAAACAATAATTTTAGCGATACGTCGCCAAATTATGTGATATATTAAATAAACCCCATGTGAGCTCAGTGTGCTGTTTTCTGATGCGACTTCAGGCTGGAGCGCTGGGTGAAGCACTTCCCACACAGCGAGCACTCATAGGGCTTCTCTCCGGAGTGGACGACTGCGTGTCTGATGAGATTGCACTGTTTGGTGAAGCTCCTGCCGCACTGCAGGCAGCTGAACGGTTTCTCCCCCGTGTGACTCCTCAGGTGCTCTTTGAGCTGACTGAACCTCATGAAGCTTTTGTCGCAGTACGTGCAGCTGAACCTCTTCTCGCCGATGCCGGACCTCCAGGGCGTCCTCATCCTCCTCGCCAGGCTGAAGCCGCTGCGGCTGTGCCCTGGGTTTGGCGACATCAAATCCTCGTTTGGGTTCCTCGTGTGAGGAGAGTCTCTGTACTGATGTTGTGATTGTTGAGGAATCAAGCACTGATCCATGGTGTTTATCTGAGATAACGCACTGTGTCCTTCGTCTGGTTGCGGTCTCTTACATCCAAACGTTCTGGCTCGTCTTTTCACTCGTGCTGCGCTCACCACGACTGACTGTGATTTCCCTGTGTTCATTTGAGGCACCATGTCTTCCAAATGCAATCCACTTTGAGACGAGAACACAGAGGGGATTGGCTCAAACTGCTGCTCGGTATACGAGAAGCTTGGATCAACAGCGTCTCTGCACACATCGGATGACCACAGCTGTCCATTACCTTCCTCTGTCACAAAGTTGTGGGCTGAATCGAGAGGAGCTGCGTTCTCATTGGGCTCTTCCTCATTCTCGTGTTTCACTATAAGCTCTGCCCCAGTTTGGTTTCTGTTCAGCTGCTGCTCTGGGAAAGTGCTGTAGCCGTCTGTTGGGGAAACCAGAGAGCCGTGGTCAGCTGGGCTCTCAGCTGAGTGGTAACGCTCTACAAAGCTGTCAGCCTGGGCAGGTTGTGAGGTGTCGAAACATGGCGGCTGCTCGGCTTCAGAGACTAAAGAAAGCACAGGAATAACACACCATCTTACATTAGAGGGTTTTCAATCTCTAAGTCTAAAACATCTTTTAATTACTCCTCTTTTTTTATTACAAAGAGTAATGTACAAAACATAGTCATTTCAACAGAACAAGAACTTTTAGGTCTTGGACAGATTCTACAGGCACACTACTGCAAGTGTTGACATTATGTAGGCAATTCTTACAGAATGAAAGGCTGCCAGCGCTCCTTGTTTCTCTAGATGGCTTTGGGAACTAGTCTCAGGGATACATCTTGAGAGACTCTGAAACAATTCACTGGGTTTTCAGGATAAATTTTAGAGTGACACCCGCTGCTAAACTGTGTTTTCTTTAGCTCTATTACGTACTCTAAATCAGTGAGCACATATTCTAATGCGCCAAGAAATTTGGATATTTTTTAATCACATGTTCTGAACAACAAGCTTTAGAAGTACTCACTTGTTGCTGATAGTGTGATGAGCAAATAAGCATCTGATGTTTGTGTTTTTAACTCACTCAGTTTGTCCTCTGAGTTCCACATGTCCTCCTCCGCGCACTCCTCTTTGATCATTATGTGTTCAGCTTCATTAGCAGGCTCTGCATCTGCACACTGCAACACCAGGCTCAACATTAACACTCACACAGGGGAGATGAACTACCACACACACTGTGGAGTCATATACACACAGGTTGTGCAAGTAAAAGGAAAACACACCTGCACTGAGTTTACATCTCAGTACAACAGACTTACCACAGATATGGGTACATGAGCATGTTTCATAATCAGGTAATTATTTAAGTCATGTACCAAGTGAAGATGTAAGACATTTATCTGTTTAATATCATGGTAAATTTAACATACTTGGGCTTTGGACTGTTGGTCAAACAAAACAAGCAATTCAAAGACAACATTTTGCTCTGAGAACTTGTGATGGGAATTTTTCATATTTTGCTGGCACTTTATGGGCTGAATGTGCAGCTGATTAATCAAAAAGCAGGTGAAAGCAGAATCAAAATAATATTTTGTAGTGTTTATACCTGTTGGGGTTGATTTTGAGTCTCAGCATCCCAGTCTGTGCTCTGTCTGTCTTTGTTCAACACTACTTTGACTAAAGAGGTGAATCTCTCTGCTGCTGGAGGATAAAACACTGAGGAAGAAGAGGAACAAAAATACACAGTTTTAAAAGCAGAAACTACAGACAGTAAGTTGACACCAGGGAATGAAATGATCATGCCACCCGTCTCCACCTTTCCTCCTAGCTCTCATCCTGGTCCTCCTCAGCTCAGCCTCCATCACCTCACACTTCCTCTTCAGCAGGTCGATGTCCCGCCGGCTCTGGCTCACCTCCAGCCGGAGCACCGCGCAGCTGTCATCCACACGCCGGTTTATCTCCGCCACGGCCGCCTTGGCCAGGACCTCCATGACGGACAGTATCTGGCTCTGGAAGCCGCAGTTCTCCATGTTGACGCCGACTTCCGCTTCTTACTCAAACACAAATAAATATATTCACCTGCACACGCCTGTATGTCACTCACTTTAGGATGATTGTGTACAAATCGCTGGTCAGAGGAGCGGGAGATGCTCTGTACTTGTTCTGTAATTTTTTTCCGTGGATTGTAGAGGGAGAGGGTCGCTCGGTTTTAACACCCCGCGGTTCGCACGGGCGGTCTCACTCCCTCTCTTCTTTATTCCCATCACTAATAATGCATATTTTTTCCTAACATACGGTAACACCTTTTGCTACGTGAAATTAACACAAATTGGGAAATGTTTAAGTATTTTTAACGTTAGCAGTGTTGTTAATTTAACGTCACTCCGCCACTAAGGGACGTAATGGAATCCAAAACGAGGTTGGCACAGCAGCGTCATTTGTTGTGTTACCGTAAATATTTAACTACATGCGCAGTATGACACCAGCGCCGGAAATAGAACTCCAGCTCCACACGGTGAACTGAGGTGATTTAAATATTGACAAATATTACAAAGTTGCTAATATAGCAAGATATATTTCCATTTTAATTACACAACAGATATAACCTAAAATTGTTTCTGAATATCAAAAATAATTTTAAATTTAGAAGCCACACATTCAAGCATGATCACCATGCCATTGATAGCTTATATGACGATATAGATCCAATCAAGGCCATGTTTAATAGTAGCAATATTTGGATATGTGTTTGTGCGTGACGGAGACATTGAATGCATTTCATAGTACCACTTTCAGTAAGTCACCCTTTATAAACAGTGCAACAAATGGTTAATACTTCATTTACTCATGATTATACATCAGTTATGAGGCAGTTATGGTCTAAAAAGACTATTTCTCAAGTATTTGGACCAAAAGCAATGTATTAACAGTTAAGGGATTTTTTTTAGTTGTCTTGATGGCACATTAGAAAATGTGAAAGCCACAAGCATTTATTTATGGATTCCCGTTCCCAGCATATACATCTGCATTATTAGATAGATATTATCCATAGAAACACCAACCAAAGGAATTTTTCAAAACCTAGCATTCAAATGGTTGCTCTTAAAACTCTGATTAATTATTTATTAACCAACAATAAAGCAATTTGTGACAACTTATAAAGACTTAATGGGGGGGTTTGATTCATGACCTCTATCCAGGATAAAGGCCCACGAAATAGATATGGCCACAAACTGCCATACAGGGCTACACCATATCAGTACTATCAAAATAGTGTATTATTATTCTGTTCCATACGACATTGCACTATCCATACCTGTAACACCGATGTCCAAGTAATATCCAGGTGTCTTCTTGTTACTGAATGTCTAAAACACAATGGTGGAATATGACTATATACATTTAGTGCAGGGATTAAGCACAGATTTGAGGTAGCTGACTTGAGCATTCCCATTTTATGCTACTTTAAACTTCTTCTCTACTATCATCACCCCCACTACTACAGTATAGATACTTAAAGTACATTTTGTTTCTAATATTTCTGTGCTTTTAGATAAGATTCTTTGTGATTCTTTGTTGTACTTTGTTGTAGAATGCCAGTCGTTGTAAATATTTTAGTGTAGGCCATTTTTGCAATCTATGGTAGCACTTTATGGAAACTCTTGGCACTCTGGGCTAAGTCGGTTGGTATTCTCTGTGGTTCTCATTTGGTATTTGTTGCAGGCTTTGTGGTTGTTTGCAGTACATTCTAGTGATTGCTGCACAGTGTGTTACTGTTTGGTAATCTGTGACTATTTGTGCTAAAATGTGATTTATTTGTGGTAGTTTTAGTTTCATTTGTGGTGCGATGTTTGGGTCATCGGGATAGTTATGCTCTGTGGCACTTTGTAGCATGTTGAAACTAATTGTGATACATATATTTTGATGATTGTGCCTGTGCTTTCTGAACCTTTGCCACACTTAATGGTACTTCTACAGCACTCACTGAAGCTCTGTGTGATGCTTTAGTTTGTAGGGATCGTATTGGCAAGTAGCATTGATGCACAATAATAACTAAATCAAAGGAAATAGACTGAAACGAGTTGAATTTGTCCAGTACACACAGTTTCTGTCCATTTCTTGCTGCCAGTGTGAGAAGCTCACATGGAACTCAGTCTACACAGAGACAAACGCAGCACATAAAGGGAAATAGATGCATTGTACAGATACACAGAACTGATTTCCCTACTCAATCAGCAGAGGCGGAGAAACCGTGGGCCACATACAGAGAGAAAGCACAAGAGAAGGAGAGACACTCAGGAAGTTAACAGGGGAAGTTTAGTGGTTTCTTGCGTCATCATTTTATGCTGCTACTTGTGTGCCGATGCAGAGTGAAGGTAGGAACACTTGCTTTTTTACTTTTTATTTCCTCACATTTCTATATGGAAACTCTTTCTTAAAAATGGACAGATAGGAGGGATGGCGGACAGAGGAAGAGCAGTAGCAGGTGTCAGGAAGATGGAGGGGGTGGGGAGTGAGTTTGAAAGTCTGTATGAGTCTATATGCTCAGGCTTTAAGAGTGCTCGACTTCCGCTACAGTGAAAGAAGGGGGCCGCAATGGCCGTGACATGCGGGCAGGGAGGACACACTGTGACTGAACAGAGCTCAGTCCTCTGGCTTAAGCTGAGAGTGGAGGTTTACATGGGTCCACCAGCACAGAGTGACATTATAGTGTGATTGGAGTGAAACATTCAGAGGCACACTTCTCTGAATAGGAGAAGTACAGAGGCAAGGGTGTGGCCTTTCATTCGAAAATAAATTGAGCGCATCAGGGGGAAGTGGAAAGCCACATATGCCTGCTGAGGATTCAGTGCAATCTGTTTGATTTTTAAGGGGCGATATCTGTATGCAATGTGAAGCTTGTGTTTGCACCAAGAAACTTTTCTTACTCTACTTTTGCAGGGTGGAAGACAAACTAAAGTATGTCCTAACACTCCAGCTTTGACATATCAACTCCAGTGCAACACAGCTTACAGAGGAAACAACCTGCACCCAGCAACATGCACTGAAGCAAAGGAAACAGAAGCAGCAGCACGGTCAAATCTGTGAAATGTGCAGAGCCTCTACAAAGTCAGTGTCACGTTAACTGAGTTGGGCAACACATCCAGCAGCCACACAGACAGTCAGTCGGTCTGACGGTAACAACCAGAGCAGCTCGGGCAGGTCTGAATGTGAGGTGATACAGCAGAGAGGAAGAGATGCGGAGGGTTCGGAGAAAAGGAGGGAACAAAGAGAAGGTGTTTGGATGTGATCTGCTGGAGCACCTAACTGCCTCCTCTCACGAGGGTAAGTGATCAGACTTTCCTGTTACCATTTCCTCCATGACAGGCATATTACAACACAAACTAAAGTGAAATAGCAATACACGTGAATGTCAAATCACCAGAAACACAGTATTGCCTAACCATGGACGTCTGAATAACCATACAGTGTTTATATTAAAAAGTATATGAATATAGATCGCTGTCCTCATCAATCTGGTAAGACAGAATTGTTTCAGTGTTTCTTTAAATATTTCAAAACCACAGGTGACATCCTCTAAATATCAGCCTACAGTTGGTGAGAGAAATACTGAACAGGAATGATCGTCAGCAGCTTTTATTTAGTCATGCCATTTGTCATGTTTTTAAAGTGCTTAGTTTCTCTTTTTTTTCCGATGATACTTCTCAGACAGATATAAAGTCAAGAAAAGTCTTGCTTTTACTTTTTTTAAAGGACGTGTCTGCATCATGTTCACAGCATTACCACACCTCAAATACTTGAAAGAGCAACTCTTGGTTATTTTATATTGTAACACTCTTGAGTACATACTACTTTATTATTTCTTGCAGTAATCCGTGTCTTATTCAATCTGCCATGCCATATTCCTTAAGAGTGGATTTTGCATTTTAATTTTCCTGTTATAGTAATAAGACTAAGTATCTGCAGTCATGCTAGCAGCTCTGTGATGCTGAACTCTAACAGCAGTGCATTGAGCTAAATGGTAACGGCAGTATACTAACATGCTCTCAATGAAAATGATAACATTCTGATGTTAAGCAGGTTTAATGTTCACCATATTCACAATCATAGTTTGCCATTAGCAATAAACACAAAGTGCAACCGAGGCTGATGGGAATGACATTAGTTTTGTAGGTATTTGGTCATAAACCAAAATATTAGACAAAATGAAATTTTGACCCAGTGATGGCACTGGGTAAAAATTCAGAGGATCACTGAAGTTTATAGAATCTTGCTGGGAGGAACATGAATGTCTGAACCAATTTAAATCAAAAACACAAATAGGAAGCTCATGATGTCACTTAAAGAAAAGCCAGAGATCACCAAATTCTGGACAACTCATCCTCTGTGAACCTTGAATGTCTGCACAAAATGATATGGCAATTCATTAAATAGTTGTTGAGATATTTCAGGCTAAAATTGCTTTTACAAAATCATTTAATTTATAAATAGTTTAATCTATAAACTTGTAAATGTATGTCTATGAACACATATTTGTATAATTTACATTGATCTGAATATAGTACTTATACTCCATGCTTTGAATATGTTGTGATTTGATGCTAATGCATATTTGTACGATATATTTTGTACCTGACACATTTGACAATCATCAGGAGGTACATCCATACTATTTTCTGGTGTATAAAAGCACAAAGTACCACATCACTATCTCATCTCTGAAGCTCCTTTTATTTTACATATACAGGACATTTTGACAACGATCAGGTGTCCATGTAGAATTAAAGAAGGATCAATAGCGAGATAGCAGTGAGAGGGTATTTTTCGTCTTTCTGTATATGACATATGTGTCATAAACAAAACAGATGTTAGGGCTACTTGACTATATGAAACATTGATCTACAGAAATGTACAAAGAAACTACAAAAATTCCTGAATGTGTGTGTTCACAGTTAACAAATCAAATATTTTACAAGCTGCTTTTATGTTATTATTCATCTCATTAATTTTCATCATTTCTTGTTTCCCACAGTTCCTCAGGTGTTGCAATGTTGCAGTGAGTTTGTTGAGAAAAATGGAATCGTGGATGGCATCTACAGGTTGTCTGGAGTGTCGTCCAACATACAGAAACTGAGGTAAGATGTGTGTGTGCCTTTTGTTGAACCTATATCTGTATCCTCCAAGACTGTAATGAGGTGTGTTGTGTTGATATACTCTAAAATGAATCTATGTGTGCAAACAACCAGGGGTGAGTTCGAGAGTGACGGGAGTCCAGATCTGAACAAGGATGTGTACCTGCAGGACATCCACTGTGTCAGCTCTCTGTGCAAAGCTTATTTCAGGGAGCTGCCAAACCCTCTGCTCACATACCAGCTGTATGACAAGTTTGCCGTGAGTAGCTCCGACACGCAAACGTTTCACAGTTTCCATCCTCATGCGTGTCTTTGCCTTTCCTGCAAAGAAAGCGTGGAATATATAAATCAGAATAAGTCTTCCCTATGTGCCATATTTCCAGCAATTAAATTGGAATAAAAGTGATAAACTGCACTGATGTGTTGATTCAAACACACATCTGTGTTACAGGAGGCTGTGGCCATTCAGCTAGAGGAGGAGAGGCTTGTAAAGATCAGAGATGTGCTGAAAGAACTACCAGCACCACATTACAGGTACAGTCATCTGTTGCCCTTCTTAAATAATCCCATGCAGTTTTCACAGCTACATAAAACCTTTCCTCTACCTTAAGGAAGCAGGTGATAGTCTGTATTTCTCTGCATTTATAGCATTCAGTGGATACCTTTACAGATTTGTTACAACATTTATTCATTGGATTAGTTTTGAGGGTTTTACAAAGTCCACGCTATTTTGGAAAAATGGGGACATCCACATGCGACCTGCCTGACTCTTTGTCAGTGAACTTCCTGTATAGGTAGATTTTAGGGTTTTCAGAAGCCAGGAAGAGGATAGGTTGGGCATCGTTTGGGAATTATACTGTTGCTTCAGGTAGTACACACACAGAAATACACAGTAAATCTCAGAACCCCCATCTGATACAATTTTGTCCGGAGAAACCCTGTACGATATGATTTTAGTTGTTAAAGTAATTAATGAGGTCATCGACATAGAACTAAATTATTCAGTCAATTCACACTTTTTTAAGGGTTTTATTTTGCTTCTGTCTTACCGACTTTGACGCTTCACTTTCTTATCGTCAGGACTCTGGAGTTTCTGATGCGCCATCTTGTCAAAATGGCTTCATATTCCTCAGAGACCAACATGCACTCCAGGAACTTGGCCATCGTCTGGGCCCCCAATCTGCTCAGGTTTGCTAATATCCAGTGGTGTAGTGCTGCCAGAGTGCAATTTAGAAAATAGACTATGCACATACCTGCGTAATACAGTTAAAAGTGATACACATTTTTTAAGCGCTTGAAGATCCAATCATCACTAGAGTCTATGTTATACAAGAGAGCCAATAAAAACAAATAGAATGGAAACTTATCATATTAACATTTAAGGTGTGGTGACTGATTTGTGACATCAGGTCATGCACTGAGTAATATGCAAGAAAACATTCCACCTTAAAAGATGCTGGTAGCTGCCAGCAGTAGAATGTGAATTAAATTATTTTTTCTCAGTCTATACCTTAACGATGAAAAGGCAGCAAAACATCCTTTCATTTATAGTTATCGTTGACTACATTTCCTCATTTCCTTCACTCTCTTCACTTGTCCCAGCATTCATTAATTTCTTATACTAATCTGTCCATTTATTTAGTCACTCATGTTTGTTTGCCTCTCTTCCAACATAGATTTAATTTCCTCCATTTTCAATCAATCAATCAATCAATCAATCAATCAATCAATCAATCGATCTGTATGTTAAGGTCAAAGGATATTGAGGCGTCTGGGTTTAATGGTACAGCAGCCTTCATGGAGGTCAGGGTCCAGTCCATCGTGGTGGAGTTCATCCTCACACACGTCCCTCAGCTGTTTCCTGACCCAGGTAACACACCTCATAGTCTGATCATAAGACTGAATTTCCATTTTGTTTCACACACTTACGTGTTTCGCACTGTGTCACTGACTCACTTCTGCTGTTTTAAGGTGTATCTAGTGAGAGGAGGAAGTCTCTCCCCTCCCCGTCAGCAATGCCCAGTCAGGACGAAGGATTTTTCAGGTCGGCTCCTTCTCAGTCTATCCCCCACTTTGGCAACATCAGCCCAGGAGATGGTCCTCTAGCGATAAGACCTTACCATGCTATCATCGAAGGCACTGACAAGTGAGTAGACTCATTTACCTGTTATTGCTGATTTGGTTGATAGTAAAATTTTCATACAAAGGTCAAAGGTCAGTGATTATAAGCTGGTGATTAATCAGGATGCCAGGAAAATAATCAGATTTATAAAAGTGGCATTTACCATGCAGGCATTTAGAGAACCTTTTCCCATGTTAGGTCTGACGCAAGTGTACAGTGTGGTGTAATGAATGAAATTGAGACTTCTTCTCTGTGACTTATTCAGGAGGAAAGGATCTCTTAAAGGCAGGAAGTGGATGTCCATCTTCAACATCGGGGGGCGATTCCCTGATCCACGGCGGAGGCACAAACACTCATCCAAAGGTACAAAACTTACTTGCTCCCAACCTGGATGACTTAATTATTTGCATTTTTTACTCTGTCTTTATTGTTAAACTATGTATTACAATGATATATTACAACCGTAAACTCTCTGTGTACTTAGGTTCTTTATCATCGCACACTTTTATATACTTTTTCTTAAATGTTTGGTTCTTTGTTTCAGAGAAAGAGAGACCTGCGTTGAGACCAGCAAGAAGCATGGACTCCCTCAGCACCCCTCCCTATCCAAATGAAGGTGCTGCACTTGTCACACTTTAATTCATTTTAGTTTGTGTTGTTCAGATAATTGGAAAATGACATCTGAAATACTCAAAAAGCTTTGTTCTTACACAAACCCTGTTACCCTGAATCATCAGTAGGGATTATTTTACAGTACTCACACACTATTTATTTTTGATATAAAGTGGTTCCTGGGAAAAAGCAAAATCTTGCAATACTTAGAGTGACACAAATAAGAGTTTATCTGGTGAAAAACTGCACATAAAATTGAACATTTTTCATGACTCAATAGCACTAAGTATTTGTGTGTAATGACCCTTTAAAACAAATTTGTCTGCCTAAAGATGCCCGATACAGTTTTTTTTGTTAAGATACAGACGAACAGTCAGACATAAGATCATATTTAACTATTTAAAAAGAGGTCACACCTAGCTTGCGTCAGGTCTCATCTGCCTGTTGTATTCCAGGTACCAGACGCACTGCTCAGCGCCCTCCTTCCACCAACATGTCTCCCCTCGTCACCCCCTCCCCACAGCCTGGCTCCGAGGCCACGACCGGTGCAATAGGTGGCAGTGAATACGCTGTAACCTACCGCAGGGGAACAGGGTTAGTAAGCGGTGGTGCAGGGACTCAGGGCACTTACACTTCTCTTGACCCTGAAGGTTTAGGAGTTACAGGCAACGAGACTCTACAGTCTAGATCCCCAGGAGTCTCCACTAAAGTAGGACGAAGAGCAGCCATGCACATAACGGGGCCCACCATGGTTACTGTGCCCCTGCACATCACCTCTAACTTGGCATTAGGGGTGCTGCAAGGGGGTGGGGGTGACAGAGTTATCCACCGCAGCAGGGATAAGGATGTAGGGGACAGGGTGGAGGGTAAGGAGGCGGAGAGGAAGGAGAGCAGAGAAATGGAAAGGAACGTGGAAGAAAGCAGGAAGGTTGAGAAAGAGGAGAAGAATCACAGTGGGAAAGTGACAGATGGGGAAGGAGTCATGGAGGCAGAAGCGAATACAGTGACAGGTGGTGATGGTGAGGAAGAGAAGGAGAAGGAGGAGGAGGCGAGAGAAGAATGTAGACGGAAGCCAGAGGAGGTGGTGGGGGGTCAAGTTGTGTTCAGACAGCAACGAGCCAAAAGCCGGACCTCCAACGCTGAGGAAGATAACGCTGTCGATGATGACAAGGATTTTGGTGACTACATGGGTAATTTTATATTTTTCATAACCATATGAGTTTTTTTGTGTTCACACCACATGGATATAAGTAATTTAAGCTCACCTGTAATCTTGCTTTGTGCTTTATTATTAGTAATGAAAGGGGTGGAGTCAGCTGACTGTCAGCCAAAGGAGACTCAGCCTGCTCATGATGTCCTCAACTCGACTGAGGTGGAAGGGGACAACCAGGAGCTGTCCGGCTACGTTCAAGATAACTTTGAATTCCTGGACCAAATGGACTGCAGCGTCCTGGACCACATGGACTGCAGTGTCTCCTACCAGGTGTGTGTTGTTGTAGGTGGAAAATATATCTTAACACATTTTCTTTGGGGTAAAGATAAATAGAAAGTTTTCTCTTTTGAATTCCTTTCCACTTCCTGTGTCTTTGTAACTCTTAGGTAAACGAGTTCTCCGTTGAACCTCCTGGTCACTCAGATGATGAGTATGAAGTTATGGCACAAGCTTCCCATCATCCTGCTGAGCCACCTCTGCATCCAAGCCCTGAAACACGAACCCGGAGCCAGACAGAGTTAAATCCACACAGGCCGCTCAGTATTGACCGACACACTAAATCCCTCAGCTTGCCTTACATGACCTCACCTGTCCATGGATTGGAGGAGTCCTGCTCTGAAGATGAGGCTGTAGTGGACGACAGTGATGATGATGATTATAATAGTGAGGAAGATGAGATGTTTTATAAAAGCCTTCCCGCTGATGTCTTTTTAAGCGATTTGACCTTTGAACCAGACACTGAGAAACTGGACAGTTGCACTCTCGGTGGAGTTTCTGTACATCAGGCGCAGAGCTCTGAGGACAGAGAACACCAGACACTGAACCTTGAAAATTCTGCAAGTAAAGAATTGACTGCTGGTGATCAGGAACAGGGGGAAGTGAAAGAAAAAGAAGATAAAGATGGACTGGAAGAAAATGAGATAAAGGAGGAAGAGGAAGATGAGCAGGGAAGAGACCAACTGGAAGAAAATTGGCAAAGGTGAAACTGATTCTTATTTGAAATTTAAATATATAACACAATATGTGAAACAAACCTGTAATCTCAGTTTTCATGCAAGGGCATTTCTATGAGCCATAGGCTCCACTGATTAAGTATTTATATAGTATAAGCATACACCTTTAACCAATATCTTTATTTAAACGATGGGTCAGATGTGAAAGGTGCTTGTAGTGATGAACCCACAGATAATTACGGAGTGTTTTAGCATCTTTTGGTTCATTCATGCAGCAGGCAGCTGTTTTTATGGGAAAAGTGCTGATTAACTCACTGTGCACTACTTTCTAAGCATCAAACTGTAGAGTAGCTGGTGAACATAGAAGATAATTTAGCAGGTAAAGAGCTGGATATGCTGAATGTGGAAATAGCAACTCTTTTTTAATTGTCTGTTTTTTAACTTATCTTAATATATCAAAGTTGTGTTTACGGCTCCTTGGGCTGCTCCCAAGTTGCCACAGAAAAAACGTGCTTAGCAGTGCTAATAGTGGCAACCGTGCTGACAGAGCTAACAGTGTTAACCAGAGGAAAAACTGCAAGGTGTGTGCCGCCATATGAGCGCATTGCAGAGCGGCAGCAATTAGCTAGCTAGTGGGATATACACCATAGACTGTATACAACAATGGACGACACATCTCCACATGCCCCCCACTGTACAGAAATGAAGGGGGTACAGTTGCTGCCTTCTTGCACTGGTGACGTCATTTATAGCCAGAGTCAGCACAGTAGCAATCTCCGTGGTGTCGAGTTCCCACCAAAAAACCCATACCACCAATCATGAGCTGCGTCACTGATCGCAAGCACACCAATTGTCACACATAGCTGACGTCCAACCCCATTTTAATAGTGTCACATAACAAAATTAAACCACACTTATCAGAAAAACAAACACTTGAACACACATCAGTGCGATGAGAATTACCTGAAATGACTGTAACCATCTCTGGCTCATGTTCCATCCACTAACATGGAGGGGGTGGGCCTAATGACCTGTACTGCAGCCAGCCACCAGGGGGCAAGTGAGAAGTTTTGGCTTCACTTTTGAGGAGTTGTCATGTCGTCCATCTTTATTATACAGTCTACGATACACAAGGACTCACATTCACTAACATGTTTGCATCGCCGGAGTGGCTTACCACAACAAACCACAGAGAAGCTCAGATTGCAGCACACACAGAAGGAGTGTGACTTCATTCTTTGCTCAGGACGCCATTACCCCACTATATCTTTACATAGCAAATAGTTGTTTTCTGTTATATTAATGCTCTAAATGTAATATACCACTCATTTAAAGAATCAAAACTGACTGTTATCCGATGTTAAATTTATTGAACGACCACTGAAACTCAATTTCACAAACCTCAAAACCCAGTTATCCAAAACAAGATTTCGCTTTCTGAAATGTTTCTATCTGTCATCCATCTGCAGCCAAGCAACAGAGGAAGACATGATGGAGGATAGTCAAAGTGACAAAGAACAACCTCCAGAGGCATCAGGACACTGCTGCACTGACTTTCCACTGCCGAGCGATGATAAATCAAGTGCTGTGGCTGACATGACGGTCAAGGAGGAGGCAGACATGTTGGACAGTTATCACATTGATTACCCAACTTCTCAGGAAGGTTCTTGTGCTACACAGAAAGAAACTGAGGACATTTTTTTAGAGGAGTTCAGAGACTTTTCTGTAAGGGCGACAGAACAGCCCAGAATTTGTGATATAAAAGAGAGAGAAAGGGAAATATACCAAGAGACAGAAGACATGTGTCAAGAAATAGATCTGCAAATGATAAATAGTACTGAGAACATGTGGGAGGGAACCACTGGGGAGGGCAATGAGGTGATAGCTGAAGAAAAACATGAAGAAAAGATACAGGGAGACGAAAAAGAGCAGGATAGTCCAATTTGTGGGACAAACAGGGAGATTTGGGTTGAACTTGAGGAGGTTATATGTGAAGTGATAGAGTATGAGGAAAGTAAGCAGAAAGAGAAGGAGGGTGAAAAAGAAAGGGTTGCTGGGGATGAAGATATGATCGAAGATGTCAGAGTTGGAGAGGAGGAAGAGGAGGTTGCAAATGTTTCAGGAGAGAAAATGGTGGAAGTTGACGGAGGGAAATATGAGACAGAAGTAAGGGAAGAGGTAGTGGAGGAATCAATGAGGACGACTGAAGAAAAGCTCACAGAGCCAGAGATGCAGCAAGAGGACAAAGAGGAAAACTTACCAAATATGAATGAACCAGAAGAAGCAATTCAAGGGAAGCATGCCATCAGTGACGGAGCACAGCATCATGGTAGAGAAGAAGAAAAAGAAAAAGAGAACTATGACATAGAAAGAGCTGATAAGCAACATCAAACACCAGCAAGGGTAGATAAACAACAAAAAGAGGGCAGGTGTGATATGAAGGAAGTGAAAGAAGGCAGAAAGTGTGAGGAAAGTGACAGCAGCCAAGGAGGAGTGGGAAGGAAGCTGGTCATCTCCAAACATCCGAGGGTTTACCAAGTAAAAGCTGTCCCGGTCGTGCCTCCGAAGCCGCAGCACTGCAAAATCACCGCCCTGACCCTCAGACAGCAGCAGCAGCAAAGAGAGAAAAGAGACGCCGACAGAGTGAGAGAAAACACAAGTCCAAGAGTCCCAACTGAGCAGGACAGAGCCTGTGCAGGAGACAGCGAAGATGAGGGCAGGAGGATAAAGGAGAAGCCTACACTCAGGGGAGGGGAGAAAGGAGAGAGGGAAAGGAGGAGGGATGGAGAGGAAAGTGCCTCGAGGGACTCGAGCAGAAACAGTCCCCTCAGCATGTGTTTTGACGAGGCTGTTGCCATAGCAACCATGAAGCGAGAAAAGGAGAAAGAGTGCGAGAAGGAGAAGGACAGGCAGAGGGATTGGGGATACGAAGTACAGTGAAGTTTTTTTTTTAAATCTGTATATTGATTTAAAGTAATTTGGCTGTACAAACTATTTTTCTACATGTAGCATACAGAGCTGTATTTTTCTGTCAGTATAAATTGCAGTATTGTCTATGCAATGCTACGAAAGATGATGAGGTGGGTTTTCTACCACACACAAACTTGATGTGCAGCCAGGAAACTAGTAGGTTTTTTAAAAGTATTTTTCAGAGGAGGAATTTTCCCCTCTAGTTGAGATAGATAGCTGTGGAGAGCTGACAGGGATGAGGGGAAAGAGGATGGGGACCAACATGAAACAAAGGTCCCCACCTGGATGGACTCGAACCAGACGATGCTATTACGTGGTCAGCACGTTAAACCCATAGGTCACCAGGATACCCCATCAGCAAGTCAATAACTGAACAGGTGCAATTGTGCTACCTGATATTGTGTTAAATAAAACTGAAAGAGAACAACAAAGAAGGGATTAAAGGAGAAGTGCTGCTGAGAGATGTTAAGGATGAAATATTACATGCACAACCTTGAACTTTCCATCGAATTTAAGATCCCACTCAATTTTGATCAAAAGTTAAAACATTAGCTTTAAAGCTCTTTGTGCACTAGTCGTCCAATTTTACAATTGTTTGTAGTTATATGAAGTATTTTTATGTACACAGTATATGTAAAAATAAAAGGTTGGCAAGTATATGGTTAAATGGTAGATTTAAAAGAGCAGGGATAATGAATGGAATGTATCATTTATGAAAATTATAATGTCTGCAAAACTTATTTTTGGGATTATGTGAATAAAAAGATGTTTCCAAGTCTTTCCTCTATTATTATTATTATTATCATTATATAGCTGTTAATGTGTTACTGATATTCAGGGGTGTCGTAATAGGTAGGTAAGTAAGTAAGTAGGTAAGTAATTAGAGCCTAATTATTTTAAAATTGGCTGAATAAATTAGTTGGAGGACTTAGCTTTGCATAAAAAATAGTGGGAGCTCCCTGAGGCCCCTCTCACCCCTTAAAGGTGCAAAATGGTTTAGTTGGCCCCTGCAATAAATGCAGCTATAGGAAAAGTGAGTACTGGGGCACACGTCTTTATTCAAGAAAGGGAAATCTAAGAACTGAGAAAGAAAAGTACATAAAGGAAAGGGAAGGAGAGCAAACTGACACTGTAATTAAAAAAAAGGTGTGTAAGAGAAACATGGAACAAGAGAAGGGGCAGGGGGCCCACAGTTAGGCTACTGCATACTCACAGGGCCCAAAATTTGGTGCTCCACCCCTGCTGATATTTAATATATCACATCGCTGACATCAGAGTTGTAATATTTGTCTGTGGGTACAGCCATACATAAAGTGCATTTCTTTTTCGTTTTTAGATGTTTTCTAAAATCAGAGATAGAAATATCGAGATTTGTAATTCGCGTTTATTAGAAGAGTTACGTCAGTTGCCCTTACATCACATCCGCTCTTTAATTTTCCCGGAAGTAAACCAAAATAAAACAGCTGGGAAGGCGCTTTGCCTCTTTACAGAACCCCAGTTATTTGATAAAGGTCGGCATTTGCTCCTACTGTGTTTTAATTTTCGCTCGACAGGATGTCTTTTCCTTCCTCTTTCGGTACGCAGGTCGCCGCCATCATGGATGTGTTAGCGAAAGCTGCGGTGGCCGAAATAACGAAGCTGGTGGAGGACGGGAGTGTGGTTCTGCGCCTGGAGATGTGTCGGAGGGACAATGAGATTCAGGAGCTCAAAAGAAGTTTGAAAATGATGGAGGTTGAACTCAGCAACGCTCAAGAAGCAGCCACGACCCGAGCTACTGAGGACAAACAGATCCAAACAGCAGCCGGGAGAAAAGGTGAGCAACAACCGGGGTAATCTCGCTGCGCACCAAACCTCGTTCAAAAACGCTGAAATTCTGGTTTCTCTATCTTATTAAGTTCCACTTTTGCATGGTAGAACATAACTTAAGTTTCTCAAGGATTTTTGATGGGTTCCTGTTTAATTCGGCATAAAGATACATCACTTTTTTCCGCACAGTCTGCACAGTACAAAGTACACATTTCTTCATATCAGTACATTTAGACACTCATTGTTTTTTTGTTTTTTTTCATTTTATCTATAAATTGCCAAACCCAAAGTGTTTCATTTGGGATAGTGATTTCAGAGGACTAACTTAGTTAATTAGAAATTCATCTGTAGTTTTCAGAAGAAGTAATGTAATTTTCCCGCAGATATGGACACCTTCCAGTAAACACAATAGGTAAATAGCCATGGGCCTGTACTGTCCCAATGAATAACAGGCAAGGTTCCCATGCAAATGAAGTGCAATGGAACGATCAGTCAAACCTCAAATGGTGGAAAACAACATGGAAAATCGGATGAAAATGTAGCCGAAAGCAAGGGTTCTGGGTTCAGCCCTTTTTATGGTCAGCAGAAGTAGTTTTAATGACCCTTAATTAAAGCACAAGCAATATTAACGGGGCTTCAGGCCTTACAAAGCCAAACTAAGTCACTTCAGCTGGTTTAATTCTGTTTAGAGGAGTAGTTAGACCTAGCACATACTTACTTTGTCATTACAATGTATGGAGTGTAAAACTGTTTTAATATCAACAAAAAGTCTCTAGAGCAAATTCATTGGGGATTTTATTGAGCAAAAGTTAATAATTTATTTGGCGCAGTGAATGCAAGCTTATGAGAACAGGGTAAAAAGATAAAGCAGTTGAAGGTGCTATCACGATGCTGTGCAATATTTTTGCCCTGTTTCAGCTACAGTTGACCCAGGTTGTATGGTATGTTTATGTTGTTACTGTAACAACTTGGCCATAGAGTGTCAGAATAAAGTTGTTACTAGACTAATATGAACCCTGAGATATGAAGTTATTACAACCTTGACAAGTTGATAGTTGGACCTCAAAATTAACTAAATGGCATCTTTGGGGGTTTTTTTTGGTGTGAATATTTGAACAGTGCTATGAATTCATATTGCTGTGTGTTGTTATATTTATGGAAAATAAAGAGGAATTAACTGATGTAATTACATAGGTTGTACTTCCTATGAACATGTGTTTGAGGCAGTGCCAAATAATGAGGCAGACATGGTGTGTTTGTGTTGTAATTCATTTATTTATTTGCTTTTATAGGTGCAGCAGCATTTCCACCTCAGCCAATCATGAAAAGATTTCTGTGATATTTTGATGTTTTTTTTCCTCTCAATTTGTTTTTCTATCAAAGCATTTTTATATGCGAAAGCCTGACCTGAATTTTTGCAGCCAAATTAATCTCTACCTGCATTTTATTTCTGTCAATTGCAGATGAAAAAGAAGATCGGGAAATGTGTGCTGTGTATCAGGAGCCAAAGTCTGGCCAATCACTGTGTGAGCCTGGACATGGAACAGAGGAGAGCCATGACACGAAGCCCGCAGTGAAACACGAGCCGTTAGATGGACTTGCCACCCCAGAAACGACAGACAACACTGTAAAAGCAGACGTTTGCTTTGAGGCGGGAGAGAGAGATGACCTGATCTGGCCTCCTCCTGCTTGCAGCATGTTTGAGAAAAGCTCTGCTGCAATGCAGCAGCACATACAGATTTTCCCGCCTCATGCTGAGCAATATGCTGCTCATAGAAATACAGAAAGTTCCTATAACTCTTCATCATCTGCAGCAGAGAAAATAGCAGATGATTCCTTAAGTGTGCCGATAAAAGTAGAGGTAGAGGTTCAACCAATAGGCATGGGAAGTACCACTTCAGAGTCTGTTCATAATGAACAGTTCAGACACGCTTCACACCCTCCAGTCAGTCAGGAGCAGCGCTTGCAGTCTGCTTTACAGCAGGCCGGGCCCTCACTAGCCCCACCTCATGCACAGAGGTCCACAGCAGATACGTCAGGATCAAACACAGACTATCACATCCTCAATAGAAACAACCTGAGAGGAAAAAGGCAAATGAATGTTTGGAGAACGAATCAGAAACTGTTCATCTGCCTGGTTTGCAACAGGGGCTTCCCTCGCATGTCTCAGCTAGAAGAGCACAAGGCCTCCCACCAGCCCTTTAAACCTTTCAGGTGCCTCGAGTGTGGAAAATCTTTTACCCAGAAGACGCGGTTGAAGACGCACCAAAGTGTGCACACAGGGGAGAGGCCGTTTAGTTGCAAAATCTGCGGCAAGATGTTTTCGAGGCAGGACAACTGCCTGAGACACGAGCGGTTCCACAGTGGGCTGAAGCCCTACAGCTGTGGACAGTGTGGTAAAAGCTTCACTGTGCTGGGTAACCTCAAAATACATCAAGAGATTCACCTGCAAGGAAGATAGCGCTCAGGGACAGAGGCTCTAAGTGACTCAAGAAAGTTACGAGAATTTGCACGGTGTACTTTGGCAGTTGTAATGCAGTGAATGCAGCCAGAAAATGTGGACCTTGTATTCCAGGTGACAAGGCAGGGTTGCTGGCAAACTCTGTGCAAAAAATGTTAACATTAATGGTGTTATATTTATGAATTTTTATAACCAGTGTACTGAAATGCAGACTCATCTTATCGCCCAACCATACCCCAAACTCACACTGTTTGTAGCTTGGCTATCTGCCATTACATGACCGATCCAAATTAAATCCACTGTCTTTGTCAGTGTCATAAAATGTAGTGCCTCTGCTGCCAGTTAAATGAATTCAGTCACTGCGGGCTGCCAGCTCAGTTTTTCCTCTGGTCTCTGGTAGCTTACATAATCATTTTTCCAATTAGTTCCACAGAGTTTCAGAAAAAGAGAGAACAGGTATCAGGCCAGTACTCGGTGTCTGCAGATGTCCTCAGGAGAGAAAAGGTTGGAACTGTGCATCCCTAGTTTTTCCAGTTTCAGCATTATCGCACTGTACTGAGAGGTATTTCAGTGCCTTGGACATGTCATGGTATCCTCTCCCTGATTGGTACGTTTTTAATGTTCCTTGGTCTTCATAATGTGGGACATCTCCAGATATGGACATTGCATTTAACCTAAAATTACATGTCATACTTTGATTACACACAAATCATGTTAATTCAACTTAATATGTGGCCTCTAAAAACAGCAGGGCGATTGATGATTTAAATGTGTCACAGTAAAAGGAATGTTGGTGTTTGCCTATGCAGTAATTTATTATCAGTAGAGATTTGTTTTACATTATATTAAAGTTTGTTCATACTCTCTTTTTTTCTCAATTTTGTCTCAAAGGTTTCAACTTAAATGTCTTTTTCCCCCTGCGCTTTTAAAATGTCTTTGTTTATATAAAAATATATATAATTTTTAAAAACATATACAAACAAAATACTTAGAATTTTAAATAATTCTATTAATATATAAGTATGCCTGCTTATTTTTTCTCCAAACGTATAAATGTGTCTATTTATTTTATATTGTTTATTTTATTTATTTACTTATTTCCTCATCTTTGTTTTAATTATGAACTTGTTATGAGTTAGTGAGTATAGCTGAATCAAATAATATTTTGTTGTGAGAAAAGGGGACTTAAAAAGGTCTTAAAAATCATAATAAAATAAGGTAATGGTTGTCAGACTACATTCACTGTGTCTCAGTGTGTGGGGACTTTTAATACACGGTATCTGAAACAGGCCAGTTCACAATACTGTTTGTAAAGGGTGGCTCAAACTCAAATTTCCTTAAGAAAACTGTAAAACCAATTGGCCTTACAGTGCTACTTTTGCATTTTGTTTACTAAAATAAGTTGTGCTTTTACTGAAAAGTAAAAGATAAATAATTAGAAGAGAAACAGAAACAATACAAGAGCAATTAAACTTAATTAACCCTCTCAAGCAAAGTGTCATGTAACTGTAGGTGTTCAAACTGTTTATATTCTGAGCACTTTGGGATAAAGGCCTAAAAGTTGAACTTGACGGGTCATTGTTGACCTTTGAAACAGCAGCTGACAACATCTCTATTTACTCACTGAACTTCAAACTTAACTCAGCTTTTGAAAATTGACTTTAAATCTTGAAGAAAGCTAAAGTATACAAATTCCTTAAGTTTATATAAAGAAATCTATGCACTGCATGATGGCAGTTTTTTCCTATAGAATGTCTTCTTACACCCCAGCTTTATTTGTTTTTATTTTTATTCATTTTGACAGGGGTGATACATAGACTACAGGCATTATTACACTTAAATTAAATGCAACCAATTCAATGTATGTAGGACTTCTAGCTGTATCTAGTCTGCAGCCTCTGTTTAGGTTTAAGGGTAACATATAGTAGTAGTATAGTGTAATAGAACAAACACTATGGAAAATTTTACCCAATTACCCAAAACATAAATTAAAAAAAAATAATTATAGTTTACTGTTGCTCGGGTTATTGCCTGTGTGTTTTAAACTACTACAGTGTCTGCAATGTCTGCATATTCTTTTTTAATTTTGAACAAAAAACTGGGCTAACCTCGGAAGTGCCTCTGTAATATTCTTTGCGCCTTTCAACCTGTATTTACGGTATCCATGTCATCACTTCCGTTAAACGAGAACTTGTGTTTATTCTTTGTACCAATTAGCTGCAGCTAGCTGAAAGCGGTACACTATAAAACCAACACCGAGCTAACCTAGAAGCCTAGCTGTAGTTTGTGTACAGTCGGCGGCTTCAGCAATGACCTGTCTCGGTTAGTTAGTGGGACTAAGTTAACGGGCACTTTTCTCGTTTTAAAGTTAAAGCTTCCTTGCCACTTTGTTGGTGTTTTCTTTAAACAATGTTGAGCAGCGTTGCTCTGCGGGCTCAGATTGCCTCCATCATCGATGCCTTGTCCAAAGCAGCCGTGGAGGAGATCACCAAAGTTGTGGAGGATGGCATGGTGGTACTGCGGCTGGAAATGTGTCAGGGTGAAAATGAGATCAAGAAGCTGAAGAGCAACATCGAGGTCCTGCACAACGAGCTGAGAGCACTGCAGGGGAGGGTGACCCTGCGACCTGACAGCCGTGGGAGAGATGGTGAGATGGACCTCACACAGATAGACCTAAAACACACTTTACCTAACCTGTTATCCCTTTAAACTGACAGGGATACACTCTCACAGTACTCCTGACTGTTACACTGATGTAGGGCACAGTAGGACAGGACTTATTTGGCACTGATATGCACAAACCTCTGCTTCCTTTACACCCATCTGACCTTGTTTGCCTTTGAGATCCTTAAACATTTCTGCTTGTTTGTCTGCCTGTAGGGGATTGACTAAATAAGCACATTTTAAAGCAAGACCCGCACACTGAAATAACTTGCTCACATTTATTAACAAGGCTGCAAAGGTGGTTGAATGTTGGCTGCATTGTATCTGCTTCTGGCAGTCAGCTGTACATGTGACAGCTCCAAAGATGCCTCGACAAAGAGAAAGAGCGATAATTTGTTAAACTAATAGAGAAACAATGGGTGTATCCACAGTATTTGATGCTGATACAGTCAATCTTTGTATCTTTACACTAGCAGCTTCATTTCACAATAGTTTAAATAACTTATGTGCTTACTTTTAATTTTTATGTCATTTTGACTACCCTGTGAATCTGTCTTCTGTGTATACTGCTTTTAATCCTGTCCTACCTCAAAACTTGAGTGTGACACGGGCATTGCTATGAATTGGAGATTGCTTAGGCCCCACTCTTCCTTCTCACATATGTACATCTACTCAACAAAAAATTAAAACATGCCCTCATGCATCAAAGGGGCTACACCTGACATTTTATACCAATATATCAAATGACTGCAAAAGAGGTCACTTGTCATGATGAATCTTCAGAGGAATATTTCATAAATCTCCAGTTTTATGGAGCTTTATACTAAGTTTTATCTTATTGTTTAGCTGTTAAATTACTGTTTTAGTTCACTCTCTGTGCTGTCATAACATAGTTTTCAGCAAGAAAACTCTTAAAACCCCTCAGTACACTGCCTTCCCAGCACCAGGCAACAGACAGACACAGTCAGCGACTAGCAGATTAACATAGTGGAGCATTTAGCAGCTATTCAACACCACGGTGTAGACCAAAAACTGAGCTAAAATAGCATGAATATTGGAGTGAAGTTTTCCAAGTGGACACAAACACCAACTCAAAGGTTCAGTGTGTAGGATTTAGGGGGATATATTCGCAGAAATGGAGTACAGTATATTAAGTATATTTTCTTTATTGTACAGTCACCTGAAAATAAGAATTGTTGTGTTTTCGTTATCTTAGAATGAGTTGTTTTTATCTATATAAGGGGTGGTTCCTCATCTACGGAGATCACCATGTCGTACTTGGGGGTGTAAGTCAACAGTTTCATCACAATGCAATGTTCTATACATTCTTTGGACAACGATACAATATTTCCTGATGTCACAAAGTGTGCCACAATATTATTTTGATTTGATTCAATTCAGGGCCCTGAAATCAATATGAGACGTTATCAGTAAATATTCTCTTTTTCTTGGCTGCTTGCCAGTGTGTCTGCCTGACATCAGGCAGCTAGCAGTGTTTGGATGTTTAGGAATAAGTTGTGCTTGGATGAAAACTGTGGCAGAGAGGTCATGGGAATTTCAAAATAAAGAAAACAAAGAAATATCTTAAAGATGATGATACTGATTTTTTTCACTTTGCATTGAAAATATTGGATCATCGCCCATGTATCGATCCAGGTCGTTGTATCATTGCACTCCTGAGTTGCACCGCTAACATCAGAAAAACACTGATTTCTGCATTATTCAGCGATTTCCTGGTTTAAATCAGCTGGTTAATTTGTTTTGGAGAGAGAGAGACCTCAGCAAATACTTCAGCTTCTGGTAAAAACCTCCTGAACAACAAACATTTTAGTTGACTGCAATCCACACCACTAGATTCCAGTAAGTCCCCCTAAATCTTATACACTTTTAAATGAAAGCAAATGTTGCTCAGTCACTGCTGGATGATTAATATGCCAACAATTGCGTCAGATCAACTTAAAAAAATTATCTTATGTCACTATTGCGTCAGTCATAGCCGAAATGTCATAAAATCTCGGTTTCAGGCACTAGCTGTTATATTTCTAACAGTGGTCTTCTGTTTTTATGATTGCACAACAGTTATGTCACTTTTTTTTAGAAATTGTTATGTAACTGATTTCAGATTTCACCAAAACTTGGTTTCAAAACCGAAATGGTTCAAAATTAAAGTTTGAAATAGTCATACGATTGAGGATCACAAAAGGTGTGTTATTAGTGTGCTTCGCTGGTGTGGTGTAAATGAAGTTACTGACCAATGTATATAAACACATTTAATTATGACATTAAAACATTACAATTTGACCTGCCTTTTAAAAAACATCTTAATGTTAACATCTCACTGCCTTTCCACAGAGAGTCAGAGTGACGTTCGTGATGAGAGGACCTTGTTTGAAAAGGGGCACGCTGATAAGGACCAAAACGGCCTGTCCGTACCTGAGGTGCAGGTGAAATGTGAACCCGTGGAAGAAGGAAGTGAGGAGGCTGCAGGACAACCTGACCAGCTGGGTGAAGAGTCAGCCACGTATGAAAGGGACAGTGCACAGTGGAGGCAGACAGCACAAGCTCAGACAGGACGCAACAACTCAGATTATTTAAATTTAGGCCAGAACTCCTTGTCGTGTGTTCCTGAATCGTCTCTGGACACGGGACTGGCTGTGCCCTGCAGCAGCTCTGGTGTGTTTCAGCAGAGCCCATTCAGCCGCGGGCTGCTGGGTTACAGTCAGTATCGTAATTTGTACAACACGGTGCGGAGGAGGACGGTGAAGAGGTTAATGTTCAAAAAGGGCTTCATCTGTCCGTATTGCGGTAAATGTTTTGAGCGTTCTGGGCACCTGGAAAGGCATAAGAGGATTCACACTGGTGAGAAACCTTATCTCTGCGAGATATGTGGGAGACGGTTTAATCAGAAATGCAGCCTGAAGGAGCACATGAAGATTCACAGAAGATGTAAGTACAAGACTTTATTTTCTAAGCAAACGTTGCAGGAAAAAATGAAGAAGTCCTCCCTTTTGTCAGCAGCTGCTTTGAAAGTTGACCCTGAGAAAAGCATTTTGTCCACTGACGCTCATCATCAGGAAAGAGTGAAAGACTTTTTTAAGTATGAGATTAGATCTACATGCAAAGCAGGGTGTAGCCCCCAAAGAGTCTGTGCACTTAGGCAATATTCTCATAAATGTCTGAAAATAAATTTTAAAATGAAGAAATTCTTCCCTCTGTTTTGCAGCTCAGGGCGGTCAGGAGCCTTGGCTGGGGAGCTGGTGGGGATTAGTGTCTCGATCAAGGTCTCTTCAGCAGAGCAGGATTAGGGAGGGTCTCAGGGTCGTGGGGGCTCAAACCTGAATGTCTGGGATCACTGTAAATACTTCCCTTGGACCTTGAATAACGTGTGTCTGTCCATAGAAAAAAATTATGTGTAGAAGTAGTAAATGTATCTCCTCACTTGAAGGACCTCCAGGTCTCCCCAACATATTGGTAGCCACTTGCACTCTTCTATGTGGTATTTTTGTTCTCTGTCTTGCAGTCTTAATTCACTTGACAGTTGAAAGTCTCTGGCTGCGACATTCCTCTGTGTCACAGCAAGCAGAGAAAAACTCTGTGGTTTAGGCGAGACGAGTAAAAGGGGGGGATGGTGAAGTGCCCCGCTGACAGCTGTGTTGGCCTGGCTGGCCGGCCTTTTATATCCTCTCTGCTTCCCAGGGCAAGACTCATTGGATATTAATTACTGGGGTCACATCTCAGGTCATGTTCATGCTGACATTTCTGCAAGACGAAGTGGTGGCAGACAGATGTACCTTTATCCATGATTTTTCCCATCAGTGGTGGTGAATCCAAAATGCCTTCACACATTTCCTTTCAGATCGTTTGGTATCATGATTTTGGTCGAGCTAGTTTTTTCTGTTTTGTGTAATCGAAGAGAACTTGAAGAGCCTGATTTGCTGAGGACAATAATGCATGACAGTAAGAAGCTTTTGACTTCGTAGATGTGGGTGGTAAAGTGCATATGACAACTTCTTTCTACTCAAACAGGTATTCAGCCCACACCACTTGAGATCGAGGTGTGTGAACAGAAGCAGATTCCTGAGGTGAATCCATGTGCTGATACTCTTCATCCCAAGGAAGAGAGCCAGGTGAAAACTGAGGATGGCCTACCTAAGAATGAGGTCATTCTCCCAACGCCCATACACATCAAATCTGAGCCTGCAGAGGAGAATATAGCACAACCGCTGTTTCATGGAGGCAACGAGCAGACAAGGAAAGAAGGGGAGGACTTCGCAACATTCGAGAGAGACAGCCAGCAGTGGATGCACAAGTTACAAGGACAAAACAACACGGACATCAGCAGTACAGAGTATATCAGCAGCTCGGCGCACAGTATGACGTCTTTCCCAGGAATAGCACAGTTACTGCCACCACCACCAGTCGAAGCTTCTTGTAGCACGTTCTCCTTTCCAGGGAAACCATATGGGCAGCTCAAAAACAGCATGATGTCTCAAACACCATATGGATCCTCAGACACACTTATGATATCAAGTGAAGCAGGCTTGCATGGTATGGCAGGAGCCATGCTGAATCACCACCGACAGAGAGGATGCAGGTCATTTCAGGTGATCAAACCAAAGAAATGCTTCGCCTGCTCATACTGTGGCAAAGTCTTCGAGCGAGCCGGACACCTCGAGAGACATTTACGAATTCACACTGGGGAGAAGCCGTATGGTTGCCATATCTGTGGGAGGTGCTTCAATCAGAAGAGTAGCCTTAAGGGCCACATGAAAACGCACAGAAATGGTAAGAGAAAAACAGTGTCATTCCCAGACAAGATACCAACTATGGCTGCAAGTAACAAGTATTTTCAAGGGCGTAACTTTGGTTTGAAAATTGGAGGGGACACAATAATACGGGGAGTGAGGGGGTCTTCCCCCCAGAAAAAAAATTGCAATTTGAATCTATTTCCTGCATCTTTACGTAAATTTTGGGACTATGGTAACAGAAACAAAATCCAGGAAATAATTAAATGGGTCATTATGCTAACTTCTGCCAGTATAGTGTTAAGTATGCCAAATATGCTGCTCTTCTGTGGCATTTTTGGAGTATAGAAGAGCAAAATCGCCAGATCAATTCACATCCTCGGCCAGGATCTGATGGCTGGCCAAATAATATTAAGCATGATTATTGTGGTCAAAAAAATAAAATAAAAAATCAGTTTTGAAGGGGTATTTTGAAAACTGGTAATTACACCTCAGATCATTGTTAATATTACTAATTTGTATTATTTTCTTGATTAATTGATCACTCAATTCATCCGTAAAGTGTCAGACAATGGTAAATAAATGCCCGACACATAAACCTAGTCCAAGTTGCCATAATCAATTTGCTTGTATTGTTCAACCAACATTCTGATATGCAAAATGTGTACGATATTAGTTAGCATTGAGGACCAAGAAACCCAACAGTTATTTACATCTGAGAAGTTGGAAACAGAGGATTTGTGGCATTTTTGCTTAAAAAAAAACACTTATTACCTCCAAAGGTGTCACACAGGGTGGGTTTTCTAAACTTAAAAAAAAATAGGACAGACATATTTTAAAAATTGGCATGTCATGATACAGAGCTCTATATGAAAAAATACTAAATCAAGACTAAACTTAAGCCAACGTATAGTTGTAAAATATTCATTTTTAACTCCAGCATTTACTAGAACCATACCGAGCACACAAGCACCACTGCTTTATATAAAAGCACAAGAAGCTCAAGTTCATCTGTTAAAAGTATTTGCTCATTTAATTCTTTTGCCTTTTTTTCTGATAAGGGGAGAACACCGAGGTGCTGGAGGCACATCACCTGATGTTTACAATGCCTGATAATCAACCGTTGAAGAACCTGGCAGAACCCAAGCCCGGACTGGCAGTTTTAGAGGAACACTTACTGGGCACCACATACAGCGAGGCAGGTGGTGAGCAAACAGTGATGGTGAAACTGGAGCCAAATGGGGAGGATTTTCAGACTCTAAGTCAGGCAGGGACTGATAACAGCACAGGAGCACCAGATCAAAGTCAGCTGTGGACATCTGGGATGGAGAGGAGTGGTGATACCGAACAAACTGTCTGTGTACTTTTACATGATGTCAAGTATCACCTCAGTCCTGCTGTTGGAGAAGCCAGTGAGCAGCAGGGATATACATCACCAATAAGGGATCTGCCTTTTCTAGACACCAAAGAAAAGGAAGAAATGATGCACAGTGATCAGTATTCAATGATGGGAATGCAATCAAGAAGCTCCGATATGACTTTAGCGCCTGAGCTGCAAGATCAACATATTGCGCCAGAGGTGGCTGTGAGTGAGTACACAGCTGTGAGTGACAGGACTCATGAGGGAGGTGTGTTTGAATTTAATATGACTGCCTCAGGCAACCATGCGGACAGCTGTGGCGAGGACGCCACCAGGCAAAATTGCTTTATATGCTCAGCTTGTGGGCAAAGCTTTGATAGTTTCAGTCTATTTCAGAGGCACCAGTGTAAAAATATCACAGCGAAATCCTTCAGCTGTGAGATATGTGGTAAGATGTTTAATCAGATGAGCATCCTGAAGTTGCACCTTAAACTGCATGTAGAATAAAATTATCTGTGATGTGCACAAGGAAAAATACTCTAGATGATTCTCCAAGGAGCTTCATCACATTCAGTCGTAACACAAGTGCACAAGTTAATTTATAACGGTTGACGAATCAATGTAACATATAACTAAATACAGAAATGAATACTTGATGTCCTAAAACTTCCAAAAGCTAAAGCTTAAGAACAAAAGGCATTCGTTTTTTTTAATATTCAGTACTGATTAGGTACAATATTTCAAGTACTTTGCACCAAATGTTTTCCTGCTACTTTGACCTTCTCCATCTTCTCATTTATAGAAGACTTTTTTTTTTTTTTTTTTAAAGATGATTGAGGATTGTTGGCATTAACTGTTGCTCCTTGCTTGCTTGAAGCTGGCCAGAGCTTTGGTGTGGCTTTTATAATGACTCAAACTTCTCAGAGAACCCAAACAATGTCAAGTGTTTGAAGTGGCAATTAAAGCCGCCACATTTTCGGTTACTCAGACTGATAACTAGTTTTGCTAAATTATTTCAAAGATACTTGTCTTTATTTTGAGAATGGTAATGGCCAAATAACATGAGAACGTGATTACATGCTGATTATGTTGCCTACTGAACCATTGTGTTTTGCTGTTTTCACAGTTCAAAACCAGCCCGAGTCAGTTTGGTCTATCAAGAAAGTATCGTGTGTCATCACTATAGAATGTAACTCCACCTTTTTCTGTCCAACTGAACGAACCTCACCGTCACACAGAATCACACTGTTCTCTTTTTGTTTAGAGACATTTATTTTAAGATACGTCCTTTAAATAACAAGTAATGAGAAATAATTTTGCACTGTAACTGAATTTCCTGATTGGAAACAGACCAACATGCTTTTTTTTATCACCGAGGATATGCTGTTAGCATATTTTTTGTTCTTTAGTGTGAGGTAGGCTGTGATGATATTTGAAAAATATCAATATATTTTTTTGGCTAAACAATATTTAGTGATCTGGCTGAATTGGAACAAATTACAGTATGCATTATCAACAAAAAATTTAGTACAGTTTTTCAGTGGCACCCCCAGAAATGTTTCATAAGGGTGGTCAGATGGGGCCACTGAAATGTTGGTGTGACACACCAAAACTAAAAGCGATAACTGAATTTCAGGAATTCTATTCTGCTGTTGTAGTTTATAGTTTAGATGAAAACTATGTCAATATGGAGAGTTAAGGAATTGCACACTGATATACTTTGGTTTCTTATTTTACAGTTAATGTTACTGATGATCTGATGTGCACAGACAAATAGAGCTAACATGTTGAGTTCCACAACAGTCCCATAAAATGGGTACCATTGTTAGGTTTATTGCTCTTCAGATAGATGAGTTGTCCTTTTCCTTAAAAAGATACATACTTACATACATACATACATACATACATATACAGCTTTAGTTTGAAGGAGTACATTGATTTTAAGGAAGAAAATTTCTCAAGTTTAGGGAGAATGGTTGGTTCCCATAGAACCCATTTTCATTTAGATATTTTGAGGTGAGAGTTCAGGGGACCTCTTTAAAAATCGTCATGCCAATTATTCCCTTGTCAAAGTTTAGCCAAATTTTCAATCTTTTTTTAAGCCTTCTTGCCAACAAGCTATGGTAAAATGGTTGGCACCAGTGGATGCCTTAGATGGTCTAGGTTCACAACATACCACTTCCTTCGCACTAGCTTAAAAACTGAACGCACCACAGCCTCACCCACGGGGTCCAATGGGGTGGCCAACAATTGTATCAGGGGGGTCATGGCCCCCTGTGACCACGCCTTGGGGGTGCCACTGCAGTTTTCTTTTTTAGTTAGATTTGTTAATGTGCCATTGTTAAGGGAAATGTGAAATCAATCAGTTTCATCAAGCTTTGATAAGGCAGTGAAAATATTGTACTATGACACACTTTTGTGACGCGGTTCCACATCAGTATACTAAAATATGGAATAATGCCTGGTTTTTCTTTCGAGGAGGATACAGTGAGGGTACTACTGTTTTTGTTTTTTTTTTAAGTTGAAGACATTGTTAAAAGAATTTACAGAGATGTGTACTGTTGATAAAAGAGATGAACAGCAATGTCTTTGTTTTAAGTTGAATCAAGCAAACCCTATCCTCATAGAACAATGTGCTGTATACCTCAAGATACCATTGCCTTGAAAGCTACATGTAAATATTTCTGATAACGTTGGCTCAATATTCTACTGGTTAAGTCTTTCAAATAGCAAATTTAAAGCAAATGTTGACAGGCCAGGATTTCAAATGTACCAGGTATCCCACTAATGATAATACGGTGATAATTTTCATGGAGAAAGGGAGAGGACTACAAGAAGTTAATGCTAAATCATATGCAAGAAACTTTTGCATTATGTGAAACTTAAGAAACATCAAATACCTCAGTGATACACAGGGTACTCATTATAATCATGTATTTGGAAAAAGACGTAATATGAAGCCTCTCTTTGGTTATGTGTTCCCTTGGACTGATATTTATTTTTTGGGAGATTTATTCTTTATTTAATTTTATTTTATTTTTTACAATGTATACCCGAAGTTACTGACATTGGTTATCAGATAGAACGTATGATGTAGCCGGTGTTAAGCATTAAGCATGTGGAAAACTGTAATATAAAAAGCCATTAAACTGGTTGAGTAAATTGTTGGTTCTAAATGAATGGTGCACTTTGCATTTGTTTGGAGCAGGTGGCTGGACTTGAAGAGGTCATTAAAATAGTTTGACATAACTAACCCTCCAGCTGAGCCCACAAGAAGGGTACCTGTCTAGGGCCAATAGGGTGACACAAAACCCTTTACAGTACAGTGTGATGAGTGCCTACATATTTCACATGGGAATGAAATCCCTAACCCCACCACTACAATGTTTTTTCTTTTTCTTTTTTTAATTTAAAATGTTCACTGATGAATAATTGTCAATCTAACACCCAACTGTCGCATGATTCACAGATATCACAAATTTATCACAATTTACAGGATGCTAGATTATGTTTCAAAAGATGAATAAAAAAAAAGTTTGTCTTTGTTTAGCTTTTTGTATTTTCAAATACATTAAAAACTAAGTTTATCACTTGTGGAGTCCAGTACTCTGGTTATTTTAATAACAGTGTAAATAAATCAGTGTTTGATGTTAATATTTCCTGCACCATTTCCTCCTCCTTTACTGTCTCTCACCTCGCTTCCTTTTCTTTCATGATTTGCACATTTGCAGAAAAGATTTGTGATTCACATAAAACAGAAGAGGACCCCAAATGGATCCTTGGGGAACACTCAATTTAGATTTCAAATTTCTACAGTCAAACAGTAAAGATTAAGAATTAAGTTGTCGTAAAACACTAAAAATGCAAACAGATCAACTAGTTTATATGTGACTATTTAATCAAGCATGTTTTTTATAGGTTATTTTAGGTGACTTGTTCTGCAGAGAAGGGTTATGAAATATAGGGCTACTAACTGCTGTGAATTTGTGTTGGAGGGATATTTGCTTGCCAGATGGCAGAGTTGATTGATACAAACTGTTTAAAGCCTGCGCAGCTGTCTAACAGACTAGTAAAGGTAAGTTACTGATGTTTTACCCGAAACACCTACGAGTGATGGCAAATAAACGTGAAGGCCATCACCTTACACTGTTCCTCTTTTCATTGTTGGTTTCACTGCGTGTCTACGCATGTATTTACGGTAAAGCCCTCCGCCACACGGAAGAAAAGGTTCCAGCTAGCTAGAAACAGGGATGTAAAATTTTCTAGTGCGTCGGTTGTTTTCGCATTTTTTTTTATTAAATTCATCGCGAGGACGGACCTATTTATTATATTTTGTTCTCGCATGTTACTTTGCATGAATAAACATGGCGACGTGCATTCCCTTTCAAACCCAGTTATCCTCTATAATGGAGGTTTTGGTTAAAGCAGCAGTGGCAGAGATATCCAAACTAGTCGATGACAAATGTGCGTTTTTGCATCTTGAAATCTCTCGAAAGCAAAGCGAGAATGAGATGTTGAAGAGGAAATTAGTGATGATGGAGAATAAAAATGCACAGCTACAGCGGGGGTTCGGTAAGACTAATTAATGTATGCCTTTAATTGGCGACTGGAGTAAACTAATGTATTATGCTTAATAATGTGTCGTGTAATGACAAACGCATGCTTATTTTGTAAAACAGCAGGGAAATTGTTAACAGGCAGCACTGTAGGGATGCTGTGGCTACACTTACATAAATCCATGTACATTGTTAATACTATTGGACGCATTTCCTGGTATAATATAACATTTGATTTCACTTTGGTCTAGATTTTTGAATGTGTTTTTCATTTCTTGCACCAGAAAACTACATGGACCGAGGGACTGATGTGGGGAACTGTCCGCACCCCACAGGAGATATTAAGGTCTGTGTTAATTTCATAACAACTTTGATCTATGTCAATAAAGTTACTCAGTAATTTATGTGAAGATGGATGAGAAGCAAAGGCGTAGATTTTGGGGGGACACATAAGGGACATCCCCCCCTCAATATTCAGAACATTTAAAAAGAAAAAATGAAATTCTCATATTGTGTATATTGTGACTATTTCCTTGAAATACTACGACTGTATTCTTGACTTCTCAAAGAGCATATGTGGGATGTGTTTTGAATGTGCAGAAAGTTCTGAACGTATGCAGACACATTGCTGAAACACATATGAGCTATTAAAGCCCGGGAGTTTATAAATTGATAAAAATAGGTGAATTTATCATTTACATAGGTGCCACATGCACATTTAAAAGAGGTTATGTTCCCAAACAAAAGACCGAAACTAAGAGGGAAGAGTAAATCATGCCTGTGTGTGTTCACTCAGCAGAGATAACATAAAATGAGAAAAGTTGAAAGCTGAGAGCCTTACTGCATTATATGACATTATATTTTCATGTTTTTAATTGTCAACTGCCAACAGAATGTGGTTTTCCATTGCGTAAATAAATGCACTTCCACCATAAAATGGAACAAAAACATTCACCAGAATGAAATGAAATGTTTAATGCTCATAATATTTAGGTGGAGAATTCCTCAGCTCACCCTTTTATATATGTCTCCCCCATATTGGAACCAAACCCTTGATCTAAATCAATGCTGGATTACCAACCAGGGGCCCAGACCACAAGGGATCCCAAAGCCCCAGGTTCCCTATGTAGACAAATTGGTTTTTAGTAATATTTGAACATGATGATCAGAGAAGGGTAGAAATGGGGCTAATAGAGGCCCAGTAGCAATTTTTTGCCCCAGGGCCATGAAGTAGGAAGCATAGCATTAGCCAATTTCACCTGACTAGCACTGACAATGATGTGGGACATGCTTTTAATGAATGAAATATGCTATAAACACCAGAGTCATTTTCACCAGCAGCAGCCAGCAGTAGAAAAACCAGCAGCACGCTAACTTCCTAGATCCGGACAAATATAATAAAGAGCTAGCTGGTGAACATGGTGGACAATTTAGTGCAGAAAGAGCCAGATATTTCCCTCAGGAGACGGTGGAGAGCAAACAGAGCTAAAAGGAAAGTGAATATTGGATTTACAGCTGCCAGGTGGCCAGACACACGACTCAAAATTAATGCTAATGTTGCTGTATGTCTGCTTCATGTATAAATAAGTAAATATCTGCTAGCAAGTTCAGCGAATCTACTTCATAAGGTGATAATATACAGGGTGACAAATCACTTTTTTGTCCACCGGCTGAATGGTCAGTGAATGTTCAGATTTTACCCCAGTTTAATAGATTAACATTTGTTCTTTGGCTGATGAGTGAAGTAAATCTACCAGCTACTTGCATTTTTTACCAGCTTTCATGTTGTTCCCTGTAATATGTCCGTGTTGTGTTTACAGTTAAAGTTTAATCCATCCTCTCCCTGTCTAGTTTCCTGATATTGACGACGCCACTGTTTCTTTCACAATTAAAGAAGAAAGTCCAGATGAGGCGCTGTGGATCAGTGATTCTGCTGGACCGATTGGTGAGTTAAAGAACTGTATTTTGTGCAAGAATTATATCCAACAATATAAAGGCTCAAATTAACTATATGCTCCCTCTTGAATGTTCCTAACACTGTCAGGTTCTGCTGTACAATACCGCAATCCAGCCAACACTGCAGAGAGCCAGCAGCTTGGAGAGGACCGTCGGTTAAACCACCCAGAGGTCACTGCGCCGAAAACATCAGAGTTTGGTGAGTTGTATGACTCTGGTCAGCATGCAGGAGACATCAGTGGGCTTCAGTTTACTGTCAAGACCGAGAAGGAGGAGAATCGATCAGGGTTCAGTCAGGATAGATGCCAGCACGGCGCAGGGAAGCACACTCAACATGCAGCTGACTTTTCCATGGACGAAAGAGAGGATCAGCTCTGGTCATCCATAATTGAAGGTGATGATATCGATGCTGGTTTTCCTGATTTTTCGAGTGTGGTGGAGGAATACTCCAACACATTTCCGGACGATTCTGATGTTCATGTGGTTTCTAACACTACCAAGTCTGCTAACGTCCAGCAGCTGTCCTCTCAGAGGCCGTGTAATGGGATTTACAACAGTGAGTATCAGAAGGATGTTCCACAGTCATCCAGTTTTCAACCCAGACCTCAGGGTAACCTATCACAGCAAGACAGGCAGAAGGAACAAGTTTACTCGCAGAGAAACCCCTTGCATGTTGCACATCTGAGGCAGCCAGATGAACACCCCGAGAGGGAGACTGCAGCTGGAGATAGAGCAGTCGTAAGTCACTCGCACAACACTTTCACAACAAGCAGCTTCCACCCTCACAAACCTCTCTCTGGCACAGCGCGGGGCTACGCTTGCTCACACTGTGGGAAGACGTTCGGCCGTTTGCACCAGTTCAAGCTGCACCAGCAAAGTCATAAGAGAAAGCGGGCGTTCTGGTGCACGGTGTGCGGGAAGAGCTTCCAGTGTTCATCCCACCTCAGCATACACCACCGAACACACACAGGCGAGAAGCCGTACGGTTGCGGACAGTGCGGGAAGAGGTTCACGCAGCAGAGCAGTCTGAGGGTCCACCAGCGCACACACAGCGGGGAACGACCCTACAGTTGCTCGCTGTGCGGGAAAACTTTCATCCTGATGCACCATCTGAAACGGCACAGAATCATTCACACATACAGCTGAGGGGGAGATGTTTCAAGTGAAGCTGCTCAGGTGAAAAGACAAAAATGACCCAAACCAAAAAGCCAGGGAGCTTTTCGGGGACTTGTGACTTTGTGGCATTGCTCACAGACTTTGTATATTAAAGCATATTCTACTATGCAAAATCCATCTGGATGGATTTTAAGATGTTTGCTTCTTTTTTAAATACTTCTAATTATTAAAACAAAACTGAATTGCACCCTCAAACAGAATTCACACAAGTCAGTATTTTTAAGACACCTCCAAAGCTAGAAATCCAAAAAAACAAGGTCTAAAATGTGAAGTTGTTAAAAGAAAAACCCTGCGGATTCCCTCTTACAGTTACCTGCATACTGATCTTCACTCATAGACAGTTTGTTTTAGCTCTTCGTGTAGAAATATGCCTTACTTCATCTCAGCACTGAAACCGTAGAAGCACAAGATGCTCATTATCCCCATTAAGTCTCTCCTTTACAGTCACAAGAGGGCTCTCCATTCAGAGACAGAGAAGCACCTCAGGTTTATGTTTCAGTGTCAACATTGGTGAAAACCTGCCTGACTATTGTTCTGAGTTGAATTTGTCCATAAAACATATCCCCAAAAATCCTTTGCTCGTTGTTATGATTTATATTAAAGCTCCTCGATTTCTTCACTGTATGTAACTCTCAGGTAATTCTTGCTGTTGGGTATCATTCACTGTATTTATTTGGTATTCAGAAATTGAGTTGAAGCCAACAATTTTAATTGATCTTTATTAATTATTTTAGTATTGTTTAGTAAAGCCGAAGATGTAGCCTTTGGATTGTTTGTTTTCTAACTAGCGCTATAAAACCCAAAGCTGTAAGATTTATAATTAAATAAAGTAGTAAAACGTGAAAATCAGGAAATCCTCACAGCTGGATCCAGGGAATGATTGGCATTTTTATTTTGATAAATGACAGATAATTCATCAAAATCATTGCTCATTACTAACTGTTTCACTACTACTCAAATTACGGCCTCATTCAAGCCTGTAGTTTTGTCACTGTGTAGGTGAATTGTCAGCAGAGGGCAGTGTAACTCATCCTTTTAAACATCACAGTTGCAGAGAGGGAACTAATTTTCCACAGTGCTGCTGCCTGAACAGGAACAGGAGCTTCATGCTTTAAAGTTCCTGTTGAAAAAAGTAAAGGTAGCCTCTCAAGTGTGACCCTCAGTGGTTTAACAGCCTTTATTATAAACCTGAGGCATTGGCTCTCAGCACAGTGTTGCTGCAATGACAGATTTTATCACATTTTACTTTGTATTGATGACATTCATGTTATACTGATTCAATCCACTATTGATCCTGTTGCTGTCTGCTCAGTATTCAATGTTTTTTTTTATATTTGATCCAGTTGAGATGTCAGTTTAAGATGTGTAGAGGATGTAGCAGGCCTGAATATTCTGTAGGGGAGAGATGAATCCCTTCCTGTTGCTCCAGACCAAAGTTAAAGTGTAGTCTGTGTCAGCATTGCCAAGTTCTGTTCGTCTGAACTCACTGTCCCTACAATTCTAAAAGGAAATTATTGTTGTCATGTGGATACATATTTTAAGTACACTCTCCATTGTTTTTGTGGTTCAATAACATAACTAATGGTCAACATGGCTTTAGTTTGGAGTTGAAAGGGTCACACAGGTAGTAAAGTACAACATAAACACTGCAGTACCAGAGGGGGTGTAGCACCTGTAAATCTAACCTGTAGAACTAGAAAGGGAACTTACGTCAGTGTGTGTGAACAGAGTGTACTGTCTGAGCCTCGCTTTGCTTCCCAGCACTACAGTGCATCAGCTGATTTTGTGCGGACACCTGGACCTGCTCATTCCTTGCAGGGAAAAAGACAGCTCCTATAATTCTCACGACCTTGTAAGGCTATAAACACTGCTGCCTGAGCGTCATGGAAAATGTCTTTTCTTTTTGTGGAGAAGGAGTAGGAGGAGGAAGGGGACAAGTGACAGTGATGCATTTTGGGCTAGAAAGTGGGAACAGGCAGAGTGTAGACTTGAGTGTCCCATGCCAGTGGAGTGAGTGGACAGAAAAGAAAAGGGGAGGGTAAACATGGCTGATAAGGTGGAGGACAAACAGACAGTAAAAATGTCAACCATCTTCTCTCTCACAGAGGACAGCTGTGGACACCACCTGTATTTATGTGTTGGTGTTCTTACTTTGGGAAACTTAGACTGAATTTGCAGGTTGTGCTACTGTGAGAAGACAGAGCTTATGGGAAAGTGATGCCAAACACCATGGCATTCATAGCCTGAGCTAATTTGCGATGCCTGCCTGTAAAATACCCTCTAAAATACATTAAGCTCAACAACACATATACAAGAGACAGTACAAAACACAATCTCAACAATAAATACATAATAAGAATATAAAAAGTCAGAACTCAACAAGAAAATACAGACCGAAGAATTCATATGGAACAGCAGTATCTGGACACTCATGTTTCCTGTGCTGTTGGTCTGTGACTGTTTTTCATGGTTTGGGCACTTTGGTAACAGGAAAAAGTGCATGAAATGTTTTTTTGTCCATATACTTTTGGACTGTGGTAAATCTCGAGGAGTTACTCAGGATCTTGAGAGAAGATTTTATAAAATTTTATGTCTGTTCCTGAGAATCAAAAAGCACTTCATCATGTGGGAAGAAATCCATCAAATGGAACCGTCAGGGTGTTATTAATATATCAGGCTCCACTGCAACACAGGACATTTATTATAAATTGTAAAACCAGATATGACAAAGGCCAGCAGGTTCAGGTGTGTTCTTTGCAGAGCTGGATGAAAGTGCCAAGAGGCTCCCTTTACCCCTCATCTTACTGCTCTATGTGCATAGCCTTATTATGTACACGGCAGACACGTGCTGGTTATTTGCTATGATAGCAGGACTGTTATCTTTTTTTACCTTATGAGTCTGTGTGTGTCATCATGGCAAAATATGGTCCTGGAGAAACCTATTGTAGCGGGAACCACCACCAGGTTTGCCAGGTGTGTGTATGTCTATTTGTCCCTGGACAGATTTTAGTGTCACAACTACGCAAGCTACAGTCATGAAACTTTATAGGTGTGTGGTTGAGATCGAAATAAAGCATGAAGATAGCTGTTGTCTAAGCAAGGGTGATGGAAGTAGGGGGTTAGGAAGTAGGGAAGGGGCCATTTGCACCTGTACTTTATGTCCCTGGCCCAAATTTGTTTCAAGTCGCAGATTGCTGTATTGTTGCTGGAGTGATCCCATCACAAGATGGTCTCTAGATAAATCATCCATCCATCCATTTTGTAACCGCTTATCCTCTTGAGGGTTGCGGGGGGGTTGGAGCCTATCCCAACTGACATTGGGTAAGAGTGTACACCCTGGAAAGGTCAGCAGAATATCACAGGGCTGACATGTAGAGACAGACAACCATTCACACTCACATTCACACCTACGACCAATTTAGAGTCACCAAGTACCCGGAGAAAGGGGCTCCCACACCCGGGATTGAACCAGGAACCCTCTTGCTTTGAGGCGACAGTGCTAACTACAGATAAATCATATTTAGATAAATTATATTTTACCTTGGGCAACAGCCCATTTTGCAGTGTGTCAATAAGTTTGCTGTAATCAGATTACACACAAATTGCTTCAGAGTATGCATTGTATAAACACAATATAAAGATGTTATATTAAGATTTGACAGGGCCTCAAGGGATTAGCTAATTAAAATTGTTGGAGTTCTTGTGGCACTTTAGACTTACTTAAGTGCTGCAAATCACCCAACAAATGTGAAATTATACTACGAAAAAAAAAAACCATGTAATATACCTGGGCCTTTTGGGGCCCTGGGTGGAGTTCCCTGCTTTGCCCAGTTAGTAATCGGCTTGTATGTGGAAATCTTTTCTACGAGACCAGGGGCGTAATCTCACACATCCCACCAACAAACTCCAAATGATCACAGAGATATCAGACCTTATAGTTTCAAATGTATCACACATAGAACCACATTGCTTTGAAGCTGAGTTATTTTATTGTAAAAGATCCACGGTTTGTACAGTATTTAGTAAAGTACCTCTAACAGCACAGACAGCCAACATCCCAGTGTGCTAACCTGCTAACACAGTGATAAAACAGGAGATTTTGATCGAATGTATGTACTTTGGTACCTGTCCCATGCAGGTTATTATAATCCCTTTCTTCAAAAATCTATCAAACTCTCAATATATTATGAAAGCAAAAATAAAAACACCACTTAAATACAATTAGTATAAATATTTCAAGACATTTTAAATCTCTTTTACACTGTATGAAATGATCATTTCCACCTCTCAGCCATGATCTCATGAAGACATACAAGATAAGTTGGTCCTCTACATTAAATAATGCGAATCTCACTGTATTCATATTAGTTGTTAAATGATATTGAGGAATGTAAAAGAACTGAAACAATAAATATGTATACTGTATTAAGTTAAAAGTTATTATTTTAGAAATTACAATACAATGCCGCTTCACGGAAACTCTACTTAGTACAATATATCACAACAGGGATCTGTCAGAGAATTACTGCGCTACAGTAGCATCATTCATCTGTACACCTCCAAAATGTAAACATTGCCGAAAGAGGAGTGTATAAAAAAAGTGGACCAGTTTCCAGGATTTTAAGATGAGACTTATATAACAGTCTTTGGAAACAAAGCAGAGAAACTAGTTTATCAAGTAGTATACCCAACCTGGGGGTTTGTAACTCTACAGCTTTTTTAGCGTTCTAACAAGCATTTTAAAAAAAACCCTCTCACTGTGACGCAGAGATACAGCTGGACAGCTGACCTGGGACCAGGTACAGCGGTGTGAGTCACATGATCAGAAGGAGTTGTTGTTATTGTTCTCCAGTCGGGCCACTATGGTGGACACCATCTTCTCCAGTTGCTCTGCTCTCTGCCTGCCTGTCTCCAGGACTTCTTCGTGGTTGGCCTTCTCCTGGCTGTCGTAGTCCATCACCGCTCGGTTGCTGATCAGCGACAGGGCGAAGCATCGCATCCCGGCGTGGCGGGCAACGATCACCTCATGGGCAGTGCTCATTCCTGCAGCAAAGACAAAGAGAAGGTGAGAAGTCATAACACAAACACGTTATTTAAATGGTAGTCAGTGTCCCTGTGAGTTATCCAGATTACTTCTTATGGTAACTTATTCTCATCTTATAAGAGGCTTATAAGACTAAATAAGATTAGATAGTGCGAATGTTCAAATATAAAAGTCTTGGTTCTCTGTCCCACTCAGTATTTCCACATTGCAGAAACCTTTGTGTTATTTTTGATCAAACATTTAAATCCAGTATTCAGTGTTTCCAGGAACAGATCATTCCTTTTCAGCAACCATCTGGAAACTGTTATTCATGTATTCATAACCACTTGATTAGGATATGCACTTCCTGATACCAGCATCTGTAAAAAAATCCCTCTCCTGCCTCCAGCTCATCCAAAACTCTGCTGCCAGAATCTTGACACGGACTAGAAATCATGACCACATCGCACCAATCCTGGTTACCTGTTGCTTTTAGAACTGATTTTAAGATTTTATGAATTACCTACAAAGCCCTGAGAGGCCTTGCTCCAAGTTATATAACAGATCTTTTATTGCCATATGTTCCCTCTCGCACCCAGAGATCCTCAGATACATCTTTTCTCGTTGTTCCGAGGTCTAGATTAATTCACAAAGGTGACAGAGGAGAGCCTTTGCAGTCAGAGCTCCTTGACTCTGGAATGTCCTGCCCGAGGAGATCAGGGCTGCAAATTCTTCTTCTGATTTTAACTGCTTTATTAATGTGTGTTTTACTCTGTTATGTGTATTCTGTTATCACTGCTTTTTTCTTATTTTATTTGCTTTGTCTTTTATTTGGTTTTGTAAAGCACTTTTGAAAGGTGTCATATACAGTATGTTTAAGATTTACCTGCAATTAAAATTAACTTTGTAATGCACATATATGTAAAATCTAAGGTGGGCAACAGCAGTGAGAGTGAGGTTGCAATATTAGAACTTTTAAGTTGCTTAAAAGTGAGGTTTTAAATGACTAATACTGTGACACACTTCTTTATATGTGTTAGTCACTAGCAATACATCCTGTGTGCCTGAGTGTGTGTGTGTGTGTGTGTGCATGTACTCTTGTACTTCTGCCTTTGTGATGACCTGAATTTGAACCTCAAGATTAAGGACATTTTCAAAGTCTTGGTTTTAGGGATATAATGGGGGTTACAGTTGGGGTTAATTGTGTAGTTGTGATGGTGGAAGTTGGGGTCTAAGGCACTGGTTCCCATCCTGAGGGTCCTGACCCCAATAGACAAGAAGTTATAAAACACCTTTGAAACCAATGAAACTGTTATTTTCAATGTTTGGATTATTAGGGAATGTCAGTGACACTTCACAGATATAGAAGTATAAATGTGTGTGTGAGAGAGACTTGACACTTACCAACAGCGTCGGCGCCCATTCTGTGCAGCATGCGACACTCAGCGATGGTTTCAAAAGAGGGACCTCCCAGGACGCAGTACACTCCCTCCCGCAGGAAGTCGCTGTAGCCCAGTTCTGATGCCACATCATGGGCCAACTGCCTCAGCTCGCGGTCGTAGGCGTCAGACATGCAAGGGAAGCGGACGCCAAACCTGAAGGGAGGAGAAGGGTGTTTACTCAACTGTGGGATTCCTCACAACTCAGTACTGAAATCCCCCTGATGACTCAGGTAACATTAAAGCAATACAGCAGCTCTCTGAGATTTGCTAATGTCCTCAACAACAAGAGACAGTACTTGTGAACACTGTGCACGGAAGATCAGTCCAGCAGGTCACCCATGCAGCTCATGAATGCAAAGTACAAGTCATCTGTATCCTGCTTTTTAATCTGACATTACACAGAGTTCTGCTCTGAAGCTAGAAGTAGTGTTAAAGAGTTTGGATGCACGTTAAAGCCTCCAGCCATCCAGAATAATACGTGCTTTTGTTGAAACTGATATCAGCTTATTATTGCTCCAGGGCTGGAGTGTGGCACTTCTGTGTGGGAGACTGGAAAAATGCTAATAAAATACAGACTAAAATATGTAGGGGGAGGGAAAACTGAGTACAGCTGAGTCATTTGAACAGTGAAGGAGTTGCGACTGTTTTCTTGAAATTGCTAGAAAAATAAGAGTTTTATTGATCTCCAGAGGGGAAGTTCGACAAAAGTGACTTCTTGACCTCGCTGTGCTGATTACAAATTTCTTTGATTTTGGCGAACCAACCCTTTAATGTGCTAAAACCCTTCTTAAGACTCTGTTATCTCTGCTTCACTAAGTTCAGTTTTAGTGTTGAATAATAATTGAGTTTTTTCACTATGACAAAAATCACACAATCAACAGGAAAAGTTGATTGTTTTGAGCATTACAACATGTACAGTTTTATGTAAAATATCAATCACAAGCTGCTTTAAAACAAATACAGTGTTAACAGTATCTACCCTCAAACATCCAGCCATGCATCCATCAGTCCCTCTCCTCTCCTCCACCTACCTCTCATCATTTGGTCCTGCCAGCGGGTTGTTTCCAGCAAACCCTGGCATGTTGATGTGGTCCTTAATTAACATAACGTCTCCCACTTTGTAGTCCTGGTTGAGGCCTCCGGCGGCGTTGGTCAGGATGATCGTCTCCACACCCATCAGCTTGAAGACACGCATGGGCAGCGTGATCTGCAGAACACAGGGTAATGTGAAACACTTGTACACACAAAAATAATATTTAGAAATATAATAAAAAGGACTATTAGCAGTAAGGGTGTAACCATGCAAGCCAGCTGCACAAACCTCGCTTGAGACAAACACAAGGGGACAGGAATGCAAAATGTGTGTGACTTCAAATGTTTTTTGAGGAGCATAACATAATGCCACTGATGTGATAACACTTCAGGCACTAAGATGTTATCATGTTTATTGCATTGGACAATCCGTCTGAGGTTGTTGTAAGAACAAGAATGAACAGGTGGCTTCTCATCGAACACACACACTGATATCTCCAGCCCTGCAGGCTGTGACTGTGTCCAGACACCAGCTGAATAAATAAAAAACTCCAGGAGATTATCAACAAAACTTATGCTTCAGTGGAAGGCTTGGTTCATGGAGTACTTATACTCCATTGTTGTGTTGGTACTTTAAAGTAAAAGATCTGAGTGCTTCTTCTAACACTGCTAGCCTTGAACAACCTATACCTCTGCTTTCAACTCACCTTCTGGATGGGGTAGCCCTCGTAAAGGTGGAACCTGCCCTGCATGCAAACACACGGCTTCCCTTTAAGTGTTCCAAACACCAGCCGGCCAGCATGACCATGCACTGTAACACACACACACACTTCGTTAGTCACCCAGTGTTATTGCGTAGAGCCCACAAACATGCACACACACACATTACCAGCTGACAGCTGCAGGCTGTGCATACCTGTGCTCCGGGGGAAGTTGGGAATGTCACTGTATTTGAAGACCTGAGGGTCCTTGAGCATCTCAGCCAGCCCCCCGAGACCCGAACCGCACACGATTCCCACAGTCGGCCGCACCTGCGTGTTGGACAGCAGCCATTCAGCTGTCGTCCGACACTCCTCGTAGCTTTCACTGAGGGAGTCAGAAAAAAACAGATTTGATTTATTTTGTATTTAACTTTTATTTAACCAGGAAGTCCATTAAAACTGATAACTCTTATCTGAGGCTGAGACAACACACCAGTTACAGTTTAAGTAGAAATAAAACATAGGGAAATACAATCAGCAATTACACGAGATAGAGACTAAATCCAGCTCAAACAAAACAGTTGTATTTCTCTGCTACATGGACTTTTAACATGGCTTTGATTTTCTTCCCAAGGGGGCTCGTTAATAAAATGTAGTATGCTCTGCAGATTATTCCAAATCCGAGGAACAGCTTTTTTCTCCAGCTCAGTGCAAACACTTGACTTAAGAGTCAAAGGGAGGATTCAACAGTAGCTTAGGTACTAAGCTCTTGTGTCAACAAAGTTTATTTTCTGTAATGTTTAAATACCTTACGTGGCCAAAAGTATGTGGACACCTGACCCTGAGGTGGTGTTTTAATTCATCTCTAAGGTGTGGGAAGGGGCTGAGGTGTTATGTTCTTTTTTTTTAATCTATCATAACACCAAAGTTTTCTCACTATGTAAACACAGTGATGTCCTCATTTCCCCTCTCTGTGTGTGCAGTCATGCTGCATTCACTTATAAGGAAATAAACAAGGATATCTGATTTCACAGGAGGCGTCTGGGAGGTGGGGGCATCCTGCAGAGTCACTGAGCTGAAATGAATATCTTTCCTGGCTTTGAGTCACATTCATATAAACACACACACTAGCACACACACAACACACACACACACACACACACACTAGCACACACAATGTCCTGTTGTGTTTCTGTTGTTAAAAGGTTAGCGTGGCTTCATTGTGCAAACAGTGTGTCATGTTCAGGTGACGGAGCACTGGACTTCACTCACGTCGACAATGAATACAGTCTTGAGTATTTTTCAGGCACACATCCTCTCATATTTCTGTACATGTAAAATCTCTGCTGTTAATCCCTTCCTTCCTTTTGCCTTTGACTCTTAATTCAACCTTGACCTTTTATGAGGATAACTCTTTAAATACTTTTATTAGTCCCCAGAGGCGAAACTGGTTTGTTTGCTAGCGCACAGCAAAAAACAAACATGACAAATGTTAGATGGTCACCACAAACAACATATGCACACATACTACCACTATAGTACAAACACTAATACCCAAACAAACACTTACTTTGAGCGAATATTAGTGTAGCACATACTTTGCATTTCTACACTACAATTTTTTGTCAGCTGTCATATATGATACCAATATATGCAACCATGTTGATGACTGATTAATTCTCATTTTCAAGCAAAAATACCAAAAAAATTCCTAGTTTATTGCTACTTTTCTTTGTCTTTTATTACAGTCTAACTGAATAAACTTTGGCTTTGGACAGCTGTTTGGACAAGACAAGACATAAAAAGGCACCTTGTGCTTAAATTAATTATAATGGGGATTTTGAATTATTTGTAGATCAAAGTCAGAGAAAGCTCGACACAGCTGTCTTTAAAGTAGTGAGCTGCCTTTTTAAAATCAGGCCTAAAACTGAATTTGGTTAAAGCACTATTGAACTGTACTTAAAGGAACAGTTCACCCCAAAATTAGAATAAACATATTTTTCCTCTAGTGCTATTTATCAGTCTAGATTGTTTTGGTGTGAGTTGTGGAGAGTTGGCGATAATGGAACTAGATGGTGCTCAAAACATTAATAAAATACATTTGGATAGCTCAACAGCAATGTCTCTTTCCAGAAACCATGACCTGGGTACTCAAGATAATCCACAGACCTTGCTCTGAACAGTTTCTCTATCTTCTTTCTTCTGAACTACACCCTACAACTGTATCACCATGCAGTAGAAGCGTGCACCTGCAAGCTCACCTAGCACCACTGAGCTGGCCAAGGAGGACACCATTCATTAATGTTTACAACGCACACTGTCATGAGCACAAGCCTCTCGTCCATGAGCAGATGCGCGCTTCCTTCTGCACAGTGATACAGTAAGCGGATGTAGTTTGGCAGAAAGAAAATAGTTCCTACATGAAACTGCTCACAGCAAGCTATGTTGATTATCTTGAGTAACCTGGTCATGATTTCTGGAAAGAGACATTGCTGTCAAGTTTTTTAAATGTATTGTTTTGGCGCTTTGAGCATCTCAAGCTGAGTGCCATCTATTTCCATTATACTCAAGAGACAGCAGACATCTTTATGGCTGATATCTCCAATTCTGGGCAACTCACACCAAAACAATCTAGACTGACAAACAACATTATTGGTAAGTTATTATTGGTAAATTATGTATTTTTGGTTTTGGGGTGAACTGTTCCTTTAAGTACCTAACCTGCAGCAGCCTACTTGTGTAGATGTACTAAGTTAGGCTTTATTACATCACTGCTAAGAGCTTTTTCTGTTTCATAGGCCTATCAGTAATTTAATCATCCTGACATTTTAAATTAACCTCAAGTTTGTGTTTTATCTTATTTTGAAGTCTTTCAGCATGTCTCAAGTAGTTTTGTGACTAATATCAGTCACTCCGCAAGTCATTTCTGTAAGTAAGGGGTCAGTGGGTTTGTAGAAGTGACGTCACGGCGGCGCACTCAAGCCAAGTGGGGTTTTTCCGTCCCATCCGTGAGCACCGAGTTGCGCGCTTTAACTGTGTTATCATATTTAAGAGGAACACGTTTTTTATACTCAGTAAAACAACCCAGGGCGAAATGTGTCTCCTTCCGCGTCATCCATGAGAAATAATATGAATCGAGCAGCATCCCCTGCCAGGAGCGTGACATCATGGCGAGGCAGCGCGCGCTTCTCAGCCCGTTTTTTTAATTATCAGTTTAATTATAGAGTGTATCTGTTCCTCTGGGTGTTTGGGGGAACTGTAGCTACATTTAAGGATATTTCGTCACAGTGACCCAACCTCGACGTGCAACTTCCCTTTTAAATGAGCGATGGAGACCCAGAATGAATTTCAGACCGAAAAGTCAACATAACCCACATCACAGCATGTAATGTATAAAAATAAAATAGGACCATCAGCCTGTATAAGCTTGTAATAATAAAAAGTTATTTACTCACCTGGACACAAAGTCGGACATGATGACACGTGATGCAGATACAGTCGGCAGGTTGTTCCGCGTTAAAGTGAGCCTATCAAGGTTATCCGGAATTTCCTGATGGAGGGACCGCTTTATGTTTACACCCCACCCGCTCACGACACGGCTGCCACATTCCCCTACGTCACAGCTCGCTACAGGCTCTGATTGGTCGAAGCGCAGGCGTTGTTCCGATGGGCTTTTGATGGTGTAGTCACACCAACCATTGATGCGTTCAGGAGCTCCCCCGAAGAACAAGTCAGGAGGCAGACATGTGTCTAGACGGAAATTATGACAAAGTAAACACAGGGTAGTCAAGGCAACTGTTTATTTGGGCCGTTTCAAACACAGAGGCTATTCACATGCTTTACATCGGTAAAGTCATTAAAAACAATCAGAAAAAACACTTAAGATAGAATAAAATGAAATTTAGAATATAGATTAGAGGCAAGACCTGTTGTCTAAATGTTAAGAGTAAATAGCCAAAAATAGGAACAGCATGAATAAAAAGAGTATCATACTGAAAGTGCCGGACAGACTGTCTTTTAATACACAAACTAACACGAGATCGATGTGATCTATCTACCTCATTCTTGTTTTTAAATGATGTCATATTTAGTTTGCATTGCATAGTTGCGTTTACAAACATTTAATATGTTATATATTTTAAATTTTTGCATCTTTGTCCTTCGTGTTAAAAGGAAATGTGCTCATATGCAAAGCAAATACCAGAAATATCCAAAACTAAAAAAAAAAAGCCAAACAATAGCCTACATAATTCAAAACTACGTGGTTGTTACCTTACACTTCTGAAATATAGTACAGACTCTTCAGTATCATCCACCATGTGTCCCACAAATTACAATTCTCAAAGTCTATTTTTGTTTTGCAGCCTTTTTTTTTCATTATGCAGACTACGTGACCATCGGAGTGTACTAACTGTAGATTTTTCGACAGTACTTGAAGGCAGCATACCGCAATTTCCCACACACAACGTGGTGGTGCTTTTGATGCTGATGCAATCGCCCTGGAGGAGACAAAAAGGATGTGACTTGGTGTTCTAATGGTAAATTACTAAATATGAAAAATACGTGTAACTACCGGTATATTTGTAAGACAGCTTCCTGGACGTATTTGATCATGAAAGAGGGGGAAGGAGAAGGGAAACTCCCCTCTATATACAAGCAGGCACACATTGCATTTCAGAAAATGTGGAAAACAAAATTTTACTCAGAAATTAGAGATTTGCATTGTAAAATTGATCTATTTCCATTTCAAGTTTCAATGACACAGGATTGCCTGTAACCACATCTTTACAGAAATAACAGAATGAACAAAAAGAACAATCATTTAAACAAACACCTAGTTTGAAGGCAAATCACTCTTCCACAAAACAAATCTATAATCATTCATATATATTATTTTTAAAACAAGTCTGTGTGTTCTTTTTGATAGGAAGAAAGAGGACACCATATTCATGACAGGAAAGACACACTTTTACAAAATCTACGTTCCAGGTGTTGAGATATTAAACACAGCAGGGCAAAGCCTAGGTTTGGACATGTGGTTTCTTTAAAACCAGTTGTGGAATGTAACCAGTACAACTATCCCTACCCAAGGCATAACAAAACACAACCATGTTTTTTCATAATCTTAATACGTTTGGGTGGTCAAGGCAATCACTCAAGTTTTTGGCCAAATCAAAGTGAAATTAATTATCATTAGAATAACACATTATCTAATCATTGTTGTATTGGTTGTAATATACCAGCAGTGTAAAATATACTTCAATGGCAAATCAGGACTAAGCATAAAAACATAATTCAGTGTGATGATGTTACAGTAAGGTTTAAAGGAATTATATCACATTTCATATTCTTGCTCAGATTTTCTGTATCACTGATACCATCACGACAAGCAGAACTGTATACACATAATATACAGTAGGCCTATATATTTTTTTTTATTTTTGTTTGTTTTGTTTTATTGAATCAAACAATACAGGCATCATGCTGTGCCAGTATGTGATTTTAGACAGCATGCCGGCGTTCTGGAAGCAAAAGAAGTGTGATTATCATGGGTTTGATGTGTAACACAACACAGGCGTCCTCAAGTGTTGACATATAACATGCTGATCAATGCTTTCTTATCAATAACAATGGTATAACATGGCAATAACAATCATTTACCATCCTTGTTATATGAAAGTTCATCTTGTCCTAAGAAGCTCCCGGTTTGTGGACATTTTCAGTTGCTGTTCTTCTTCATTGAGTTAGCTGCTAACTGCTGCTAGCTGCTTTTTAAATCTCCCTTCGGTGGGTCGTACACATAACACGTCGTCAGAATGTCACAACTGTCCTGTCCATGGTCCTGTCCTGTCAGCTGTCCCCTTTTACACAGATGTTGATTCAGTGCTGTTATTACCTCCACTGTCAGCTTAGAGGTGAGACAACTCTGAACCCCCATTCTGTGATGATACCTTTTACACAGAATGGTGAGGTGGAATTAAGGTGTGACATTCTTGCCTTGAACAGGCAGTGTAAAAGGGGCTATAGAAATATATATATAACTACATATAACTACTGCTTTCTGAAAAAGTGCACCCCCCCCCCCCCAACCCCAATGCATTGTTGTAGATTAAACTACCCAACAGAATTTAAAGGAGCTAAAATCAGCACAACTTTGAACATCTGCAGCAGTAAAATGCAACATACACTTTAATGCAGCTGTAAAATGAATCCAGAAACAACATATAAAGTAGTAAAGCACTGACTCTGTCTTTAACTGAAATAGAGTTTTTAAATACAGGATTTATTAGTATTTACACAGTATTTTCACATCATTGACACATTTATTTACTTTTTTATTAAATGATCTGTATATTTCTTCAGCCACAGATTGACAAACAAATCATTTACAGCACTATTGGACAGTGAATTTGAATCCCAGAGTGGAATGTCTCAGTGCATGTGTGAGTGTGTGTGAGCAGCAACAGAAGAGAGACATACCAGACGTGAAACCTACTAACACCTACAGTAGACATGCAATTATTACATTCCACAAGTGCGGCATGAAAAACAAAAAAAAACACTGTACTGATATTTTTACCAAATAATTAACCTGGACTGTAAGTTGCAATGGAAAGCTCTAGATAAAAAGACATTTTTTTGCTCAATTAATTAGTTAAAAAAGGTATTTCAGGCAGCTGGGCTAAAAGGCAGTTTGTCAGGGGGGTGTCAGAGAGAAGGGCATGGTTTCATGAAATAAAAAGGTTTAATTGCCTTGGGAGTGAGGAAGAACACCACAATTTGTAGTCGGCCTCTTAGATTTTGAGACATACTGTGTGTAGAGTCCACATATTGGGGGAACTACTAGCTCGCGGACTGTCTGAAATGGAGATGGTTGTGCTCAGTGCATTGCTCAATTAGGAAATTTTTACCCTGATGATGGTGTTAGACAAATAGCCAGGGGAGTTACTTCAAGGTTCAGTGTTTAGGATTTAGTGGCATCTAGTGGTGAGGTTGCAGATTGCAGCCAACTGAAACTTTTCCCATGTGCCAAGCATGTAGGAGAACTGTTAGTTTGGTTTGTTCTGTCTGGGCTACTGTAGAGACAACATGGTGAAACCTGTGAGGCCTTGCTTGGTAAGCAGATATAAATGCCTAATTCTAAGGTAATAAAAACACAACAGCTTGTATTTTCGACTGACTATACACTAATGAAATCATAGTTATGAATAATGTATTCAGTTTCTGCCAATATAAGCCCCTCAACCCTACGCACTGAACCTTTAAAATGTCAGGTCTGAACCTTTTGAGATCATTGATGAAAGCCGATTTCACCTAAATCTGACCATTTGTGTTCAGAAGAAGTATTTATATAATTCTACTTATTATTGATGCACTGACAAGTTGTGGGTGGTTGAGGTGGAGCTAATTTAAACTTCTTTACATACAATTGGGTAGTACCTTAAAAGTAGTAATACCTAAAATTGTATTTAAGTACAGTACTTGAATGAATGTGCTTCGTTACTTTCTACCAAGGGCATGTGTATATACAGTATATTTTTGTGTGTGTGTGTGTGTGTGTGTGTGTGTGTGTGTTTTCACATACCTGCTGCAGCACAGAGCAGCCAGTGTTCTGTTACAAAATGTTATGTAACTGCTGATTTGCATTCACACAGTTGTCGGGCTTTTATACTGGAGTGCCAGCCAAAACCTGCTGCTCTCACCCTGCAAACAAATTAGAAGTGAAAGACTTTTGCATTCATTCAGTTTCTTCTTAGCTAATCAAGTGTCATTTTTTTTTTTTTTTACATCACATAGAGTGGCAAAGCTTATTTTGCCCTCACGAAAAAGTTCATGCTCATGTTCATGTTTATCCTGTAAACATTCCAAACACACCCTTTAAGCCTTATTATTATCCAACGTATATGTGATAAGTTTCATGTTATTCATAGTCTTTCGTATTGCCATATTTTTATTAGGTTTCTTTTTTCTTTTTTTCTCTTGCAGATTGTACCACTCCCTGGTGGCTGTAGTGGCAAAATGCAAAACCTGATTTTTCCTTATTGCAGCTCCAGCTACATAATAAGAAATCATACAGCAGTTTTTACATTCCCGTAGCTTCTAAGTTGCAAACCCCCTTAGAAGTTCTTTTTTACCACTTGTTTCTGCGTAGCATGCAGATCCAATGCTTATTAAGTAACAGCAATTTGATCTTATTGTCAGGAAACAAACTGGGTCATGTTTTGGTGTTGCACCACCTGATCCTCTGACTACAGGCACAAGCAGTGAGCTTTTAAATCTATTTTAATTATCATGGCTGGAGGGGTGATAGTTTGGATTGATTGATGGGCTGTCCTTTCATTAATTTGGTCCAGTATTTTGACAACTATTGGATGGATTATAATAAAATTTGCTACAGACTTTGATTGTTCCCAGAGGATGAATCACAATGACTTCGGTGTACCCCCTGACATTTCATCCAGCGCCACCAGCAGGTTAAAATGTCCACATTAGCTTGTTCATATAACACTGTAAATAAAAGCATGTTACTGTAATGTGTGCCAATATGACAATTACATATGCTAGGCTTTACAAGGAGTCAAAGTTAGAATTTGAGACAGAGGTTTA